ATAGCCGACTGTACTTTATTGTGTTAGAAAGCTGCAACTTCTCTCGTTTGTCAGATTTAGAACGGTGAAAAGTCACAGTAAGTTGATTTGAACAAGGTGTAAGGATTCAACGGGAACTGAGTCGGTGCCTCTCTAAGGGGACTCAGCTATGATTCGTCAAAGGGGGAGGGGAGAGCCACTCACGATTGTGAATTATATTTCCCGCCCTTCAAGTGAAGTGGCTTAGATTGCTACTCCACCATGTTTGTTAGCAATTGAATGATTAGCATTGGAAACACTGATGCTGTGGGGATTATTCGCACACAAGGAAGGGGGCTGTTGTGGACACCCCACCCCCCAGAATCTTCCCTTTGGATCTGCAGATGTTAACTTAGGTCATTTTGTCTCAGATTGCAGCCCTAAACCTCTTGGGATGGAAAACGGTACAATCTTTGATAGTCAGTTAACTGCATCGTCATGGACCGCTTCAAATGTTTCCGCCAAGTATGCGCGACTGAACTATCCCCGAGGTGGCGCCTGGGTACCAAATCTTGGCCCAGGTCAATGGCTACAGATAGATTTGCTTGACTACCACACAAGTGTAACCTCGGTGGCAACACAAGGAAGATCTCTGGGGTACAGAAACCAGTGGGTGACGACTTACAAGCTGCAATTTAATAACTTAGACCACTCCTTCAAATACTTTAAAGAAGAAGGGAAAACTGAGGATAAGGTAAAATATCGCGCGGATAATCTCGTACGTTACATAACAAATAGAGAGGCCTTGACTGTGCTCTGTTCTGTTATAAAGCACGCAGGAAGCGGCTAGAGCACGAAAGAAGTGTAGGGAGAAACACGAGACGTAGTCAAGTGTTTCTTCCCACTTCTTGAGTGCTCTAGCCGCTTCCTAAGTGCTTTATAATAGAACAGGATCTGCATAATAAAGAATCCGTTAAATTCCCCAAGCATTACTTTCAATTTTCAAAACAAACTTTATTTCCAAAGCGAACAACAGTGTCGTCAGCATGCTCTATACTCTCATAAAGCACGCTACAATAAGCCAATCAGAATCCTTGTTAGAATGGTTCAAATAATCTGATTGGCTGTACAAGACTAAAGCTGTCAAAAGTGTCAAACCATCAAAATTCAAAAACCATCAAAGTTCACATTCTACGATAGTTTGCAAACTAAAATAGTTCGGCAAGTCGAATTTAACACTTTTGCCTGAAGTTTTTAAGTCTCTAATACAGAATCTTGAAGTGAAATGTTCAGTGAACTTCAGCCGAATTATGGCTCATAAGAACATGCGAGTTTTTTCACATGACAAGGTAGAAAACAAACTGTTCAAGGCGAGTGTTTTTGAATGAACGACAGTCGAATTCACCGGAACATGAAGATCGCTCGGGATGACAGCGCTGCAAAACTCGGCTGCAGTGACTAATGTGAATTGCCACTCAACGTATCGGAAAGGATATCAGAGCAAGCTCTTATTTTTTTACTCGAAGGGCGGCCGATGTAGTTTCTGAGGCTTGCTTTACTGTGATTACCGGAGATCGCCATGATGAGCGTGCCGCGATGAACTTAGCATGATCATATTCGCTCAGACACCGTCATGATTAGTATGAATTTTAACAATTATGCCAGTTTGGTTATATTTTTCATCATTTCTGTTTTGTCCTGTTTTGTTTTTGAACACTGAACTTTATATACTATACGAGTGTTAGCTGTGTTTGATTTTTATTACCGTACGTAAGCTTGCAATCTAACTGAGCGTGAAAATCTTTAAAACTCGGAATGTTTATTTTGTTTTTCCTTTGAGGATTTTCGTATCTGCCCACGTTTTAATAACGTAAATTACGGCGCCTGGTATGTTTACAAACCTTTGTTTGATTCTTCTGTTGCTACTTGCCGGCTCGCTTCAGTTTCGAAATTCCAATTATCGGAAAAAAGCTGAAAAGAAGTCCCGGAAAAGTTCGAACATAGGACAATTGGCAGATGGCGTGACTCAGCTCTATGCTCTATACTCTCATAGAGCACGCTCTTTCAACCAATGACAGCGCGCGTTATATCCGAACTTTATTATAATGAAATATAGGTCACTCGACCGGGGAAGGTCTGGACTCGACACTAGCGCGCGGATCTAAATAGAAAACTTGAAAACAAGCATACAGTAGTAACTCTATGGTGAGACAAGTGTATGAACTTCCATATCTAACGTGTTGTTATCCTTTATTTGGTTTAGATTTTTGCTGGTAACACAGACGGAAAGTCTACTGTATCACATGATCTAAACCCACCAATAATAGCACGCTATATCCGTTTTCTACCGATAACGTACCACGGATGGATAGCTATGAGGGTAGAGCTGTATCACGGCTGTGGACAAGGTATGACCGTTTTCAATCCTAACGGCTTTTGAATTTCATCAGGTCTGTATAGAACGTTTATATGAAGCCTTGTGGGAGACCCAAGAGGAAACCCGAAGGCCCCAAATAAAAAAATCCAAGTCAAGACCCAGTGGGGTAATTTATGTTAAATTAAATTGAATTAATTTTTAGTTGAAGCTAAAGGTGCACTAACAACATAGGATTCAAACCGAAAAGGTGGGGATTGTAGGGGTGGGGTAGGTGGGGCTTTACATGCAAAGATTATACCAACATTTTAATGTCAGACTGAGGTTTGGGACCATAGAATGTAGGGAAGTATTTTATGAAAGTTATCTATCTAACGTAGCATTGACGTTCTTCCACAGCTAACGAAGCGCAAGATGATACAATCATTTCGTGGCGAGATACGAATTCCATCAGTGAGGACAAAGCGTTTGAGTTTAAACAAGTGAATGATTTGTTTAAACCCCTCTACCAGCTGTCCGTCACATCTGAAAATGAAACTTACACTCTGAACATTCCAAAAGTCCCCATAACCTGGCATCACGTGACATTCACGTGGAGCAAGGCGTGGGGATTAAAATACTATCAAGATGGCGCTCTTGTCGCAGAGACAGGGAGGTCAGAGAAAAGCATATCTGTAACAGAAGAGGGAACGAACGGATTGTTTATCATTGGAAAGAGGGTTCTGACCAGCATAATAAGCTCTGCAGATAATTTTCAAGTTCAAGGACTGACTGTGTGGCCTCGCCTTGTCTCTCAAGCACAACTGGAACGGGAGTTGGAAACTGGTAATTCCCTGATGTTAGAAGCAAATAATCTATTTTTTTTTGGTTGATAGACAGTGCAGAGAATTGTTTTTTTGTTCTATGGAATAAAAGTTCGAAGACTTTTCGAGCAAAAGAGTCAGGACCCTCTGTTTAGCGTACAACTATAGAACTGACGCTTTTTCTGTTGATGTAGTTAGGATATAAATTCACGCCAAAATTTCCAAATCAGTCAAATTGTGCTAAATGATTGAAAAACGCTATTTTTGTCGCATTGAGTTTTAATCCTTTGGAGGATGAGGACATCATCCTTTTTCAATCCCACAAATACCTTTTTTCCTTTGTAGTTACCTGTCACATTATGGATCAGTGTCTAAAGCAAAGTTATAACGACGATTTTGATTGGTCATTCGGAATAAACTGTACGAAAACTCCCGGCACAGGTCCATGCAGTGATCACGTGCTCAGCAGTGAAGGTATATGTTCAATTTCTTTATCGTACAAATTGTAAAAAGGTTCTTTTTCTGATCTTTTTGTTGTTAACTGGGTGTACACAACGATTTTGACGTACAAATCGTGTAAAATTGAGCACCATGAGCGCCTGGGGGTGGAACGCAGGATTTTGATTCGCGACCAATTTGCTTGAAACTCGTACACCCATCTTCAAGTTCTAACATTGGTTGAAGAAATATCTGCGAAAAACGGACTTTCCTCTGGAAATGATTTAGGTGGCTGCTGAATGGTTGTTAGGAAATCATTCTCATAATAAAAATTTGTAACTTTTAAGAATGTCTAACCGTTGACTGATACCCTGTTTGTGCTTTTCAGTTCGGCGTTCATTCAGTAACGCAGCTTTCAAAAGAAAAACAGAGCAATATGACAGAGCCAACTCTTCTCGGATGGTGGTTGATGGTGACCTTAACTCGTGGAGTGAACTGGGGCATGTCCAAAAGACATGGTGGAAAGTAGACTTAGGGCGTGAGGGCCTGGTGACTGGCGTGCGACTCGTACTCAAGCTTGCAAGCAATGGAAGCAACATAGAGTCAAGTTTTGATGTTATAATTGTGAAAGAGACTGGAAAGATTAAGGAGTCTTTGTGCGCAACCTTTAACAAAGGCGATATCGTTGAAAACGAGGTTGTTTACAAGGTGTCTTCTTGTGGTACGCCGTTACTAGGGAGATTTGTTAGGGTGGAAATGACGATGGAAGGTCACGTGAAATGCAGCAAGAACTCAACGTGTCCATCTCCCGTAATGAACTTGTATGAGGTGGAAGTCATGATGGGTAAGGATATGGGCTCATTTAGGGAAATATTCTTTCAATTGTACGACCTGCGTCGACCAAACAACGTTCATTTTTCATCTTTCGCCCTTGAGGTGGCTCAAAATAGTTTCCTTAGTTTTTTTTCCATCATTTCTTTGATGGATCGTGTTTTCAAAAGGTTTCTGGTTTGTTTCTTGAAAATGCCATAAAAAATTGTTCAAATATTTCTGAGCAAGTTGTAATCGTTTTTCGCTAAATAAAGTTATTACAGCAACAATAAAGCGCCATATAATAACCTTGTGCAATTTCAATGATCCCCGTTTTTGTCACTGAATTGGAATCACCTTATCAGCATTTATCTGTCTGAATTTTTTTCATCGGCATTTTAAGATCAGTACTACCTTGCTATTTTGTTGATACAAGGGTAAAAGTAATTAGGAACGTCGCTTGAACTTTATTGCGGTTATCTTTTATTTTTCCAACAGTACAATCTACTGGTTTCATTTACATAAACACTAAATCTCCTCGCGTTAAAGGAGAAAAGGCTCGAATGATGACTCGGTACATTTTACCCAGATACAACTGTCTGTCATTCTCGTACCATATGTATGGAAGTCACATAGGAAGGTTGAATGTATATTTCAAGAGTTACAAGAGTTCTGAGATTCTTTTGTGGAGACTACATCAGGCGCAGTCCAATAACTGGCATCATGGAGAAATCCTCATTCAAACCAACGACACCTTTCAGGTTTGGCGCTTCAGTTGAAAATTATTTCATACGCAAAGTTTAAACGGGATTTACTTATGTATATAATGATGGCTTTAAGAAAACCGTATCATTTAGCAGCTTCAGAGACATCTATTAATGCGATACAGGACCGTAATATGCATGGATAGGCACGGTTGTCTGATAATTGGTGCACTGAACCACGGTAGGATCAACAGACCTGGGTTCGAACCTTGATCATGTCTTGCATCGTGACATCGTGTATCCCGCATGATCCTCCTTCCGTTTCGTAGGCTGAATTTCGCTTATTAGGGCTTTTTAATTTTCTCTATTAGATAATATTTGAAGGAATTGTTGGGAATGGAAATGAAGGCAACTTGGCCATCGATAATGTGATGTTCACAACAAATAGCAACTGTTCAATCACACCTCATGCCGCTAATCCGTCACTGATGCAAGGTAAGTACTGAAGTGATTAAGTTAGAATCAAGACCACAAAGTTTAGCTGCACAAATGATACAGATTCCGTAACAAGGCTGCCATTTCTTAAAGAATGTAACCTAAGAAAATTATTTTGTTTGAAACGAGCAAACTTAAAATTATTTTCCCAGGTTTCAGATCTGATATCATCGGCCACATCCCAGCATACCAAGCGCGCCTCGAGAGCTGGTTAACGTCTGTTAATTTTCATGGAAAGCTCTGGAAGCCTTGCTACAGCGCTGCCAAAGATGGATGGGACAGTAGTACTTTCCACGAGAAGTGCGATGGAAAAGGAGCCACTTTGACAATTGCCAGATTTAACAACACCATATTTGGAGGATTTACAGACCACAGCTGGGGAAGTATGTTGTTAGAGTGAAATAGTCATTCATGGCAGAATTCATAAGAGGATGAGATAAGGGGGGGGGGAGAGGGTGGAGAAGGGGCATAAAAGACTGTAAAAACCGCTTTTCCTTACGCTCAAAGGGATGTTTTGGCGGGAACTATTTTCTACAGTAAACGGTTTAAAACCCTGGGAAACATTAATATGATCGTGAGAAGGATTGTTGTCAGTGAGAAGGACTGTTGTCGGTAGCAGTAACTGACATGTCAACATCCTAAGTGGGAGACATCATCAAAGTCAGGAGAAGAGGACATGCCAGTTGAGAGGTAGAAGTCCATTTCGTGTAAACTGATTGGTCGGTTTCAAACGTGATGTTATTGGCTCAAATGTTGTAAGTTGTTCATGATTGGTCAGTTTCGATTCGTCGGTCGTATTTCGGTTCGGTTCGTTTTTTCTCGTGATCTCACAGAATTACGTCTTACAAGTAACCACAAGTGACCACAAGTTTTGACTAGGAGTTGGGGCGAGATAACGCTATAATGTTATTCTGGATTGTTATGTGACCTCATGCTGACATACACATTTTCTTCTCTTTTCAGGCTATCCCGAAGGCTACCGTATCAGCACACAATCATTTCTATTTCGTTTCGACAAAAAGATACGCCAACCATTCGAGAACCAAGTTCTGGGAATAAAACAGGTACATAAATTAATTCAGTGGAGAAAGGACAGAGGACCCGTATTTGGAGTGGAAGAGCTGGTCATTACATCGAACATGAAACAAGCTACAACCAGTAACTTGACAAATTACACTCATCCATCAGGTTCAGATAAAAATGGTTCATCGACTGAATACTTACTGGGGGAAAGATTCGTTTCTCTTCACGCTGTAGAAGTTTTAGCCATAGGAGGTAATCCTAGTGTCACTTGTCTACCTTATCGTATCAAATTGGAAGGAAAATGAAATAACTACACGATCAAAACTTAAACTTGTTTGTGGAAGTGACCATTGAGAATAACAAACCGTGCAGTAGTTGTGATTGATTGATTCAGCTCCGGTTCGAATTGCGCATGCTTGCAGACAAGTCGTCAGTTTGGAAGGTTCGCTTCCAGACTAAAGCAGAGAAAAACCGTTTTAACAAAGCAAAAATCGCCTTTGCTAAGATAAATTTAAGGCAGAAATGGCTAATTATAATTCAACATGGAATGAGATAAAGAGGATATGCTCTCCTTACTTCTGTTAACTCTTATGTTGCTACCTTCCGTAAAATAAAGCCATGGAGTTTTCATTTTTGTGTCAAAATTTTTCACGCCCGTCGATTAGCGTTTTCACGGATTTTTCCCATTTCTTACCATGATCGTTCGAATTTACCCCTTTATCGTAGTTTCCTTACATTTCACTTTACTCCTAAGCCGTAATTTATGTCCTTCAGTTTTTCCCGACACAAAAATGTCCTTGTGTATAGTGACGGTCATTTTTAACAATTCCTTGCAGATACACTGTGTCAGAGTCAATGTCCATTGTACCAGTACTGCGATGAAGTCATGGGTTGGTGCAAGTGGGATTCCGCTCTGAAAGAAGCTCGCTTTTGTGGTATTGGTAAGATGCCTTTCTCCCTTTTTCACAAGCTCCGAGTAATACCTGTATTCTCCTCAAAATGTTATCATTTAGTCTCTTGCTGATGTACTAAAAAGATAAGAAATAATTTTTTATGAGTAACGTAAAAAAGGCAGTCTGAGACTGCCTAAGGCTTCATTGAAAAGAACCAGAGGTTGTATAGTGAAGCTAGCAGGTGGTATTGCAGGAGTTTTGTATTTATATGCAAAACAGAAAACTTACGGCATCCACATATTTATGAGAACCGTTTCCCACAAGAGAAAGTTGATTCAGGAATATAGCGACCAATTGACCTTCAACCAATTATTAAATAATATCAAATTATCATACTGACAATAGTTATTATGATAATAATAGTAACAGTAACCTAAAGGGGCTCGCTTTAAAGCCTCGCGGTTTTCCCATCCTCTAGGCCCCAATAATGATTAAACTATTCTTCTTTAAATTCTGCCTCTAAGTTATCAATAATTTTCTTATTTTGATGCAATTCCATTTTTGTGAGACTTTTGTTTTATATAACAAAGCATTTCGCGTTTTAGGATATTCCATCATTTCGCTAAGATCCTATTTTTAATTTTGGACACTAGTGTCAAAGTTTGGATTTTGGTCACCATTGTTCAATTTGGGGTTTTGGACACTGGTGTCCGATTTTGGCTTTAAATCATTAGTGTTTGATTTTGGATTTGGACACTAGTGTTCCAAATTTGATTTTAGACACAAGTGTGATTTTGGATTTTGGACACTAGCGTTCGATTTTGGATTTTGAACACCAATGTCCGTTATTTCATTTTGGACACTAGTATCCGAATTGGCTGTTGGACAATAGTAATAGATTTTTAATTCTGGGAACTATCGTCCGATTTTGGTTTTTGTCCAGCATAGAAGACAGAAACCGAAAAAAATTTGAAACTTATTAGGGGAGCAGTCAGACTGGATGTGACCCTTCTTGTTAGATATTCCTGAATACGTCACCTCTTTAATGTAACACTTGCCTCTACCACAACAGATACCTGGACTTCCTACTGGCCTCTGGACAGTCACGTGAACATGGTCAACCTAGGTGGGGACGAGTGGGGAACATTTGAAGGTGCTGTGAGTACCACGCAAGGGGCCCGGCTAGGAGCTGTTCACACCGGTGGGGAGGGTGCGGTCATAACACTGGGTGAAATCAACGACAAATGCTTCACTGAACCTTCGTCCTGTAAAAACAGCAACAATTTTTCCGTAACCCTGTGGTTCAGACACAGGACAACCTACTTAAATCATAATAATACTGTACAACAAACATTCCTGTCCATTGGAGACAATGAAAACATAGTATTTAAAATATTCCGGCTGGCCGAGCAGACAGAAGAACATCTCGCTGTTGAAGTAGCTGTGTCGTCGAGAAATTGTCGTTATGTCTTCCCCGTTCCAAAGTTTTTATGGTCTCAGTTCGCTTTCGTGTGGAACACCACGGATTTGAATATTTACAGAGATAATGTTGAGGTGGAAAACTTTTTTGTCACAGATTGTTTTGCAATAACTGACTTTTCCCCTCAAAGGGCAGTAGTAATCTTGCAAGGTGATGCAACGTTTGACGATTTGAGGATTTGGAGCAGAACACTCGAAGCAAAAGAGATCGAGGAAATGTTCACATGTGTAAGAGGTATGCTAAATTCCCTGGGTGGAGTGCTCGGGTAGGTTTATATTCGGTTGGTATGATTCAACCGGATGTTCTATATTGGACCCCGCTAATTAAAGAATTTCCTCTAAAAATGGTGGAAAAATTGAGTCTTCGTTCTAGATCAGGAAATTAAAAATATCGACCCGTTGAACGGAGCAGATCTATAATTATTTTCATGGGATTTACCGTTCCTCCTAAGGGGTAAAGACGACTAATTCTAACCCAGAACCTAAGCCGTCTTGGTTCAGTCGAAAATTGCTGTTCCTTGCTTTGTGTAGAGTGCTTCTTACTGATTTTCCACCTGATAAAAACCTTATATATACCTTACAATCAACTTCTCTTTCGCTCAATTGCTAAATTGTACAATACTGTAAGAGGGTCTCTGGTGGGGTTAAACGTTAGCTATAAAACGGCCAAGATTATTGGCCGTTAGGCGGGAAAATTAACAAATTTATGCCGTTAGTCGTAAAAAAATTAACTGTTAAGCTGTTAAACTCTTCCCATCTTCGATTTGTCGTTTAAACCGTCACCCAAAGACACCCAATTATAAAAAAGAAATCCGCCGTTTTAATCCGAAGAGTGATTTTCTTTGTCTACTAAGATTCCTCCTTTGTTTCATCTAACTTTATACAAGTATCAGCTTTCATTCTTTGTCTTTAAAATAGCTCCACCGTGGACGTGCAGTACATCAGACTGGACTGAAAGCATAAAAACACATGGATTGTCAAATTGTTCAGAGCCCAACTTCCTGCTGAATGGATTAATCAGAGGAGAGAACGGCGGCTTGGAAGATTACATTGATCGACTGGAAGGTGCAATGTGTTGCTCTGCGCCATTGGAATACAAAGACGACGACTTAAAATGTCGTAATTCTCTATACAGCAACAGTTCTGGGTAACTAATGACTAGTAACGCAATAGTCTTTCAGTGAGAAGTCATACATTATGGAGACCTTACTCCATTGAGACCCTACCAATAGCGTAATCATAATCATATCTGATAGTGGAGTTAGTAACGTTAATAATACATTTAATACAGTTTTACAAAAACTCGAGAAAATTATGCTATTTAACTTTGTATAGCTCCCAGAATGTCTTCTCTTTCCGCATTGGAATATGTTTTTGGCACGTGTTGATAGTGTTGTTTCTATTGTTTTCGTTTTAAGTTTTTTTATTTATTACTTGAAGCTCTCTCTTACTCAAGCAATAGACCGCACTTCCTGTCAGTTAACCTGCGTAATAACCCATGGCGGAACCAATCAGAGCGCTTGTAGCATTTCATTTATTTTATAAAAATTGATAGACTGGTTCCGTCAAAGACGCTAAGGTTATATTCGACTCCATTTGCTTCAAAATTTATCCATAGCCTATAAGCATTTCTTTCTTTGACCCCTTCAGAAATAATTTACACTTCGACTGTTATTATGGCACCTTCCTCCGTGGATTTTACCGCCAGGGAAGTTTACCTGCTACCTTCGATGTCATCACAAAAGGCCAATGCTGCAAGCATCGTAGCGGCCCATCCTCTTATCGTCACTGTTACTCTTTTGAAATCAGTGACTTTAATAGACCCGGCCTGACTAAGTGTGAAGAACATTACTACATGGCGGGTATACGCGTAGGCGCCTGTAGACAGTTATACTGCATCAATCGGATTAGATGCTGCAGAATGAAAACAGGTAAGTACAGATTCCTCAGTTTATTGACTGACTGATTGGTTTATTAGTTGACTGATTGGATGTCTGATCGGCTGACTGACTGACTGACCGCTGACTGATTCATTTACTGCCTCATTGCTTAACAAACCGACTCGCTCATTTGCTGACACTGATTGAATGACTGACCGGTTGGACATATTGACTAAGGGAGGGGCGGGGGAGGGGTGGGTAGACATATGGACAAGAAATCAAGGAAAAGACAACCAAATTGACGAAAGTATGGACGGACAGACAGACAGATAGACGGAAGACGAATAGATAGCCAGAAAGACGTACAAATAGACGAAGGGACAGACGGACAGACAGCCAGAAAGCCAGAAAGCCTGACAGACGTACAGCCACACAGCCACAGAAGACTGAAAGCCAGATAGGCATACAGCTAGCCTGATGGCGTGATAGCCTTACAACTTGACAAAGAAGAATAGATAAATGAATAGATAGACTGACAGACCGACATACAAGAGACGGAGCAACTTCAGTAACTCTGGCTCTTTAAACTTCTTTCCCTTAGATGGACGAGATGATCGAAATCTTGAGATTAGTCTGAAAGTAAATTTGTTGGATGAAAAATGGAATGCCAATCTATTGAATAGTTCGCACGACGATTTTAATGAACTGCAGGGAAAAATAGAAAATAATGTAAGTTCTGATCACATTTTTTGTTAAAGTAAGGGCACTATCATTTTTTGGCTTTGTATCTGAACAGAGGTCAAAATTTCACGTTTAAAACTTTTGTGCGTAAAGGCGATCGGATGATACAGTTACTTGAAACATTTGAGGCAGATGTATCTTACATCAACTTACTAATACACTTATTATATTTTTTTGCATTTAGATCAAGGATATTTATAGCAAGGCTAATAAAAAGCACTATTTAGAGGAAATACCAACACCAACCTTTAAGTAAGTATTTAAAATTCAAAAGCGATAACTGAAAGCTCTCTAATATTTCTTTGTAAATCAGGTGAAAGAACAAAAATTTGGTTTATATCAAGATGGGTTGATTTCCCACTTTTGACGAACATACCTCTCTATTTCCACAACCGGGCTCAGTCAAAATGCTTCTTTTCTTAATCTATGCCGAAGATCAAATTGTTTCGTCTCCGACTACTTTCCATTGTTTTATTTCAGGTCTGGCAGTGTCATAGCAAGTTTCAGCATGATTTTTAATGTTCCTCAGTACGATTTAATCTCTCCGCTCCTGGAAGTTATTAACAAAACAACAGGACCGAAAGAAGTGAATAAACTTGGAAATATGGCAATACAGCTCTTAGAAGTTAATCCACTCAACGGTGGGTTTAGATTCAAGCATGTTATAGTTAAATGGAAGAGTTTACTTTGTTCTTTCTACATAAGAACCTAATAGTCAAGAGACTTCCAGATAGTTTGTACACGTTCATCATTCATCGCGTATCTACAGCAAACTCGGTTTTGAGGTTAACCTTGGGATAAAAAACCGATCGTTAGGCTTTGACAGTCGACCCTTTCCTCTCTCCTATACTCAAGTACATACTTCCCTCCTGTTCGACTGCGACTCCTATTTTATACATTTGAATCTCTGATGACATTTCTTCTTCGCAGTTTACGGCAAATCTTTAAAAGTGACTGTCACCTTGGCTAACAGCTCAACCTTTCAACTGCAGTGGCAATTTGCTGAGGACGATCCGAAGTATGGGACATTTCAAGGGTATCAAGTCTTGTACAGAAAAATCAGTGAAATTACTGATGAATTCTTACTGAGCAATGACATTAAGGAGAATGTTACTCAAGCTTGGTTCTCTGTCAAAGAAGAATGCGAGTTATTTGAATTCAAGGTCCGTGCCTATTCTTTGGAGGGATATGGAAAACTAAGTGAAGCAGTCAACGCGTCGACTCCTTGTAAAGGTAAACGCAATTTTCTGTCGTACTTAGGGCGTGTTTGTAATAGCTTTGTTATCACAAAGCCAAAAGAATATCATCGGTCAATCGTAACCGAACAATTTTCGAGTAAGACCCTGCAGCCATGAGTGGAATATTTTCTTTGCGCGTTGTACGAAGAGGAAACTAACAAGTCAAAATCTTTGCCTTTTCCAGCCGTTCAAAATATTACTGCGACCGCGATTACATATTCAACTATCCGTCTTGATTGGAGCCCCGTCAAGGGAGGTCTTTTTACCTATTATAACGTGACGTATTCGATTACTGAGGCGAGTCTTACGTGGCACGAGGTGGTTGAGCGGAGTTACTCTTGGGTAGATCTTGTAAATCTTCGTGGAATGACAAATTACAGCATGAAAGTTGGTTTGATGTTAGAAGATGGTTTCACTCTCTGGAGTGAGGCTGTAACGAGTGAAACTCCTGAAGGAGGTAAGGAACGAGTCAATCGGTTACCCGCAAATACTCTTGGAAGGAGAGGGGGTTGGCGACCGGTATCTCCCCTTGCTTCGATTGCCGGAACCTGCATCACATTATCATCATTATTATCAGCAGTTTTACTATTTTTTGTTGTTGTTTTTATTCACACCAATTTTTTTGAAAAATACAAAAATCTGCAAGGAAAAGCTTTGTTATTCGACGAAAAAAGTCAAAGGTACAAGAGCTCAGAGACTACGACCTGCTGGCCCATCAAAAATAAGGAATCGCAATATATAAGAGATTATAATCAGTTTATAAACTCATAGACTATGACCTGCTAGCCAATCAAAACTAAGGAATCGCAAAGAACAGTGAATACTCCACGATATGATGCAGTAGAGTCAAGGGCGGTTTTTAAGGCAGAGGATAGGACAAAAATATCCCAAAAACCCTCACTTTCTTACCTCGTCATTTTGTGTTTTCTTTCACCAGCTCCAAGCGCTCCACCTGAAAATGTGATGTCCTACAACCTCAGTGCAACTTCTATTTACGTCACGTGGTCTCCGGTTCAAGAAGAGTTCTTGAATGGCATCCTTCGTGCTTACCAAGTGTTCTATCGAAAGTCGTCAGATACAATATCGTCCCCGATGGAAATATTCTTAACAGTTTCGTCGCCATCAGTAAACATTTCAGATTTAGCTAAATTCACGGTGTATTCTGTGTGGGTGAAGGCGGTTACCACAGCAGCCGGTCCCAGCTCTATCGTTGTCAACGTTACCACTGGCGAGGACGGTAAGATTTTCTTCTTTCATTTGCGCGCTTGAAACTTCCACCTTAATTTGAGTTGTAAAGTAGCTATAGTTGGGAAGCTTGAAATATTTATGGTAGATTTCTTGGTTGAGTCGTGTGTAATCCGTCTAAATTTTCCGCCGCGCTGACGATCTTCTTTCTTTATGTTTTTGTCTTCCCAATTATTTTTTTCTACCTTACCAAAGTAAACGTGTGACTTTTTAGTTGCTGAAAGTAATCCTGCTCTTCGCTTACTTTATTTTTCCTTCAATTTCATTTAGTTCCCAGCTTACCTCCCTCCAATTTATCCGCGTTCCACCTGAGCTCCACTGTTATCCGTGTTGTTTGGGATCCCATACCTACCGAACATATCAACGGCTTGTTGTTGGGTTATCACGTGACTGCTCAAAAAGTTGGCAGAGTAAAGAGAAGTGTTACCATCGAGACATTGAATGCAACATCCATGTCAGTAAACTTAACAGGACTAAGCAAATTTTCTGAGTACAAAATATTGATCAGCGGATTCACTAGTAAGGGTGACGGGATTGAAGCAGAGATCACAAGCTGGACTGACGAAGATAGTAAGTGCTCATGGGTCCGTTATTGACTTTCTACTTATGTACTTCGTGAACACGACATAATTTTATTTTTTCGTATGAAGCAGAAATCGAGATGGCATTGAGGACTTACCAGTTGTCTAATAATAATTTTTCTTTGCCTACTTGGTGATCGATTGAGGGAGAATGACTTATAAAGTGACCCATCGACTTGTTAGCTGATTGTTTATCTGACCAATTGAATGTCTGAGTAATTGGAGAGACTTAAACTACCCCCTTTTAGTCACTGATTGACTGGCTGGTTTACTGTCTGAGATTTTGGACACTACATAATGTTTGTTCTTTTTCTGGTAATCAGCTCCAGACAGCCCACCAACAAATCTTTCTGTACGGAACAACGGAAGCTTGACTTTGGATGTCTACTGGAATCCAGTTACCCACGAGGACCGCAATGGAATAATTCTTGGCTACAATGTTTTGTTATTCGACGCCTTGGGCGTATTTTTAAGAAACGCGACGGTTATGAATTCCACCCAGTTATATTACCAGTTCGAGGACCTTGAGGCATGGACCAACTACTCGGTGAAAGTGAACGCGTTCACATCTAAGGGGGCTGGGCCAGTTAGCTCCAGCATTTTTGTACAGACAGGCGAGGACGGTATGTTGCAGTACCACCACATTATCAACCGATATTACGTCAGACGAGGCCAGTCAATATTTTTGACCAATCATAACACAATGAACCGTGAATTTATCGTCAGGGTGCACTGCATGACTCCGATGACGAGTTCCACGTGACTGTTTATGTAAACGTGAATATTTCTTTTTTTCAGTTCCTCTCGTCGCTCCAACTAACATAACTGGGCATAACACAAGCTCTACGTCTATCTTCGTTGCCTGGCAACCAGTTTCCCCAGAAACAAAGAACCTCCGGGGCATTCACCGTGGATACAGAATCTACTATATGCCACGTGAAACTTCCCGTCCGTCAGCGTTGAGTAACACAACTGTTGATGTCTATACCTCGGAAGCGGAACTGGTAAATCTCTACAAATATACCCTATACGACATATATTTGACAGTGCGAACGAGATGGGACGGACCAAAAAGTGGAACAGTCACTATTTCTACCGATGAAGGAAGTAAGCTGTATGGTTTTTACATTTTTATTTTTACAGCCTAAATTATGATGGCCTAGGGCCTAACTAGCCAAATTGTAAGGCCCCGACCCAGCTCTCCCTGTTTCGTATTTAAACAAGGCACTCGCCTCCGTCCTCCTTTTGAGAAAACGAGACTAAAACATGTTTATTAACAATTTCTACGTCTTACATATCAATGGGGAAACATTTTCAATTTTACTGGAAACGGTATAGTTTCTACCCCGAATTAAAAAAAACCTTCTCAAAGGTTCTCAGTTTACCATAACCATATAAGCAACATCTCTGTAGTTGCCTTTGTACTCATCGTTTTTACTGTTTCTGCTTTAATTTATCTTTTTTAATCCTAATCAATTCTAGTTCCAGACAGCCCCCCCACAAATGTCTCTGCACACGGTAACATGAGCACAGTTGTGGACGTTTTCTGGAACCCAGTAATTCAAGAGGATCAGAATGGCATCATTCTTGGCTACCAGGTCATCTTGTTCAATACTTGGGATAAATTCTTACAAAATGTAACCATCATGAATTCCAACCAGTTATATTACCAGTTCAAGGACCTAGAACCGTGGGTCAACCGCTCGGTCAAAGTGAGCGCGTTCACATCAAAGGGGACTGGGCCATATAGTCCCGGGGTTATCACAACGTTTAACGAAGATGGTAGGTTACTTTTCGATTCCACTTCTTGTCACTACTTCTAACAGCATCCGCCAAGAATCTTCGGGCAAACAACCATCATTCACTTAGCCTCACCCTCATGTTGCATTACTAGACCTTAAACTACTGTCTAATTTTCTCCTATCCAGTCCCCCTCGTTGCTCCTGCAAATGTTACTGGACACAACACAAGTTCTACCTCTATCCTCGTCACTTGGACAGCAATATCTCCCAAGGACAAAAACATTCGAGGTATTCACCGAGGCTACAGTATCTACTATGTACCACGTAACACTTCACGATCGTCATTGGCAAAGAGTGCTGCGGTCGATGTTAATGCCACGCATGTATATCTGTCAAATCTCTACAAGTATACTTGGTACGACATATATGTGACAGTGCGAACGCGATGGGACGGACCAGAGAGTGAGACAATCACTGTTTCTACTGATGAAGGGGGTAAGTTGTGTCCTGCATTTTTTGTTAATCATCCTACGGTCTGTTCCAATGGGTGAAGGAGACGAAGAGGCCCAAGATCCCTTTATCACTCCATCAGTTCCACGTCGAACCTCTTAGGATAAAATTTTTTTCTTCTTCGTCTTATCTCGCAACGGAAAAGAATTTGAACGGGCTAAACTAAGATTTTATTCTTGGGAACGGATCACCCTTAACCCTTTGAGTCCCACTAGTGACCTAAACAGAATTTCTCCTTACACTATCAGTACGATATCAAGCTGATAAGTAATGAGAATAACTGATGAAGAGAAACATCAAATAGGGGATTATTGGTTGATCCAATTCCAAATTCTCCAAACTAACATCACATAAATTGTATGGCAGGCGGCAAGATGAATTACTAATGAAATCTTGAGAGTTAAATGGTTAAAGAAGGTACATTGTCAACAAACTTCTCGAGAAATCTGACGAGAGGCTGAGGTAAAGTAGGTTGCGGGTAATGCCGAAAGGAAACCTGAAAAAAATATAGTGTTATGGTTGATAATCACTTCATAAAATGAAGACGACGAATATCACCAGGTTTTTGGATAAGCTAACATAGCTTTCAATAGTCTTTTATTGCATTTTCTTCATTTTTTTTCAGTACCAGACCTCCCTCCGGCAGACGTAACGGCCAAGCTACTGGACAAGACGGAAATCAGAGTACGCTGGGGTCTAGTCCCTTTGGGTTATCGTTGTGGTATCATAACAGGATATAGGATCTCTTACAACTCCAGTAACTCAAATACCAGTTTTATTGACGTCCCAAGTGACGCTTCAGACGTCATTTTAACGTCACTTGCAAAATTTACCTTCTATTACGTGTACGTTCAAGCTCACACCATAAAAGGAAATGGCCCGGCTCATTATCTGAAGGTTGCCACTTATATGGGAGGTAGGGAAGTGACGTCACTTAAAAGGCTTTCTTAAAAGTCTAAATGAATGAAAACTTCATACAGCTTGTCCTTTAAGCATGGTATAGAAAAACAAAAAGGCAGTCATTTGGGAATGTTGATCTATTATCTTCCTGTTTCCCTTATTTAATGAGTTTCTCAAAATCAAAACCAAAGTTATTTCAACAACCAGTCAGAAGTAAAGAAAATAACTCACGCCTGACAGCAGGCTCGTGCTAATCGCATCAAGCGAGAGAAAACGATGGTGAAGTTGACTTATAAGTCACGATTGGTGATTGGTTCAAAGGATAGGGTTAGTTTTACTTTAGACTAATCGCAAAGCTTATCTCAACCTGGTTGAAAATTTGCTCGATGTCCAATGCATCATTATGAGCAAATATCATAGCAAGAATTGACAAATTCAAAACAAAAGTCTTCAATTTTCGCACTCAGTAGGTTAGGATATTTGGGAGATAACTTTCGTCTTTTTCATATTGTTTTCAAGTTCCTAATCTGGGCCCACCAGGACTTACAGCAGACAATTGGAACACAACTCACACAGTCACAATCAGATGGCAGCCATTGCCTCTATCAGATGATTACGGAGTCCTTGCTGGGTTTCGAGTTCGGTATCAATTGGCGAAACTCGGAGACGTATCTGTCTCAGAAAGTTCTCGGAAGGAGCTGGTAACTAGTCCGGGAACCAATCAGGTTTTACTGGAAAATCTGGAACTGTATGGGACTTACAGTGTTTGGGTGTCTGCTTTTACTCTCGATGGTCACGGACCCGCAAGTTTTACTTATGCAGGTTAAATCTTGGAAAAATCTTCCGTGAAAATTTGTTAGCTTTTTTTCTCCCGTTTAACCCTAAGCTGCGTTTGTTACTATCCCAAGGGGAGTCGTAATGCCTTCAGTTGTAGGGACCTCACAAAAAATTAAACGCCAAAAGCCTAATGAGCACCCTTTTACTCGAATTCTTATGGGTACATGTGAAAGAGCTAATGGTTCTTGTCGAGTATCCATTCATTTAGAGTTGCTCATATGTTATGAGTTGCATTTTCAAAGCACACTCTTTGATCCTTGATTTAATCGTTATATAAATGATTTCATTAATCGCCTATTCCGGTGAACACCTTCGAGAAGCCATCAGCGGGACTCAGAGTTTCATAAAAAACTTGCAACACAATTTAATTTGTTTCTTTGTTATGCCTATAGAAACATGTCGTTGCAATAAGCACCTCACAACAAACTGGCGCCAACTGCCACCCTACGTCAGTGAAAAAAATGCGGACCTACCCCTTCCTGATGGAATTCTGGCTCCTGTCCTAAGTAAGATGGCAGTTACGTGTTGTCAAACCTGCCAAAGTCACGGTGAGTCATTCCTAGAATTTAGTCTTGATGGCGACAAGAGGAACGCTGAGAAACCCAGTGATGCAGCTTTGAAGGAAGCGATTTCAGAGAAAACTGAGTTTCATTTTCCTATCCCGGGATCCATGGATCAAGAGAAGTTCGGCGCGGAGCATGGGTACTGGCCGTTGGTCCAGACACCGGGCGTTGCTTATATCGTAAACACTGGTGACAGTTATACGCCATCAGATGCACTAAATGATACTTTACTTGACTGCTGGGCTGCTTTGCTTGTGGTTTTTGTGACTTCTCTGCTGGCAGGATTAATAATATGGATTTTGGTGAGTTGTTTTTACATTTTTTAGGGGACGAGTTCTACTTGCTTGTATTACGCGAGAGCCTGGCACAAAATATGTTGATGATAGTCAATGCATTAAGACTCCATCACACCGAGTTTAAGTGAGGGAGGGGGGAGGGGGGAGGGGGAGAGGGGAGGGGAAAGGGGATGTTCTTTCAGCCCCTGTCTCCACTCATTGTATTGGGTCAATAATAGAACTGTGGCTCAGTCAGAGATTTGGCTGGTTACGTAAAGGGTTATGGGTAGGCTGGTCATACTTGTTTCCAATGTTTTGTATGGCTTTCGCTTGCGCGCTTCGTTCGCAGACACTCCACAACAATGTACGTATACCATTGTTACTGCTCGTAACCTCACAGGCAAACTAGATTAAAACAATTCTATCCGGAAAAAGATTGTTAGCAGTGGTAAGATTGATCAGTTTAAGTTTGGCATCAACCTAAATGAGCTAGTATTTGCAAAATAATTTGGGGACAGGAAATTTAACGCCTAACATGTTCTTTACAGGAAAGCGTGGAAAATCGAGAACAGTTTCCACGATCTATAACGCGTGGGCCTGGTGAGGGCTTTTGGTGGGCATTTGTTACCATGACAACAGTTGGGTTAGTACTTTCTTATGGTCAATTGCACAATTTTGATAAACATTTGCTTTTTCTTAAATATTTGTGTGATAGGTTCGATCAGATTCGCTTGTAGATTTGTCTATGAACGGGTGCAAAATAACTACCAAGCTCATGCATGGAGTACGAGCACGTGGTCTGGCTAATATTCAATAACCAAACAGCCAATAGGCTTCGCAGATTTTTAGTATTTCATGGTAATTTAAATTATTTTTTCGCAGCTATGGCGATAAGTACGCGGTCTCTCCTGTAGCCAGAATATTTACCGTTCTTTGGATGTTAGTTGGCCTGGTTACTCAGAGTCTCTTCGTTGCCACAGTAACAACGTCGCTGGTTTCCAAGTCTCTAGATACTGACTATAAACTCTACGGAAACAAGGTAGCAGAGCACTGAAATGAAAATAATTGTCCTCTATGAGGGCCACTGACAGTTTTACTCAGAGACATACAAAGATACCAGAGTTGCATGTGGTGCAATTTTCACCTGAATGCCAAAAGTAATCGATCCGAGATTGTGCTAGCTTCCATTTCCTCAGTCTGTGATTGGTCCAGAAAACCCCGCCAATCCCTCAACCAATTAGATGCAAAACTTAACTCAATTGTGCCTTATTTTCCCTTCTTTTTTTCTGATTAGCCGTCGCGATAACTTTGTAACTTTTTGTGCGGCACTCAATGTAAGAGCACTCATTTTAGCAATAAATTTCCAGGTCATACCTTAAATCCTTGTTATCTTACTTTCGAATTTGCTAATTTCTTTTGTCTCTAAAGGTTGCTGCAATTCAAGACTCCTTTGAATATCGTTTTGGGTTGAGACGGAACGCTCAGGTTAATCCTGGTAAGTACAACAATCCAGAACGAAAAGGAGGCAAACACGAGGATGAAGATGTATTTGTTAGAAATGGTTAGTGCGTGCTCTGTACATCGGCTCGATTGGTCTGGTTTCGAGTGTCGGCCATGGATATCACGTCGTGTTCTTGGGGTTTAACACTTCACTCTCTCAGAGCCCTTTCCATCCAAGATTGAATCCAGGTTTTTTAAGGGTTACCGGGAAACTGTCAAGGAAGACCGATATAAAGCTAGGGGGGGGGGGGGGGGGGGGGCGCGGGCCGCGGGGCGGGGGGCAACCTGTGATAAAAAAGAACATTCTTCTTAGAAAGGGGGGTAATGCTCTTCATCGCTTTTCTCCCACAGTGCCCCTCCCCACTCAAGATCCAACCCATGAGTATGAAGGGTACGAGAAATTTGTTGTGGCAACTGAATGAACTATCGTAGGGGGCAACTCGTGATAAAAATTTTCCCGTTGGCTTGAGGGTACAAATCCTCTCAGTCTCAGATAACCTGCTTACTTTTCTTTCTCATCTAGATAACCAGTACACGACTTATGAAGAGATTGTCGAGGCGTTGTTAGACGGTGAAGTGACAGGAGCCTTAATTGATGCATACGTTCTTGGTAGCAGAAAGGATTTGTTTGAAAATCCCTCTCTTCGAGTCATTAAAGTCTTTGACTATTCCTCAGCGTACGGACTGGTGCTTAGCGGTGAAGCTAAAAAGCTCAGAACGTGCTTTGGAAAATTTGCACAAAGCCACAAAAAAGAAATTTTTGAAACTATAGAGAGTCATGTCGAGTCTGTGGAGGTTAGAATCTTACATTACTCACATATGATATGTGGATAATCTTTTGTTGGCCTTCTGAAGGCTTTCAGCGAGTATAGATGAGCGCCGGTAAAAGCGAGCGAGTAGTCTCTCGCTCGGCTTAAAACCCGATTACCAGGAGCAGGTTAATTTTCCGTGTTTTTGAAGAAGTCAAATGCGGAGCGGTTAAAAATGGACAATTAAGCGCCAACTAGCGGTAGACCGACTGGTATTAATTACTTATGGGGGGGGGGGGTGAATGTTCTCATGATTCCTCCCTCACTGGTAGTTAGTTGGCAATCAAAATAGCCTCCACTTTACACTCTGTTCGCGACGTCTAATCCCTCCCTGTTTTCCCTGAAAACCGTGTCAAAAATCACTCAAACCCCCCTCCTCCGTTCCCCTTGAAAGTCATGCCAATAATCACTCACACACACCCCCTCTTCGTTCCCCTTAAAAACCATGTCAAAAATCGCTCACTCCCCCCCTCTGTTCCCCCTGAAAACCACGTCAAAAATCACTCACACCCCCCTCTGTTCCCCTTGAAAACCAAGTCAAAAATCACTCACCCCCCTCCCAGCGACAAATAATGAATGGTATCCAAAGATTATGTATTTAATAATAGCCTCTTGGCAACTTCCTCATATCTTACTTGTGTTTGTGGCATTATTGATCATTTTGATTGAAAGTTATCAATTGCTTTCTCCAGGAATCCTCGATACCACTTGCAGTGGAAAGAACTACTGGGTTGTTTGATATCGAGGGTTCAATGTTCCAAGCAGCTCTTATTTTATCGTCTGCTTTGTTGCTGGTGTTTGTTATAGCAGGACTTTTGTGGGAGTTGGTAAAGAGATTGAAAATTCGACGAATGGTTGCAACTGATGGTGAGTAAAACGAAAAAAGATCAGCTTTCTCATTCTGATTTTCGAAATGAAATTGTTTTGGCTTTCAAAACTTAAATTGGCCACCGTAAAGAGTAAAAAAGCTGACATTTCGACCGTTAGCCCTTCGTCAGAGCGATTGGAAAAATTGCTCCAAATATTTGGCCAATAAAATACAATTTTGGTGCCAGTCGTGACTAGTTCACGGGATTTCTTTCGTAGGTCACATGGAGTTGGTCAAGTGATTGTTTTGATTGGTTCATAGGATTAATATTATTATACACCGGGTCAAAACAAAGCACGTATGACAAACTTTATTAAGCCAATTGTAAAGAAGCTTATATATTAACTGATACTGTAGCCAATCAGACTCACAATTAAAGCTATTAAACATTCCATGCTCAGAATAAATTTTTTGGAAAATTTATTCAGCTCACCGTTGATCATATCATTGTTTTATCCATTTAGGAGATCGTTTGAAGTTATTGACACAGAATACAAAAAGCGAAATGAGTGGCACTGTGAAAGATTTTATAACGGGAATAGAAGCTTTAACAGAAGAACTGAAATCTAAACACTCGAAACAGAGAAGAAATCTTGTAAAGACACTGAAGTCAAAGCAACAGAAGGGCGTATCTTATAATCTTAACGGGCGTTTTGCAGGAGAATCTAAGAGCTAACTAATAATAAGTTGTGGCAGAAATAGAGCGCGTCATTCTCTTTGCAATCATGCAGCCCTGAGTGAACACTCACAAAAAGTTGGACATCAGAAATAAATAAATAAGTTAATAATTAAATAGATAGATAGATGGATAGATGAAACAGCCGTAAACGTGCGTAAATACCAAAATACGCTTTCCATAATTTTCCTCTATCTTCTCCGCCCTGTTCCTCCAAATACCACGCTTATCATTTTTTAAATAAATATTAACATAATATTTGCATCATATCATGTCTCTTGATATCAATTAAGAGCTTACCACTCTTGTTCACGATAGTAAAATGTTTGTTTCTCGATGCAGTCTTGCAATTAACGCTTCGGAAATTATAAAACTGTTGGTCGATCCTCGACTTCACGTCTGAGAGAAATTTTACTTCCTTAGATCACAACTGATCTTAGGGGATATCCTCTTCAGTTCATTCCCTTTGTTAAAAGCAAACGTGACTAAAAACCCATTGAACAAGCTCACGTAAGACGGCAGTTTTACAAGAATCTTAGTTACCTTAGCTTTGAAATCGAAACAGTAGCCCATTTCTCTCATCGATACTATACACGCTTTAATCTGTACCGTCAGGAAAATTCAGAGATTGTGTACCACTTGGAAAAAATATAGTTTATTGAAGTTTAAGAACAACTTCTACGCCTCTTCGACGCCCTCTCAAACCCAGTCTTTGCTCGGTTGAATTGTGATCGCGCGGAAACTGGATACCGTTGTCTGGGGAGACCTGGCATTAGTCGATTTCTTTCGAAATATTTATAACTCCTGCATACGCGATGAAGTTCTACTGCACGGATTGCCTGCTCAAGTAAGTGATATTCGCCTTGAAGATTTATTGAAAGCTTTCGCAACGGGAATAAATAACATTTGTCGTTATTTTGGCATTTTTAGATTTAACTGGAATCAAGTAACAAGCGCTTTTTGGACACGATATCCAAACCCGTTCAGTCGACACGTGCTGTCTGAGGACATCGTAAGCAGGTGGATATCTCTTCGTATTTTCCGTCAGCCTATTGTTACTTTTTGTTACACGTGAAGGATATCTTATTTCTGGAATCATTTGTGTTTTTGTTCTGGTGAAATCTTGGCACTTTTTAGTAGTAGTAAAAGCATCGTGACCTACCACATGCAGCCTTGTGATCTAGTACATTGGTGACGTCAATTGACATTGAACGCGTTTAAGTTACCCTGCCTAATTTGTTTTTTTTTTTGGCTCATCCTCGGGTAACTCGATAGATGAGCATATGTTTTACTTTCCCATGATACATTCTTTTGCAGTATTCTTGAAACAATCTGCTTAAAATGCGTGTCTTTGCTAAGGATCGAGTTGGTTAAAATTGTACTTTTTTTCTCCTCGATATTGGTACTGAAATCTTTTTTGTCATTCAAACCTGAGCTTACAGGTACAATGCTTGTTGCTGTTTGTTTCTCAGGATATCAATATTTTTTCACTTTTCTTGAACACGATAGTTGGGGAAAAATGATATGTTCTTACACCTTTTTATATGAGGCAAATCATTGCAGAGTTTTCTAATTAGAAACCATTTTGTTTCTGTCAACTCTCAAGAAACCAAGTTGAATGGGGATTATTGAATGATAAATTTTACAATACAACTGGCATTACTGTATATTTTGCATTTTGCAAACATTCAGATTTGATGCCCTTAACAAGGAACAGGCCAGGAGTTTTATAATGTTATTCATCAGGCTTTAAAAGTCACAGAATTCAAGTTTGGGTCATGGAAATGCATGGGAAATATTGCAAAAAAATTAGTTCAATTTTGAAGACAAAAAGCAAATAGATTGTCTAAAAATATTATTTTTTAATTTTATTATAGCATTTTGAGTTGTAAAGCATGAAGAAATGCATTAAAGGTTTTTCAAGGCTCAAAATGAGAGCATGAGCTGAATATTTACAAATTTAACCCTTTACACCCTAACATCAGTATGCATATTCTCCATACTTTCTCTATACATTTCTTAAGGTTCTGAAAAGGAGAATTTGCTTAACAATCAAGAGCTTCTTAAGTTGTTGATCATTTCCCTTATTCTCATGACCTTAATGTTCTATTCAGGGGTGATATTGTAAGGAGAAATTAGATGCCAGTCACTTTAAAAGGTTAAAGGGTTAAGTAAAGTAGAGTAAAATCTGAAATCAATAGTCCTTCCCTTCTGACTATTTTCTGAGGTAATTTTTGTGGTTATTTGTTATTTTCAGATCATTAGAAGGAGACAAGCTAGTTACTAAAAAACTAATCACAAAGACAAACAGTCTACCAAGATGGGCAGAGAGAGTAAGAAACATTTTTTACTTCACTTTGGTGACAAAATTTTCAATTATGGGTTATGCCATAACTCAAGTTATTTGAACAGCAAAAAACATAGATCAGTATTGTTCACAACTGCAAATACACACTTTAGATGCAATCCTTGCAGTTTTGAATAATACTAAACTTTTTGAAATAAGGCCTGAAGAAAAATTCAGGCCTGTGTAGGATTTGAACCCATGACCTCTGTGATACTGGTGCAGTGCTCTACCAACTGAACTAACAAGCCAAATGGGAGCTGGTCATTATGTTGGATCCAAATAAACCTTTTACATGGCGAATAATGACTGGAAATATATGAAAATCATGTATGTGCTTATTTAAACTACTAGTTCAGTAGTTTTCATAAGTGGGAGGATCGCTTCTATATTCTATATTCCATTCTATATTATATAAATCTAATTAATTATTTTGTTTATTCTCATTACTTGCCTGCTTGATATCATATTGATAGTGTAAGGAGAAATTCTGTCTCGGTCACCAGTGGGACTTAAAGGGTTAAATATCAGCTAGACTCTGCAATTGATAATAACTCTAAGTTGTGAGACAAATGATTAAACATTTAATTGCTGGTTCAGTGTTATCAAAATGGTGACGGAACTAGATTAAGGTACACCAATTATGCTCATTTTTTTAAAATTGCTTTGCAAGCAGAGTTTGAATGGAATCAATCTTCATCATCTTTTCCCTTGCTTTGGTTTTTAGTTTGTAAATTCCAGGGTAGCGTGTATTGTGGAGGAATCTGTTGTTGACCCAGAGGCCAAAACTCTTACAACATATACAAGAAATATCACATTTACAAGACTTATGGTGGTAGAAGAAAAGTGTGTTTATTCAGTACATCCCAACAACAAAGAATGGTAAGAATCAAATGATAATGCTTTTATTCTGTTCCTGTTGTTAGCAGTCTGGGTGAGGGTTATTATTATATATGTCCTGAAGAGAACTGATGTAAGAATGTTGCCATAACTGGAGGGAAAATCAAAAACCCTTTCACTCCCATGATCTCAGTACTAATTCTCCTTACTATCTGTCATAGAAAGTTGTTTGTTAGTTTGAAGAATTTGGTATTGGATCAACTAACAATCCCCTAATTTATTGGTGGATTGTCTTTATTCTCATCACTTGTCTGCTTAATATTATATTGATATTGTAAGGAGAAATTCTGTCTTGGTCACCCACAGGAGTTAAAGGTTGACAGAGAACTAACTGTAGGAGTGTACATTTTCAGTTTCATAATACGCTGGCTTTGATACTAAAAAAATTTGAAATTCTAATTAATGAGTTAAGATTAGTATTTAAAGTTTTAACCTTTTTTTTTATTAAGGACAATGTGCAAGAAAGAATCTTGGATATCTTGTGGTATTTTTGGTTTTGCAAGACCAGTTGAAAGATTTGGAGTTGAAAGATATAAATCAAATTCATCTAAGGTATGTTGTTTGAATACCACTCCTGTTACAGTTAACTGTATTTCTTGTCACAAAAAAGGTAAACACATTAACTTAAGTGTATTGGATGGAACATAACAGGGTTTATCATGTGACACTTATGGTACATGAGATCATGGGCACAGATAGAAACCTAGGGAGGACCTAGGCAGCTGCAGGCAGAAAAGAAGGAAGGAAAGAAAAGAAAGAGCAAAGGCTGTATGACTGAGTTAGTTCAGGCTGGATGCAAGAATATATGGCTGTCATTCACAAGGCTTTGACCTCTCTGCACTCAGTCCATATGTCACAATCATGAGCCAAATATTTTCCTGCCCAGCCTCTCCCACTCAGTCAGTAAGTTTGTACTATTATACAGCATTGCAGAAAAACACTTTTTTATGAATTTTTTTTAATTACTTTTTTTATTAGGCTCTAAAAGGTCTGAATCATGTGCTGGAGAAGCTATATATTCCTGAAAGACTTTCAAGGCCACTCTCAATCCCTGTGCCACAGATGAGTTGATATGCCAGGTCATCCTTCCTTCAAATTATGATATTTTGAATCCAAAATGTAGGAACAGGAAGTTTATACTTTGTAAATTTATAACTTGTCATACAGATGGGGCTGCTTCATTTCGTTACTGATGCAGCATAAACTAGGCACTGCCTACAAGGGGCATGAAATTTTTATTTCTGCCACATTGAGTGTTTATCACTTTTTTGTGAAGATCAGCTCGGAAAAAATATATGTATATATAATTATTATATAAAAAAGCATTCAAATAAAAACAAAAACAGTCAATATGGAGAACAGCAAGTTGCTGTGAGAATTTTGGAAGCAATTGCCTCCACACTAACTTGTTTGTCTTGGTTAATATGGGTTCATTTTATAAAGGGATTGTCATCATCGAGGAAAGCAATAAGGTGGATAGGTAATGTGCAGACTCTCTTCTCTCCACGCAACAACCATTCAATCCCTGTGCCATGTAAAAAACAATTTGGCAACTAAAATTTCATATTGGGGTGTCATTTTTTTAGATTTTAGGTTGACAAATGGTGACTTTGGAAAGAAGTGAACTTTGGGCCCTTGTCGAAAATGTGAAAAAGCTGTACCATGCTTCCCTATTAACTCAGAATTTATTCACCTGATTTTAATGATTTTACTACAATGCTTCAGGTAACTCCCACTCACAACTCTCAGCTCATTCAAAGGAAACACACACTCAATGTCCCATTATAAGGATGTGGAACGGTGCCATATATGGGGCGATAAAACATATGTGGCATACATGTTTGTTTGGTTATGTATAAAATAAACAAAATCACTTATAAATGTCAATCAAATTAAAAATAATTAATGCATCATACAGTGTCTAATACCCTTAATGGCAAATGTTATTTCAAACATTTTAATGTAGACTTGAATTTGAGTTTCTTTTTTTTTTTTTTATTATTATTATTGGAGGATCCTACAGGGAAAACCAGTTTACATGATGTGTTAATTAAACTATGGGGAATTTGTACAAGTTAAACTCCAGGGTAATAGAGCTTCAAGGAAGGCAATGATTTCCATATTTCTCAGAAACTTGGTTTGAAATATTTTCATTTTTTGTCTATGTTTCTGTGATAATTTAAGTGCCAAAACATTGACATCCTCAGTCATAATGTAATTAGAAAACTGGTTTTTGAACAATCTACAATTTATGGGTTCAAAGGTGGCAGGTAGTGAATTTATGTTTTTTGGATATTTCACCTTTGAAGAGTTAAATAAATAATTTATTACTTTTCATTAAATGACATTTACTTCTTTATGGTAACTGTCAAAATCATTGTCATTGGATACTGTCAGAGGATGATAAGAGTTAAAATGGAAAAAAGATGAAGACACTATTTTGGTGTTGTCTTCACAAATTTAACAGTTTGAGAAATTTGAAATAAAATTGTTGAAGAAGAATTGTGTCACATTTGTCTCTATAATTTTTTATATTTTTAATTTTATGACTTTTGAAATTTTCCTTTGTAGCCTGCTTAACCCTTGAATTCCCAGAAGTGATTAACATGTAAATTCTCCCTATAATGTCCATATATTATTCAGCAATCAGATAATGAGAATACTCTAACTTATCAGGCAGAAGTTGTTATCTTGATCTAACACCAAATTCTTGTAACTAAGTGGCAAGAAAATGTGTAACAGCTAGAGGAGAGAATTAACAATCAGATCTAGGTAGTAAACAGGTTAGTATACAGCAGGAAAAATGACCAAAGATTAGTTCTTTCCTTTCGTTGTACAAAAATTTTCAGATAATACAAAAACATTGAGGCATCTCATAGCTCTTGTCAGAATAACAGCATCTAACAAACATTAACGTCTTTAATGGCCCTGAGGCCACTTTTGTCTCGCAAATTAACCTCAGTGGCACAACAGTTTGTTGAAAGTAATGTCTGCCCCTCATGAGCCTCTTATTTGAGGGCTGACATCTACTTTCAAGGGAAGCAATGTCATTTCATCTTCCTTTGCTGCCCTTTTCTTATGTGGAATTTTCTCTCCAGCGAATACAATATGTCACTTGAGCCTTTGCTGCTGAGCATTGCTGCCTTTGTTATGTTGCAGAATACTGCCTTCTGTCCAAAGTTAATTTCTAGCTGGTAGTTTGGTGTATCAGTTAAAAAGCTTTTGGGAACAGGTGCCCAGTGGTGTATAAGGATTCAGTGTCAGATCCAGAGAAGGGGCTGAGAAATCTGCCCTCCCTCCCCTCCCTCCCCTAACCCAACCCCATCAGCTCTTACTTATCTGAATCAAAATTCTCTTAACAGTAGAATTACATACTGCCGCTGGACTTTCAACATATTTTAGCTCGTTAAGGCTCTAGATTTATTGATTTATAAAAAATTCATTCTGCAAAGGGATTCGTGCGAACTGTTACGTTACATAACATAAAGATTAGGCAATAGTTAACTAGTAGAAGTTTTCATATCCCCTACTTTGAAATTCCGGAAATGATCGAATGTAATTATGGTCAAATCAAACAATAAAAGAATGACAGCAGCAGTCAGACACAGGATGGCGGCTTATTTCAAGCTCTACCGCCAGAGATGCGTTACAGCACAGCGATTGGGTGATCAGTGGTTCCACCCTGTTGATTGCGAGGCAAAACAAACGTTCTGTTGGGATTGTGTCTGGGGGTATTTCACTGGAGGAATTGATCTTTGTAGTAGTTAGTTTATGCAAAGTGAGGATATTGCCATAAATTCTTACAAAGTTATGTTATCAAACGGATTTCCTTTGGAGGAAGTTGCAACTTCACGACCTATGGTGATTTGAAATTGTGGGTTGCGTGTTACGTCCAGGCGACCACACAGAAATAACGAGTTCTACTTACAACATGGCTCCATATAACTCGTCAATGAAAGTTTCTTGAATCTGATGTAGTTAACACTCCAAAGAGAGGTCAGTGACAATTAGTTATGGGTTCTGGAAGTTCTATTACGAAAAAAGTGATCGTAGACGACGAATTTAGTGAAGGAGATTCCATGGTGACCAAAAATATTCCCATCGAATGTCCGCCTGGACGAAAAACTACATCACTTAAACCAAGTGGTTCGATTGGCAAGAAAAAGAGTCGGAGAAGCACAAAGGCTAAACCAGTAATAAAAAGCTTTAGTCTCCGCTCTGCTTTTTCTGTGGAGCTAGAAAGAGAAGCTGATGAACTCCGTAAAGAACTTGAAATTTACCGACAGAATAAAGCAACAGAAATTGCCGAACTTGAAGTTCGGAAGGAGAAATTGCATAGCGATAACCAGCGGCTTCGTGGCGAGATTAAAGCTTTACAAGCCACTTGTTTAAAGTTAAAGAACGAAAGGGCTATGGCATTGGAAGGAAGGGATCAAGCGCTTCAGAGAGCAGCAGCATTTGAGAAAGGTAAGACAAAGCTCTGTATGTGCTCCAATTCGGATTTGTCTTACTTTACCATCGTGCAGCTGTGTTTACATCCGCTTACGAGCTTGTCAAGGAATCTATGAATTAACTGGTTGAATCGTGATCGAGCACACATACAAAATATTCAAATACTTAGATTTATGTTGGCATTTTGTGTTATAAATAATTGATTTTGTCGTAGTTACTGTGAGCGAGACAAGGGACATACGTGCCCAAGATTAAGGTCTGCAGTTCAAGTTACTAATTGTGAATCGCGACAATTTCTTTGTCCTTGATCGCTGACCATCACTTGGCTAACCAAGAACTTGAAACTTTCTATTGATAGTTAATTTGATTACTCGAGCATTTTCCACAACATTTCCGTTCATGATAATGTCCCTGATTTTTTTTTAATGCTTGTGGCGGATATTGAGGAAGTTAAGTAATATAATTACTCTCAGGTTTTTCTTTGGGTTTGCGATCATTACTCTGTGTTTGGTGGATTCAATGTTGCTTGACCTAAGAATACAGATCATTTCAGGGGTAGTCATGCGCAAAATCTAGAAATGCGTACAATCTATGCTTACTTCCATGGGGAAAATGTCCGTCTAAAGGTAGCAGCAGTGCCCATATCAGGCAGCAGTATTGGGTTTTTATCTTGTGGGAATGTACATATCAGACCACAGAAGTTTATAAACTTTGTCAGCAGACCTTCTATCAGTTTCTGATTTTGTATTTCCACAATTTATTGGAACAAAAAACAAAAAATGACAAACTGGTCAGAATCAGCTGCAGTTTTGACAGTAGGTTTTCTAGAGAATTATTTGAGGAAAAATGTTTTTAAGGACATGTTGCACTGCAATCTTAACACAAACTGTTTTTTTTTTCTTTTTTGACCAGGATGCTTGCATTGTAACTTTACATAACCCACACTCTTACGCTTTTTGTGCTTCTTGTAGTTAATTTGTGTTAATCACACCTTATTTCCTACACTCAGTTCCTGAAGTTTTTAGATCTTCAAGATCCAGCTTCCCCTTTTATAACCTAACTGCACAAAGTAGCATACAAATAACCTTCGAATAGAGTACAGATATCTTGTGATATTGAATGGTTATTTGGACACTTGGTTATTTTGTGCTGTAAAAAAACCTGTTTAACCAGTTGGCTGTGCACACTAATTGCTTCTTGCTTTGTTTTTCCTACCCTCTGAGAAATTAGTTGAAAGACTTAGCAGAATAAAAAAACAGTCAGAAGTTTTTTTACAAGTTTTACAAGTTTTTTTGTAATTTGATGAGGCCATAGGGATCATCAAAATACAAACAACAAGTAAAAATACTCAACAATACTACACACCAAAATGTCTAATAAGTTATACTGATTTATCTCCTCTACAAATGGTTTTAAAGCACAATGTTTTTGGGATACCATTCCAATATACTAGTAGTTTAAGAACTTTTTCTTTTGTTTGTTAATCTAATTCTTTGAGTTAATTAGAAACTTCTAGATACTGTTAGTAGCTTCTTAAGTGCATCAGAAGAATTTCCATTTCTTGTTCAGACATTGTTATTGTCTCTTTTCGTGATCATCTCCCCAGTATGTGGGCAATTTGCCTCAGGAAATGTTTTGTGTTTGCGGCTGTGTCTATGAAGATGACAATTATAATAATCTTGTTAAGAAGGCTTACAAATAAAAGTGTTTGAATAGTTGAAACAGCCACAGAAATGTACAGACTTATCAAGATATATCAGCGTTCACAATGTGGTGGATGATTAATCAATTTAAGGCTCATGTGGTCACGGAATTCAGTCCAAGTAACTTTGATGTGATTCAGAGTTACATTAGATTTGTAATTTGTGACATATTGCTCAATGCAGGTCTGCACAGCCTTTTTTAGAGCAACCCAGCCATCAAATGATTCAGGATCTTAAGATCAGCAGCATTTTTGGTGGCATCTCATAATTTGTCATTTTAATTCCATCCAACCATCTCCTTTGGGAGATATTTCTTTGATGACGCAAAGGAAATGATCAAGTCTTTGTGTATATTTCTTATAGGAATATTCTGACAGCGGACAGGCCTAAATTACTTTTTGAAATATTTGTCATTAGAAACCATTTCTATGGTACAGCAGAGGTGTATGTTATGTACATGTCGTGTTTCTGGTTTATGTTGGAATTGAGTACAACTCTAGAGTTGTGGTGGCCCTTAATGATGTTGTCACCATGTTAGTCATGAGGTTAACATCTGAGTGTTAAAATAATAAATTAATAGTGTTAGTTTTATTAGCAAGGCTAGAATAAACATTGTTTACTTAATCCAATGGCAGTGTGCATGATCAAGTTCTGATTTAAGCTCAATTGTGGCTTGAGAGTTGTTTTTTTTTGGCTCAAAAATAGTGTGGGACAATTGTAATTTAATGCAACAGATTTTGACCAAGATTTAAAAATCTGTCAGTGAACATATTGATTACAGTCTGTCAGTTTTTGCATTAATCCTTTGATGGCTTAGAGTGACTGGTATGTACATACAATTTCTCCTTACAATATCACCCCTTAAACACACACTATGTTCTTGATTGTTGAAGAAACTCTCCATGTCAGCGTCTTTGGAGGTGTATGGAGAACAGTATAGAGAATATTTATACTGATGTTAGGTTTTAAAGGGTTACGTACATGATTGTGACTTGAAGACTTCAAAATGAGAAACATTTTAAGTTGTTAATGTAAACATGCAAATAATTTACCAAACTTGACTGTGTGCCAAAAAGAACAAATTGGGAAGATTTCGCAAATGAGATACTGTGAAATCTTTCTGGTCCAACAAAGCATGAGGTGTTTAGACAATAAATTGAAAGTGAAAAAAACAATGATCTGTAATTCATAGCCTGGAAGAGAACAGGGAGTGAGATATTTATTAAATATTTTCCATCACACACTGTTGGGTTTGGAAAATGATTAGGTGTAAGGGAGAGCTGACAAAAATGACTGATGCATGTCTAAACCAAAGTTAAAACCAAGCGATGGTGAAAAAAACAATTTCAGCAGCAAAGACAATTCTAAATTTAAGCATGCAGAATGATAGGTGTAGCCAGCCAGACTGCTTATTGATTGCTGTAAGCATAGAAATGTAGAGATTTGTAAAATGTTAACAATGAATGCTTAATATGGTCTTTGTTAGAAAGGGACAAAGTTCAGCGACAGTTCAAGATCTTCAGGGAATCCAGAGAACGTGAAATACAAGATGTACTGCAAGCAAAGCGTGACCTTGAGCTTCAGTTTCAGCAGTGTCTATCAGTGTGGTCACGAGATGAAAACAGGTCAGAAGTTGTAGGCAACATGGCCACAGACTGGTGGGCGTCATCTCTGGAGAGTGACCCAAGCATTGATAGTTTAACACATGTGACATCTTTTCGGGGACCTGAATTCTTTCACAGTCCATTGGAGAAAGAAGGACCTTTTACCAACATCAGTAGAGGTATGATATCAAGGAACCCTTTAACCCCTAAGAGTGACCAGGTTCAAATTTCTTCTAACAGGTTAAGCCCTGAATCAAACATTCTTTAAGGTCAAGAGAATACAGGGTGTGGCTATCTCTAATGAAAAACAAATTATCCTGTCTTGTCTAGTGTCTTGCAAATGCATTGAACTGAGGACTAATATCACTAAATCTGTAGTATAGTTCACTAACCTTTAACCCTCCAGATCACTTATCTTTCAAGACCAAGACAACTCTTAGTCTTATGAAACTTTTCACCTTGATTAAATTTCAATTCAGATGACTGGAATGCAGTAGTGCCCTCAGTTCTGCAGCTTGCATCATTAAGTCTCCAAGCTCCAGTCCAGCAGCAAACAATCAAAATGTACATATCTGCACCAAGTGGCATGCAACAGGAAGTTGATCTTTTCAAGCAGGTAAGTGCACTTGGTACATTTGCCAAAAAATGTGCTTCCTTTGTCTGGCCCTTTGACCTCCTAACAGTGACTAGCTAGCATCTTATTCCTCCTTTCAGTATCACCCCTGAAACAAACATTACTGTCACAAGGGTAAAGGAAATAAATTAAATCACCAACTAAATAACCCCTTGATTTTAAACAAATTCTCCTTTTCAGCACCTCAGGAAATATATCTTTACAGAACAGTATGAGGAATGTGCATACTGATGTTAAATTCTCAGGATTCTCCAGTGTGACCTTACAGGTTAAAGCCTATCTTACCATGAATAAGGAGCAAGACATGTAAACAAAAATCAGAGGGGACAGGTTTGCAGACTTATGAATGATTTAATTTTTTTTACAGTTATATATTCCCAGGCTTGAGTGGCTTTGTGAAAGTCATGGAAAGTTCCTGGCAGTTGTCCATTTTGAAGACACAGAGGAAGACTTAAATGAAGAGGTACTATTTCTGTCATTAATTGTAATAACAGTGAGAAATTGTTGGATCAATCTGTGCAAGCTTACCCAAAATTAAACCTAACTCATTATCAGGTGACTGTTATTGGGTTAGGGGAGGGGAAGATGTGCTTTTGCTCAGATACTATCTTTGATCATATTATTTTTAATTCAATAACTGCTGTTAGAGCATTAACTACTAACACTGTGAATATAGGTTAACAAAGTCAAGAAATCATCTGTAACCCAATGAATTCTCTTGACATCTTTCTAAATTACTTTGAAAATAATTGAGTACTGTGATATTTAGAGGAAATTATTGAATGTTTTCTTGTAAAGGATATAACGGCAATGGTCCAGATGAGAAGAAAGCAAATAAAGGAGAGTAAGGTGTTCATTGCATTTTTGGGTGGAAAATCAAACAGGTTTGTCTAGAGATTTTTTTCTTTTCATTGCAGTATCAAGCTCAAAATTTGCCGTCGTAATAATTCTATCTTTTCACATGAGGCTTTCAACATTTCTCATCTTAGCTGTATACAGGGCTATTGTTGCTTATTAACCCTTTTGTTTTCAAGATCTCATTAGTAATTCTCCTTACCATTTGCTACACAATTCTTATGATGTTAGCTACAAGAAGTTGGTTTTTGATCAACAAATAATTCCTATTCTCTATTCTCATCACTTGTCTTCTCGAAATTGTATCAATGTTGAAAGGAGAAATTCTACCTTGGTCACTTAAGGGAGTGAAAGGGTTAAAATTATAGCAATTTCTCAACTCACCTCAGAGTTCTCTGAAGCTCAATGGTTGAAAATTGTCAAAGCATGGATTCAAAGGTCTGAGATTCAGTTCCTAATGGGAATTTAGATGTCTTCCTTAATTGTTCCATGGTTGTGTTTTAAGTCCTAAACCTGAACCATGAGTTTTTCAATTGGGTCTTCTTATTCATTTTTAACCCCTCAGAAAAGGCAGAAATAGAAGTGAGGGTACCATAAATTAGTCCCCTTTTCCCATGTTTGGAATTTGTTTGTGTACTGCAGTCTTCATGAGCTGCACAAAATTTTTATCATTTCCTCTTGTTTAAGAAATGACTCGCTTAACCTTTTAACTCCCAGAAGTGATTCACATGTAACTTCTCCCTACAATATCTGTCCACTATTTAGCAAACTGGTAATGAGAGTATTCAAATGTATCTGGTAGAATTTGTTTTCTTGATCAAACACCAAATTCTTGCAACTAATTTACAAGGAAATGTTTAGCAGCTAGAGGGGAGAATTAACAATCAGATCCTGGGAGTTAAGAGGTTATTGGCTGACATTCTCCTCTGGTTTTGAACTCAAACAAGAATTTAATCAGCTTGCATTTTGTTTTTTCAGTTTTACGTATGAAGAATTTCACCAAGCGCACTTGAGTGATCCTGGCAAATGCCATCCTATCTTCTGTTTCAAAGACCCAGACTGGGATAAGTAAGTGAAATATGTTTGACTTACTTGTTGAAGATATGTGAGAGACACAGGCACCTGGTACTGTGCTGGACTGACCACAGTAGGGGATACAGTAGGAGGGTGTGGATTGGGGGGGGGGGAGGAGAAGGGGGTTGGTAACCACATATGAAGTTGGGGTCGGGGGTGGTTATGGGTTGGTCTAGAAGACACACCTCTTGGAACCCCCCTCCTCCTTCCTTCCTTTATCACAATTCCTGGATGTGCTCCCAAACTTGTGTCATGTCTGAAGGCTGATGAATGGAAATTCTGACTGAACAGATTGTCTTCTATACAATGTGAAAACCGTGTGTCTTAAGTAAAAAAAGAATCCTTTTTTATTGTGAAATACATGGTTAACCCAAACTGTATATGAATGTATTTGAACATGCTACAATTATGTGAAATGAATGCAATAAACAAACAGAAAAATTGGAGTTGAGAATGAGGTAGCTCTAAAATTGTGTCATGTTTTCTTTGTGATTATTTTTCTGTGTAAATTTTCTTCAGTGATCCATCTCTTAAAGATGAAAGTATTTTTCTGGCAGAGCAGTTGAAGACAGAAATCAGAAAAACAGATGATATGAAGGTACTGTAATTAGAAATTATGGTTACTCAGGTGAATTCAGTTCCACTGAAAATGTTTACAGTAATGAGTCATCTGATGTGTTTAATAAACACCTTCTTTCAGGTTTTCTATAATTTCTTTTCTATGAAACCTTGTCTTTTAGAATACACCTCTATTTAATCATGATATTGTTGCAATTTTTATTATTGTAGCTGTTTGACAATTACAAGACGTCAGAAAAAGGAGCAGAACTTGCATACAGGGAACTTAAGAAATTCTTAGCAAAGGTGAGGTAAACATAGTAACAAAGGACATAAAACACTGAACAAAAAGTCTCCCTGTGCTTTTCATTTGCTTTGTTTGTACTGCTTCCAAAACGAGTCAATGTTGCAACTAATTTTATACCCCTCTGATGTAATTCTGTCCTAGGAGAAGGTTTGTGATCAAAGACCAAAACAACATTTTAACTGATTCTTAAGTTATTGCTTGGCTAAAAATGTTACTCAATTATCTCCCAGAATGCTGGAAATTATTTCTTAGAGACTTTCAAATTTCACATTTATCTGGGGGCAGACCCCCAGACCCATCCTGGATGGGCTTGTTGCTCTGTTATTCAGCTGCCTACTCTTTTCAGATCATTCATCTATTACATATTTTAATGACAACACTGGCAATGGCAACTTATGCTTTTGAAAAATTCCTTAAAGTGCTCCTGTGATAACTGGTTAGCCTTAGTTACAGACCCTATCCCTGCATACAGAGGATTTTCTTTGATAAAAGCTTTGCCTCAATATTTCTTCTTTCCCTCAGGAACTTGGCTTATTTGATGACCATTCATCACCTGTTGATGCTCACTTCCTTGATGGTTCTTCTTGGGATATGGCAGAGGACTGGGAGCAAGTTGAAACATTGAAGGCTGCTGCAGAATGCTCCTGTGAAATGGGGCTCAGTAAAGTATGTTGAGGTTTGGTACATGTACTTGTAAGTATCAAGCTTCAACTTAAAAGAAATTCCCACCCCACCAGTCAGCTAACTGATGCGAAATCCAAATACTCTGCCACTACAAATAAATTTCCATGGCTCAGCAGAAGAAGTGTCAACTCCTTTACTTGTAGAAGTAATTGATAGGTGACTCTTTCGTACAGCAGCAAAACATTATCCATCACATACACGTGGGCATCATTCTCCCTAATTTAAAGCATGATAAGTAAAAGAAGAAATCCTTTTACAAGTTGAATGTTCAAGAATTCCAAGCAATTTTAGATGGAAAGTAAGTCAGAGCTACTACAGGCGGTAAATTTTACTAGTTACAGTGTGAATTACTCCTTCATTAATTACACTAATTTCATAGCAATAGTATCTGTCATAATTTATGACATTATAATTATTACTGCCAGTTCTATAGCGACCTCAATGAACATGTGTCCAGCGCAGGACTCAAAGCTCCAATGCTTGTAAAAGGCGATGCTGGGTTTGGAAAATCACTTCTCTTGGCAAAGTGGTAGGTAACTTTGTGTTACAATCAGTCAGCCATTCTATTTTACTCAAGGCTGTAGTTTAAATAGGAAGAAGCATAACCAGGCTTTAGTTGATGATCATTTCCTTTATTCTCCTGACCTTCATGTGTGATTCAGGGGTGATATTGTAAGGAGAAATTAGATGTTAGTCACTCTAAGGGTTCAAAGGGTTTATTATAGAATATGCTCTCCCAGGGGTTTGGTGTTATGCAATTTTGTGAAATACATGAATAAAAGTCTCTAATATTTAGATTCATGCATTCTAATTGTAAAAGGACCTGAAGAGAAGTTTACTGTATGTTTGTATCAACTTGGTGGTCTCTACTGACTGTTTTTTGGAATGAAGTAATTTCCTTCAATTCTTTGGCTTTAATCTTTATACACACATCCTCTTTTCCATTCAAGTTGCCCCAGAGAGTTCTTTGGTTCCCTCTCTGTAGTCACCGTGATGTGAATGTAGTAATTAGTGGAGTGACAATGTTTTAACAGTTTCTTCGTTTTCATTCATTCAGGATAGCTCTGCAACAAAGCAGTTTGTCTGGACGGCTGGTGCTTTATCACTTTGTTGGATCATCTTCATCATCCAGTGCTAATTCAATTCTGATGATACGAAGGTTTACTCTGCAGGTAAAGTGTGGTGAAGTGCATGATCACTTGATATTTTGTGGCATACCAAAATAAATTTTGTTTTCTGTGTGTAAGTGTGGTGGATTTCTTGCAAACCATTTATTTGGCATCCAAAAGTTTTTTGAAATTTGTTCTCAAACAAAGTGGCATCATTACCATCGTCATCATCATTGCATCTTAACCCTTAAACTCCCAGCAGTGATCAACATGCAACTTCTCCCAATAACATTCATACATTACATAGCAAACAGGTAATGAGAATTCTTAGTCTTATCAGGTAGAATTTTTCATCTTGATCTACTGTAACACCAAATTCTTGCAACCAATTTACTCAGAAATGTGCAGCAGCTAGAGGGGAGAATTAACAATCAGATCTCGAGAGATAAAGGGTTAAGTAATGGTGTCATGGTTATTGCAAAGACTATGCTTTCAGGAAAACTGCTTTTTATTATTCTGAATAAATTCGAAACTTACTGTGAAAAATTTTTAAGGAAACATCTCACAATTAGCTCTTCTTTTGCTGTACAATAATTTTGTAATAGTTTTTTTTTCTATAAACATCTTAGTTGATGAAGCAGTTGGCATCATCACGTGCAGTGCCATGTGACCCAGGTCACTTGGAAGAGGAGTTTCCACGGTGGCTGGAGAGAGCTGCATCCAAAGTCCATGGTGGTATCACCATAGTAATTGATTCAGCTGATAAACTACAAGTATGAAAATATTTGTGTGTTAGCATTGCATGCTTTTCTTCAGTAGGTTGTTGGATGTTAAATTACTGTCTCAAGTGAGGCCTTAACCCTTAAAACCCCAAGAGTGACCAGTATCTAATTTCTCCTTACTTTATTACTGCTGAATCACTCATTACAGTCCTGAGAATACAGGAAATGATTGCCAAACCGAGAAATTGTGTGGTGAATTCTCCTTGTCAGTAACAAGGGACATTTGTAGAGAAGAGGATGGAGAATATGGATACTGATGTTAGGGTGTAAAGGGTTAAACTACAAGTTTTAGTCATTAACCTTACACACTGTTCTTGATCAATGGCATCAATTAGGTATTTGAAAACTTGCCACTGTAATTGACCAATTACAGCTAGTATAGGACCTCACTTTAAACAATAGCGTGTCAGTTATCAAAGATTGCTTCCAGTGTAATATGTGGAAGAGCTGGCCAGATAATTTGTATTGATATGGATAAATTGAAGATTGAAAGGTAGGAGGCTTAAAATAGTTGATGATGCTTTAGTTATTTTGTAAAGAGTTTTAAAACCACTTTGTCATTTTATGCTTCATCAGGGTGCACCTAATCATATGAAGTGGTTGTTGGATCCTTTGCCTGTTGGTGCAAGAGTTATTTTATCCGTCACAGAAAGCACTTGTCCTTTAGCATGGAGGTCAGTTTGTTGTTCTAATTAAGAAGAAAAAACCCTTTAACCCTCATTACACTCTCAGAAGTTGACAGAATGTATTTTTTTTCTTACAATATCAATACTTTTTTAAGGGTGTTGAGAAGAAAAAAGAGCATGTTTACATGATCCCTTATAAATCTGTCTGAGAGTGTTTCTTGATAGTTGATTGTTTTGACTGTAGGCCATGGTCATCACTGGAACTTCAGCCTTTGGATTTCAAAGGCAGTGTTGAATTGCTTGCTTCTTCTTTAAACAAGCTTGCAGTGAATATACCTCAAGAACAGGTAGGAAAACGCATTAGTATTGGTCGAAACAGTGGCATTTTTTTCCACTTTGGGGATGTTTTGTCAGGTTTTAACTAATTTTGGTCTACCATGATGGCTACATCATTTTCGTTATCATAATCCTTTTCTTTAAACATCAGTGTCATTGTAATTATCATTTCATTATCATTTTCATAGTCATTTTTTGAACAATAAGAATTTTATTAGGCATTTTAATACTAGTACTAACAATAGTAACTCTTCAATTCTGCATTAATCTTCAGTATGCATATTCATTTCATTATTTCATATTCATTCCATACAGCTGTTTCCACATTTCCTAAAGTGCTGACAAGGAGAATTTGTTTTCTAATTGAAAGCTTCTTTCACTGGTGATCATTTCCATCATTCTCCTGACCTGAACATGTGATTCAGAGGCGATATTTGATGTTATAGTCACTCTTAGGGATTAAAGACTTAGTTTGGTAAAACATTCAGCAAAATCACTACACAATGTAAACAACAGTAATGATTAAAATAATAACCATGAAAAATATTCTAATACTAATATTTATGATAAAAATTTTTAGTCAGATAATCTATGGCTAGAAATTAAATTAAAGTTTAAAACTATGCTTAATAATTGTTCAAAAGCTGATAAAATAAAAAATTTCCAAATCAAATTGCTCCCTCTGTTGTCTTGATGCCAAAATCAGCGTTCCTTTCATTGCAGGGAACTCTCCTCACTGACTCTCCTCACTGCGTTTCTTTGTCATTATCAGTATTATTATTACTGTTATTATTATTATTATTATTATTATTATTATAATTGCTATTATTGCTATTATCTTTCTGGCTATCATTATCAATATCATTTTCAACAGGTCAGCAGAATGCTTTATAATTCCCCTTCTGAAGACAAATTCAATCCAAGATTTCTAACTCTACTGGCTGCAGAGATGGCTGCGTAAGTAACAATCACAAGCACTTTCCTTATTTGATTATTGCAGTGTATGTTGGTACAATAACATGTAAACTCCTTACAATAGTGTTAATTTAGAGTAGCTTCAAGAAAAGTTTGTGACTTTAAATTCACCATGGAGAAAACAAAACATGATTCACAGTTCTATGTTTTTTTTTTGTTGTTGTTGTTTTTTTTGGTTTTATCACTGCTAGATGATTCTGTCAGGGTGAAAGACAAAAGTATAATGCTCAAAATTATTCATTGTATCTTCTAGTTGTGAAGATAGAAAAGCTCTGTTTGACCACTTTGCAGATTGTTTATCCCAAAAGGTTTGTATGTTAACCCAATAATCAACATGTTCCTGTGGTACTGAACTTGTTCTGATTATTGTTGCTTGAACTGCAGTGTAGTTCTGCTATGTTGAAAATTTCTAGACTCACCCCGTCCTGTCCTCCTTACTCCCCAAGGATTCACAATTTTCTCATGATCTCAATTGAACTCATCAATGCTACAAACAATTTATTGATTTATGATATCTTGCATGTTTGTACCTGAAGTGATGTTATCGCATGACTGGAATTGGATAAATTAGTTCAGCACCTAACAATATCACTTGTTACATGTCACTGAGCAAAGCAAATTTCATAGGTTTGATGTCACCCTATTCTCCCTGTCACACAACATTTTCCTTCCCTTAGTTGGGTTGACCAAGCAATGGCTGCAAAGGAGACAGTTGTCACGCAAGCATCAAACGTTTTTGTCAGCTTGTAAGCTCTCCTGTTGCAAAGAACCTCAGTCAACCCCCTGCCCCTGCCCCATTTCTAGCTTATTGGAAGGTTCTCCTACAAAATTGGTGTACCACATTAATTTCTTATTCCTTATACATTAGTTGAGAATGAAAGAACTTTTAGTGTGATCGTAGAGTATTAGGGAACTATATGGGAGTGCTATAATTCTCTTGCTTTGGTAGAGGCTTAAAAATGGATGATGATTTTGCTTAGCCAAACCTCTTCTTTCTTTAAGCCGCCATGTAGAAATTTTTGAATGTAGCAGCTTGTTTTATATTCTCTTTTGTAGAACACTGTGGACCTTTTGTGTCATATTTTGAGCCGCATTAAGAAACAATTCAGTCATATTTTGTTTGAATGGAAGCTGAGAAGGGTGAGTGAATATTTAGGGTGGAGAATACATATGCAAACACAACTTAACGTGTTTGTTAACCCTTTGAATGCTTTAGAGTGACCAGCATCTAATTTCTCTGGAGAAGGTTTTGATTGTTAAACAAATTTTCCTGGTTAGCACCTCGGAAAGGTATAGAGAACAGTTTAAAACTAAGAATATATCTCATTGAATCACAATACATCCTGTTGTGTTCTGCCTCATTCTTCAAGCATGACGACAAGGTGGACCTCAGTGGCCCTGCCTTGTACTGAGTAGTTGCTCCCAATATGAAGAGTAAGCATTCTAATTTAACGTGAAGGGGAAAATGTTCCTTTTGATTCCAAGCAAAATGTTGCAGCAACATGTTCCTGCAATGTGTGAAAAGCAGTACTTGTTAACTACTATGTGACTGCCATAACAATTTGACCCCAAAGGTTGACTAACATCTAATTTAAGGGTTAATGTAGGTCACCAGAATGAAGGAAATGATCACCAACTAAAGTTGCTCTTGATTTTTAAACAAATTCTCCTTGTCGGCTCCTTAGCGAACGTATAGAGAACAGTATGGAGAATATGCATACTGATGTTAGGGTGTAAAGGGTTAAATGACTTTTGATTGATCAGAAATTATTCTTCCCATCCGTGTTTTCAAAAATGTTATGGAAAGAGTAAATAGGGTTAACCTGAATGATATTTACTGCCTGGGTTTTAAAGAATATCTTATTTTCCTATCCAGGTATTTCTTCATATCCTTTTGGCTCGTAATGGGATCAGTGAGTGTGAGTTATTGAAGATTATACCAATAAAATGGACGGAGTGGTTATTACTGAGTCAAACCTTGCATCATAGCTGTATTGTCGTGACAAGAATGGGCCTTTTGACCTTTTCAAACAAACAGGCAAGTAATGGAATAAAAAAAGGCTTTGGTAGGCTTACGACAAGTGGGGCCAATTCTGTGCATTTTAAGCTGATTATAGCAAAAAGTTTTGTTAAGGACCCTTTACAGACTTCTCGAACACTTGCGGCTCGTATCACACGAGCATCGCACAGCTCTAATTAAAAGTTTGTTGCAGGCTTTCAAAGAAAGAAGTTAGTCACTCCTTTTGTTGAGGTATGCTCAGCATTTATGGCCTTACTCGTGGTAATAATCATTATCTGTGTTATTTTCAGGTAATAAGAGCTGTAAATGAAACGTTTTCATTTGAAGACAACTCGCAAGAGATGGAGGAATCGCAGGAATCTTTTATAAAATTCTTCGAGGAAAAGCTAAGGTATGACATCTTTCATGGTTCCACTTGAGAAATTTCCGGATGAATGTCGAAAATAATCCGAAAATCCAAATCGAACACCAGTATCTAGTGAAATTGTTCACTTCTGTTGGATTTCAGACACTTGTCTCCGATGTTAGACTTTTATGTGAACACTTGCATCTGATATCGGACAATCCTGTCTGATTTCAGAAACTTAATGAGAGTATTTCCTAATAGATTCTCCGGGGAATTTAACGTTAACCATTAAATAGCTAATGTGTGTTTCTACTCAGTGTTAACCATATATGCTGGAGGTTGACTGACGAATTACTCTGGAGTTTGAAGAAATCTTGCAAGAAAGAAAAGCTGACAGAATGTCTTCTGAACCCAATTGTCTTTAAAGTGTTTTTTGAAAGGTATGTCTTCGAGGTTTCATGTTGCCTTTCACCAGCCTGTATTTTCATTGATAGAATGTTAGTGGGCGAGTAGGAAAGAGAAGAGGTTTCAACTAAGTCCTCTGGGGGGGGGAGAAAAAAAGAAGTCGTTAGGACATTGCCTGTTTTCTCAGAACTAGAACGTAAAAAAATTGATTGAAAGAGTGTAATACTGTGAAGCTAAATTTTACCCTTTACATCCTAATATTTGTATTAATATTCTCCAGACTGTTCTCTTTACATTTCTAATGATATTTACAAGGAGAATTTGTTTGACAATCGGTAGCTTTTTAAAATTGGTGATCATTTCCTTTATTTTCATGCGCTTTACATTTGATTCAAGGATGATACTTAATGGAGAAATTAGAAGCCAGTTACTCCTAGAGGGTAAAGGTTTACTACAGATGATTAACCACACTTTATATAGTTTTTGTGGAGCGGAGAAGAGAAGCGTTTAGACGGAATTCTGATAATTTCCCGTACATATATCGTGATTTGTTTACTGTTTTTCATCCCTAGGGGCCGCATATCTGAGCTGATAAGTTACTGGGAATACTTGGGAATTGATCAGACGTCGCTTGGGAAGAAATACGTGGATGTGATAAAACAGGTGGAAAATGGTGAGTGAATGACATGTCGACTGTTGTTGAGAAAGAGTTAGTTAAATTGTGTCCTTTAATGGGGTGATTTGGTTTTTTTCGTTGGTTTCCACAGAGAGCGAACTGACGGAGGAAACTGCTGAGATATTTGAGGTCGTTGGTCTGTTTCTGAAATGCTTGGGGCTTCTCAGTCAGGTTGGTTTATGATTACCAGTAAGACTTTTCAATTATGATAACGTGAAATAATAAGTGTGTAGAGCGATCTTAAATTGAGTGTCGGAAGTAATTCAGGGTTGCGTTGGTTTTGCTTTAAAACGCACTGTGATTGGTCCATAAAATTCGCTCCACTCTTTTAACTAATCAGATGCGGAACTAAATTCAATCACCTCACGGTCACCCTTGCTTTCCCGCGCTTTTCTTGCCTGTTTTTTCTTCGATTTCTGATTGGCGCCTTTAATTTTCTTCTTTGTCTGATTGGCCATCGTCATTGCGTTGGTTTTGGCTTTAAGACGCCCAGTCGAAAAGTGTTTCAGTATATTTTCGGTCATCTTCAGCGATTTGCTCCAAAAGATTTGGTTTGAGTAGAAGATGTCGTTGAAATGATACTTTTTTTCTCGAATTTTGAAGACAAAGACTAAATAAGTAAGATAAACGTGAAAGAGAATGAGGATGGTTATGTATGATGAGGATAAACGCAGATTCCAAATTATGAAATTGCAAAATCAAAGCTGAATTTCTAAGATGTGCAAACCGTGACGTACTCTCCTACGCTGTGTAACGCTCGATCAGGAGATCAGGAGATCGTAGCATGACATCCCGAGGAACGATCGCGAAGAAGGAGGAGGAGAATGCTATTTTTAATGTGTCACTGAATTATTTCCAGGCTGCTCCATTGCTGCAACGAGCCTTGGAAATCCGAGAGACGGTGCTCGACCCAGACCACCCGCTTGTGGCTCAATCTTTGCATCATCTTGCTGATTTGAATGCACTGTGGGGAAAATTCAGGTAACAAACATTTGATTCATTAATGATTCTAATTTTATAGGAGATTCCTTACTTGCTTTATACATGAAGTTTTGATCATGTAGTCTGATCGTCGAGGGAAGACTAGTCCTGAAAAGGGCTGTGGTGGGTGATAGTGACTGACGTTTCTATAACCTGAGCGGAAACATCATTCTAGTCACGTGATGAGTTGTTTGAGGTGTGTTTCGTGAAACCTGATTGGTCGGTTTTATAGTGATGTCGGTGGCGGTGAGTCTCAGGAAGTTTAAGTTTGTCTTGATTAGTCAGTTTTCATCCTTCAGGTTGTTTTGTGCCGTTCGTTGATTACATTTTATTTCGCGAACAAGTCGTTTGTTTGGTGCGGATATAGTTATTGACAACTGTGGAGAGGAGACTTAACAACATGAAATGCTCATGTATATATTTTTTTACCTCCTTTATAGCCCAGCTGAAGCATTCTTCAAACATGCTGTAGAAATCAAGGAAAATGCTCTTGGCAGAGATCACCCTTCTCTTGTTAAGGTAATCTCCCTTTCACTGGATTCATGGATTTGTGATTTGCAACGTAGACGATGATTGAACCGCATTCTTTTTTTCAGGATTTAGAAGGTTTGGCTATTTTGTATAAGAAACAGGAGAAGTGAGTGGTGTTTTGAATTTTGTCGCAGTTTTAAAATTTTTTTCTTAAAAATACATGATTTCGAAAGGTGCTGCAGGTTTGCATTTCAACGTTTTTTTCAAACCCCACAGACATGCTATGGCAGATTCTCTTCGTAAACAGGCAGAGGGTATCAAGCAGAAGGCAAACTCATCAGTATGTAACAAAATATAATGTTCATGCGTAGAATGGCTTTCCGTTCAGGGATGTAGGGAGGGGTTAAAGGGTGGAGGGGGGGGGGGTGGGTGGCGTTCCAATACCTATTTTTGCAGCGTATCATTGAAACAGGGGTACCTGCCTGACATGTAGGTTACTTGGCTTCTGTGCACCAACGTGAATTGCAACCTAACGTTCAACAAGGTAAACCTTGTCTTACTTGTAGGAGTAGTAGTATACTCTTATCTTTTCTCATCACCTTCCCGCTTGAAAGCGCACTGGTATTTTATGGAGTAGTTCCTCTTTGATAGCCCTCCCTGGGAGTGAAAGAGTTGATTGGGATCCAACGTTGTCAGAAAAGAACATGAACCCCTGTTGGATGGTTCGCTTCACGGTTTACCCTTTGACCCTTAAGAGTGACTCGCATCTAATTTCTCCTTACAATAGCACACTTGGATCAAACGTTAAGGTCACGAGAATAAAGGAAATGATCACCAACTAAAGAAGCTCTTGATTGTTAAACAAGTGCTCCTTGGCAGCATCTTTGGAAATATGTGGTGAACAGTTTGGAAAATACGCATTGTAATGTTAGGGAGTTGAGAATTTCTGTGTCTCTTTAGGTTGATTTGAGTGACTTGAAAAAGAAGACCCTGCAAGTGGAAAAACTCGCTCGTGGGTCACCAAGCGCAGAACTGGCTCGATCGCTCAATGAACTTGGAGTTTTGTACTTCCTTCAAAATAATCATGAGTAAGTTTTCTTTGCTCTGACGATGGGCTAGCGCTCGAAACGCCAGCTTTTGAATTTCTCTATGGTGTTATATTTACATTATCAACTCCGTTGATTAAACCAAAGAACCTTTCAATACACTTCCCCCCTCCCCCCCCCCATGACGCAGCACACCACAGTTTTTTTTTTTTAGAAACTTAGCCCCTTCAAGTTATATTTGAACTGTTTCTTGTTCTGCTTTCACAAATGTGTTTAGATTTTTGTTTGGGTAAAATTTCCAAGTTCAATGCAATGTGCAAGTAAAAGTCGAAAGCCATGCGTGAAAGCAATGATTTTGCTTTAATTCACCTTGTGATTGGTGTGAATAGCGTCTCCCTCTCAACCAATCAGATGCAAAACAAAGACCAATAACCTCTTAGTAATCAGAGTATTTGTGCGCTTGAGATGTCCAGTTTATGCTATTTTGATTTTGAGTTCTCATTGGCTGCCTGTGATTTTTTCGTTAATCTCAGTGGCCCTTGTTATTAATTTGGTTTTGCTGAGTGTGTATTGTTCTCTTTATCTGACAGAGCGGCAAGTTCATTTTTCCAGCGTTCTCTTGAGATGCGCGAGGCTGTTCTTGGTCCTGATCACCCGGATGTGGCCCAATCTCTGCATAACTTGGCAGCCTTGTACAATGATCAAAAGTTGTAAGTACCAAGTTGTGCGTGCGTGATTTTGTAAAGGTAAAGTGTGTGTAGAGATATTTACGTCTAAATGAACGCCTTTTTTTTGTAGGACTCTCTTTGTTCCTCGTTCATCCTTCCTTTTTTTCTTCTTTCCTCGCCCTCAACATGTTGCTTCTCAGTTCAGTTGGTAGTTGCGTCCAACTAGTTTCTGGGAGGCATGAGTTCGAATCCTGTCAAAACCTGAAGTTTTTCAGACTGCCCCCCTGTAATTTCTCTAAGGGTTGTTTATTTACTCGGAATCTCTTCCGAAACTGTTGACAGATACACACAAACGTTCAGACGTACTTCAAGATGATAGTATGTTTTCTAAAAGATTAATTATCTATCCAGGTTTTTCATGGTGTAACTCTTTTGCGATGAATTTCTTCTAGGTATGAAAAGGCGGAGCCTCTCTATTCAAGAGCTTATCAAATTAGGCTAAAGGTAAGATTTTACTAACATGCTGAAACTTTAAACGATCGGGTCATGGTGTTTTTTCTTGAACAATGCACTTTGCCCTTGGTAGTGTATAGATTTGCTGAATTTGACTGACAGGTTAACATACTTGCTCTGTTAAATGATATTCATTCCTTTGCAGGCCTTTCCTTCAAATCATGGAAGTGTAGCATCTACTATCAAACACTTAGCTGTTCTTTACCGAAAGCAGGTGTGACTGTTGTTCTCTCTTTAGTCTGTAATGACCTGTGATAACTTCAAAAGAAGTCTCTCCATCTTAATGTCTTTAGTTGCAGTTTTCCAGCTTAATACACTAATATTCTCTCTTACGATCTCATCGCTAATTCACAGACAGTTTCTTGAAACAGAGAAACGGTTTCATTTAAAAAGAATCTCTTGTTTTTATTGTTAGGGTAAATATTCTTCAGCGGAGCCGTTATACAGGTGAGTATACAAACATATATACGCTTGTAACTAAGTCTTGTAGTGTGAAAACGGGCGCATTTTTGCAGTTCTCCTTCGTTAAAAACAACACTTAACCTCTCCATGAGGAAATCATTGTTGTAACGTTTTTTGACCAACTTTTAAGAACACACCCAAATTTTTTCTTTTTGGTGTTGTTAATGGTGTATGGAGCCACTTTAAATAGTAACTAGGACGTCCGCAAAGGAGTGGTTTATTTGTTATTGCCCTTAACCATTTCTGTGTTTACCCTTCAGACAAGACTTGGAAATCCGAGAGAAGACATTCGGTAAATCGCATCCAAGCGTCGCCACAGCCTTGAACAACCTCGCTGTAGTGTTATGTCTTCAGGTATGATAGTGACTGGCGTAACAAAGCATTACTTAATGCGCTTTTCGCTGTGCGTATGATTTGATGAGCAATTGTCTAGTACTCTTCTCCTGGAAAAACGCGAGTCAAAATCACGTGTCATGTGTTTAATTTCCGACACGGTATATACTAAAGCAATTGTCAGTTTAAGTAGAGGATAATTAGCATTATTGACCTTCACTTCGACAAATGATTGTGAATTGTTGCTGATTTGATTAACAGGACAGACAGTCAGAAGCATTACCACTGTATGAGCGAGCTTTACACATCTATGAAGACACACTGGGTGGATCACACCCACGAGTTGCCGAGACACTTGTGAACCTTGCCAAGCTGTCTTACGACCTGGTAATTCAAAAGTTTTTTTTTTAAATATGTGTGAACTGTCTGACCTCAAAGCATTCCCGCCAAGAATCTCATTTCAATGGTTATGCACTCGGATTTTATACACAGACTAGCTGTAGCCCAGTTTCCGATACAATTCCCATGCAACCTCTTTCCGGCCAGACTTTTGTTTGCCCAAAGTTACAAGCAGCTATGTAGTATTTTAATTTTTATTTAATATTGTAACCCCTTTTATAATGTTGCTTAACTTTCCTGTTTCCATCAGGGGTCCCCAGAGAAAGCTGCACAGCTGTATAAACGAGCAAACGACATCAGACAGAATGAACCACAGCCTGGTCTCTCTCCTCGTTCTTCTTGCAGTCAGCTTAGTAACAACTATTTGCGCAAACACTCCCAGCCGCACGACAGTGTGTCAAGGGTGATATCATTATCAAATAGTTGAGGGTTCACTATTAGAACGTTTCTATGTCACTTTCTAGAGTAGTGGTCACGATTCCTTTATTAGAGATGTTACAGTTAAATTTAGCCAATCATAGGAAGGATTTTAACGTTGAGAGCCAATCAGGTATAAGTATTTGCGATAGTTGTGCGCCATTTCCCGCGCTTTATCCAACGCATCTTCCACATTGTCTGTCTACACTCTGATTGGTTTATTTAATTGTGTAGGAAGCCAATCAGAAGCTATCACGGCCGTGGCTTCGTGCTATTTCTTTACTTAACTTAAATTTTTAGTTCAATTCTTACTTCAAACGTGGATAACAATATTTTATCTCTGTGTTCGACTCGAGATGTTACACATGGTTTTGTTTAACAGTCACATCTGATATTGTGGTCAAAGGTATTCTGAGAGGCCAGTTACGAAGACTAAAATCTCAGCGCTAAGATCTTCACTAGTTGATTGACTGCGACATCTCCTTTACTTGGCTGAAAAGGATAAGTGCACTTTTTGATTGAGTGTCAGTCGTAAAACATAAAATCCAAGGTAATCACAATGGCCACTCAGAAGAGAGGAAAATACCTTTAAGAGCCAATGAGAACTCAGTCAAAACAACCAAACTTCTTTAAGGGCGGGAAAACGCCAACAACAAAATCGTGATGGGTGTTAGTTACACATCTGTGGCGAGAGAGAGAGGCGTGAGTTTTCTGGACTAATCACGGAGAGAAGGAAAGGAAAAACAAGCAATCACATTCGGTTACTTTCGACATTCAATTGAAAATTGCCTCTACCTTCCATATCATCCATACTCAACCAAATTATTAACAAACCTTACATGATAACTTCCTAAAAAAAACTATAGTTATAAGTAGATTTTACAAACATAAATTGTGGACTTAATCTTGACTCAATTGGAAAGATGTACTGTAGATTCTTAGCAGTGTGTGCTCTGAATTCAAAGCGGAAGCCACGTCAACAAAATTCACAAGTGGCTTTATACGACTTTATACTAATTGACGAGCGTCGAAAAGAATATATTACCACCTTCGTGAACTTTAAGATAAATAATATATCCACCAAAGACATGTAGAAGAAGGCTTTTGCTTGCGTTTCCCTTTATAATCTCGTTTATCAGAGGGTTTATACGTCACTCAACGTATTTTTTAAAGATTTATTTAATATAAAAGTACAAAAGGCTTCTTTCGGCTGGTCCATTTGATTTAGGAAGCATTTATAAAAAACTTCGGCAACTATTTTAAGCTTTTTTTTTAAAGATTTTCAAGGGGTTAAGAACAGATATAACTACTCATCGAAGAGATTTTATGGTATATATTAAGAAAGTTTTTTATATGTAAATAAAGTCAAATCATAGAAATCCTTTTTACATTTGTTTCAATTTATTTTCCTTTTTAACGCAAACGCTGCACCAAGTAATGTCTTTTCGTTCATTCCCCACAATATACGTGTAAAAGTTAAAACTCTCTTGTGGGCTGAGAAAGTCCTATCTGAATATTCAAACAATAGCATTTTCTTAATGAGTTTGAAAACTCGGTTTGCTCGCATTTTGTAGCTCATGATAAAGGGCGTGATCAACTTTGTATTGTATGCAAGTGTCAAAGTATGAGCTCTCTTGTGGGCCGAGAAAATCTCCTGAATATTGAAACAATAGAATTTTGTTAATGAGTTTGAAACTTGGTTTCGCTAGGGTTCCCTCCAAACTGCCAAAAAGCTCATTAACCAAATTCTATCGTCTCAATATTCATCCGTTTATATCTCTGCGAAAAAGAGGAACTCCTAGACATTTTATGGCTCGATAAAAAGAGCTTAATTAGCTGTGTATTGTGTACAAGTATCAAAGTAAGAGCCCTTTTGTTGACCGAGAAAATCCCCTATGAATATTGAAACAATAGGATTTTGTTAATGAGTTTGAGAACTCGTTTTTGCTAGGGGTTCTTCCAACCTGCCAAAAAGCTCATTAACCAAATTCTATTGTTTCAATATTCATGTGTTTATATCTCTGCGAAAAAGAGGAATTCCTCGACATGTTATAGCTCGATAGAATGAGCTTGACTAGCTGTGTATTGTGCACAAATGTCAAAGTAAGAGCCCTCTTTTTGGCCGAGAAAATCCCCTCTGAATATTGAAACAATAGAAGTTTGTTAATGAGTTTTAAAACTCGGTTTTGCTAGAGGTTCTACAAAGTTGCCAAAAAGCTCATTAATTATTTTCTATTGTTTCAATATTCATGCGTTCATATCTCTGCGAAAAAGTGTCAAAGTAAGAGCCCTCTCGTGGGCTGAGAAAATGTCCTCTGAATATTGAAACAATAGAAGTTTGTTAATGAGTTTGAAAACTCGTTTTTGCTAGGGGTTCTTCCAAGTTGCCAAAAGGCTCATTAACCAATTTCTATTGTTTCAATATTCATGCGTTTATATCTCTGCGAAAAAGAGGAATTCCTAGACATTCTATGGCTCGATAAAAAGAGCTTGATTAGCTGTGTATTGTGTACAAGTGTCAAAGTAAGAGCCCTCTTTTTGGCCGAGAAAATGTCCTCTGAATATTGAAACAATAGAATTTTGTTAATGAGTTTGAGAACTCGGTTTTGCTAGGGTTTCTTCCAAGTTGCCAAAAAGCTCATTAACCAAATTCTATTGTTTCAATATTCATCCATTTATATCTCTGCGAAAAAGAGGAATTCCTAGTCATGTAATAGCTCAATAAAAAGAGCTTGATAAGCTATGTATTGTGTACAAGTGTCAAAGTAACAGCCCTCTTTTTGGCCGAGAAAATCCTCTCTGAATATTGAAACAATAGAGGTTTGTTAATGAGTTTGAGAACTCGGTTTTGCAAGGGTTCCTTCCAAGTTGCCAAAAAGCTCATTAACCAAATTCTATTGTTTCAATATTCATGCATTTTTTTCTCTGCGAAAAGGAGGAGTTCCTGGACATTTAATGGCTCGATGAAAAGAGTATGATTAGCTGTGTATTGTGTAGAAGTGTCAAAGTAAGAGCCCTTTTGTTGGCCGAGAAAATCCCCTATGAATATTGAAACAATAGAAGTTTGTTAATGAGTTTGAAAACTCAGTTTTGCTAGGGGCTCTTCCAAGTTGCCAAAAAGCTCATTAACCAATTTCTATTGTTTCAATCTTCATCCGTTTATTTCTCTGCGAAAAGGAGGAATTCCTAAACATTTAATTGCTCGATAAAAAGAGCTTGATTAACTGTGTATTGTATACAAGTGTAAAAGTAAAAGCCTCCTTTTTGGCTGAGAAAATCCCCTATGAATATTGAAACAATAGAAGTTTGTTAATGAGTTTGAGAGCTCGGTTTTGCTAAGGGTTCTTCCAAGTTGCCAAGAGGCTCATTAACCATTTTCTATTGTTTCAATATTCATGTATTTATATCTTAGCGAAAAGGAGGGATTCCTGGGCATGTTATAGCTCGATAGAAAGAGTTTGATTAGCTGTGTATTGTGTACAAGTGTCAAAGTAACAGCCCTCTTTTTGGCCGAGAAAATCCTCTCTGAATATTGAAACAATAGAAGTTTGTTAATGAGTTTGAAAACTCGGTTTTGCTAGGGGTTCTTCCAACCTGCCAAAAAGCTCATTAACCAATTTCTATTGTTTCAATATTCATGCGTTTATATCTCTGCGAAAGAGAGAAATTCCTAGTCATGTAATAGCTCGATAAAAAGAGCATGATTAGCTGTGTATTGTGTACAAGTGTCAAAGTAAGAGCCCTCTTTTTGGCCGAGAAAATCCTCTCTGAATATTGAAACAACAGAAGTTTGTTAATGAGCTTGAAAACTCGGTTTTGCTAGGGTTTCTTCTAACCTGCCGAAAAGCTCATTAACCAAATTCTATTGTTTCAATATTCATGCCTTTATATCTCTGCGAAAAAGAGGAATTCCTAATCATGTAATAGCTCGATAAAAAGAGCTTGATTAGCTGTGTATTGTGTACAAGTGTCAAAGTAACAGTCCTCTTTTTGGCCGAGAAAATCCCCTCTGAATATTGAAACAATAGAAGTTGGTTAATGAGTTTGAGAACTCGGTTTTGCAAGGGTTCCTTCCAAGTTGCCAAGAGGCTCATTAACCAATTTCTATTGTTTCAATATTCATGCGTTTATTTCTCTGCGAAAAGGAGGAATTCCTGGACATTTTATAGCTCGATAAAAAGAGCTTGATTAGCTGTGTATTGTGTACAAGTATCAAAGTAAGAGCCTTCTTTTTGGCCGAGAAAATCCTCTCTGAATATTGAAACAATAGAAGTTTGTTAATGAGCTTGAAAACTCGGTTTTGCTAGGGTTTCTTCTAACCTGCCGAAAAGCTCATTAACCAAATTCTATTGTTTCAATATTCATGCCTTTATATCTCTGCGAAAAAGAGGAATTCCTAGTCATGTAATAGCTCGATAAAAAGAGCTTGATTAGCTGTGTATTGTGTACAAGTGTCAAAGTAACAGTCCTCTTTTTGGCCGAGAAAATCCCCTCTGAATATTGAAACAATAGAAGTTGGTTAATGAGTTTGAGAACTCGGTTTTGCAAGGGTTCCTTCCAAGTTGCCAAAAAGCTCATTAACCAATTTCTATTGTTTCAATATTCATGCGTTTTTTTCTCTGCAAAAAGGAGGAATTCCTGGACATTTTATAGCTCGATAAAAAGAGCATGATTAGCTGTGTATTGTGTACAAGTGTCAAAGTAATAGCCCTCTTTTTGGCCGAGAAAATCCCCTCTGAATATTGAAACAAAAGAATTTTGTCAATGAGTTTGAAAACTCTGTATTTCCAGGGTTCCTTCCAACCTGCCAAAAAGCTCATTAACCAATTTCTATTGTTTCAATATTCATGCGTTTATATCTCTGCGAAAAAGAGGAATTCCTAGACATTTTATGACTCGATAAAAAGAGCTTGATTAGCTGTGTATTGTGTACAAGTGTCAAAGTAACAGCCCTCTTTTTGGCCGAGAAAATCCTCTCTGAATATTGAAACAATAGAAGTTTGTTAATGAGTTTGAGAACTCGGTTTTGCAAGGGTTCCTTCCAAGTTGCCAAAAAGCTCATTAACCAATTTCTATTGTTTCAATATTCATGCGTTTATTTCTCTGCGAAAAGGAGGAATTCCTGGACATTTTATGACTCGATAAAAAGAGCATGATTAGCTGTGTATTGTATACAAGTGTCAAAGTAATAGCCCTCTTTTTGGCCGAGAAAATCCTCTCTGAATATTGAAACAATAGAAGTTTGTTAATGAGTTTGAGAACTCGGTTTTTCCAGGGTTCCTTCCAACCTGCCAAAAAGTTCATTAACCAATATCTATTGTTTCAATATTCATCCGTTTATATCCCTGCGAAAAAAAGGAATTCCTAGTCATGTAATAGCTCGATAAAAAGAGCATGATTAGCTGTGTATTGTGTACAAGTGTCAAAGTAACAGCCCTCTTTTTGGCCGAGAAAATCCTCTCTGAATATTGAAACAATAGAAGTTTGTTAATGAGTTTGAAAACTCAGTTTTGCTAGGGGTTCTTCCAAGTTGCCAAAAAGCTCATTAACCAAATTCTATTGTTTCAATATTCATGCGTTTATATCTCTGCGAAAAAGAGGAATTCCTAGACATTTAATGGCTCGATAAAAAGAGCTTGATTAGCTGTGTATTGTGTACAAGTGTAAAAGTTAAAGCCCTCTTGTTGGCTGAGAAAATCCCTTATGAATATTGAAACAATAGAAGTTTGTTAATGAGTTTGAAAACTCGTTTTTGCTAGGGGTTCTTCCAAGTTGCCAAGAGGCTCATTAACCAGTTTCTATTGTTTCAATATTCATCCGTTTATATCTCTGCGAAAAAGAGGAATTCCTAGACATTTAATGGCTCGATAAAAAGAGCTTGATTAGCTGTGTATTGTGTACAAGTGTCAAAGTAAGAGCTCTCTTGTTAGCCGAGAAAATCCCCTATGAATATTGAAACAATAGAAGTTTGTTAATGAGTTTGAAAACTCAGTTTTGCTAGGGGTTCTTCCAAGTTGCCAAAAAGCTCATTAACCATTTTCTATTGTTTCAATATTCGTGCGTTCTATCTCAGAGAAAAAGAGAAATTCCTGGACATTTTATAGCTCGTTAGAAAGAGCTTGATTAGCTATGTATTGTGTGCAAGTGTCAAAGTATGAGGTCTCTTGTGGGCCAAGAAAATCCCCTCTGAATTTGGAAACAATAGAAGTTTGTTAATGAGTTTGAAAACTCAGTTTTGTTTTTAGTTCTTTCCTGTTACCAGAAGTTCATTAACCAATTTCTTTTGTTTATTATTCATGCGCGCATATCTCAGAGAAAAAGGAGAATTCCTAGACATTTTATAGCTCGATAGAAAGAACTGATTTACGTGTATTTCATGTAAGTGTCAAGAATATCCCTCTAAATGTTAAAAAAAATAAATAAACAGTCCCGGGATAATCTGAACATAGTTGAATATAAAATTCAGAAGGAGGCAATGAGATTTTAAAGACTGGAGAAAAGATATCGACAGGTTTTTAAAACTTTCGTTTTTATTGCATTGAACTACCTTTACATCTTATACCCTATTCACACCAGCAAAACATGTTCTGTTAAACTGGTTTTTACTGAATGAAAATCATAAACAGAGAACTGAAAAACTTAAATTTCCATAGGATTCAAGTACTTGCTAACTTTCATTTCCACTGTACTAAATTTAAGTAAAAAATTTAGGTTAAGTAGTTTGTACGAAGAAAAAAAGTAAATTGTGTTTAACAAAACAACTCTAAAACATGCTTATGCTTTGGTGTGAATGGGGTATTAGACACATAAGTAAACTGATCATCAAGAACATAAAATAGTTTAATTTGTTATAAATAATAGCGTCGAATATTAAAAAAAGGCTTTTAAAACCTTCCTTGCTACTCTCGTCTCTATTGATCTATCCTTTAATTTTACATGTTCCAGAATTCAGTTTTGCTTAAGTATCGAGGTATTTGACAATGGACAACTTCTTAGATAGGAGGACACAACATTTTCCAACTGGTTCCGATAACGCAAGGCATGCCATACAAACTAAATTTAAGTTAAAAATATTAATGGCAAACAAGGAAGCGACTTGTCTTAAGAATGAGATGTAACATTCGTTTTAGTAATCTTAGTAAACCTGGGCAGCAGAAAAAACTTCAAGTCACACAATGCATGTTGCATTACATTTCACAAAAGGTATGTCACACAATACATGTCAAAAAGTATGTCACACTAACGGAGGACATACTTGAATATTGCTGTAATGCATATTACTCGATAGGGAGTTAAGCACAACATTGAAAACGGATGGTAGGTGAAAGTTCAAAAATTTAAATTTAAAAAATTTTTCCTACATTTTTCTACTGAACTGACGAAGGCATCTGAAGAAGAAGTGTATAAACTCAAAGTTATGTGACTTTTGCTATTGCCACTGCTGCAAGGATCACGCTCAAACTTGTTAAATAATATATTAATGTGAACATAGTGTAAGTTAATTTTTAGAAAGCTTTAGTTTGATTCTGGCCCTATATACTCTTGAGTTTCTTCATCAGGTCTTCCACACTTAATTCATCGTCAGCTGATATTTGACCCTCACTGCTGATCTCCTGTGATATCTGCTAACAATTTGGAACCAATATTCAAATCACTCCTGAACATCTGAAGTCAATGATCAAGATTACCTCCCACCCTACCCTCCCTCCTGTCGCTAATATACTACGTCTGACCCTGTAATTTTTCTTTCCATTACCCATTTACACTCCTGGGAGGAGAGGGACACTGTTAGACAACAGTCTTGACAAGAAACACGGCACATTGAGGCCAGTCAGGGGTCGAACCCAGACCTCGTTATCCTAAGTCCTAATTCCAGAATGATTAAGATCAGGCCATTAAATCTCTTACACACCAATTACCACTTAAAAATACTGAGTACCCCTCAAAAATTAAACGCTTTTCCCCTTGATAGAACACGATTTAATGTTGCACCAAATAATCCGAGGTGTGAGCCAAAAAGGGTTGTGAAGAAATTTGACTTTACATTACAACCAAGTAACCCTTAAAAATTCTATTCGGTAACCCCAAGAAACTTTTTATAAATAAATCAACTCCGGAAAGAATGACCCCCCACCTGCATTAAGTGATAAAAATATAGCAATTCAAACCCACATGTACCTTTCTTTGTACTTTTGGTTTAGAGTATGCATACTGTATTCCTGCTACAAGCTTTTGGGATGCTTCGTCCTCTTCGATATCATCTTTGGCTTCATCAACTAAAGTAATACCTGAGACAAAAGGCAGGTGCAGCAATGATAAGAAAACATCCAAAACAAAACAAAAGAATTAATAGTTATAATGCCCCGGAAAATACCAATAACTGAACGACGATGATAATGAAAGTGAAATGGAAACAGTAACCGAAATGATGTGAAATGATATCCTCAGAACTAAGAAGGGTTTGGAGACAATTAAAAAAAATTTTACGACGGAAGAAGAGTTTAGCGACAACTAAGAAGAGTTTGGCGACAGCGAAGAAAGGTTTGGCGACAGCTAAGAGAGGTTTGGCGACAGCGAAGAAAAGGTTTGGCGACAGCGAAGAAAGGTTTGGCGACAGCTAAGAGAGGTTTGGCGACAGCGAAGAAAAGGTTTGGCGACAGCGAAGAAAAGGTTTGGCGACAGCGAAGAAAGGTTTGGCGACAGCTAAGAAAGGTTTGGCGACAAGTGAGGAGAGTTTGGCGACGAGTGAGGAAGAGAGTTTATTGTATATGTAGGCGAGTTCAATAACGAGTTAAATAACGAGTTAAGTAGCCCACCGATACAGTCATTTCCATCCTGGATGACGAAATCCACATCTTCTTATATGGGAGAAGGTCAAAAACTCATACATTGACCTTCATTGAAAAACAAAATGCACGAGTCAAACACCCACCCCACTCGTTATCCTCGTGTTTCACTTCTTCTTTTTCTTCTTCAATTGCTTTTTCTTTTTCTTCTTTTTCTTTTTTAGCTGCGTCTGATTCCTGCAAAATTCAAGACACCGGATCATATTTCATGATACAATGCTCGCGTGTATTGCAGCACACTCACACACATCAAGCACCTGCAATTTATGGGAATATTACACTCGCTTCTAGTGCGTGTAGTTACGCATGCGCAGTAATAGGTACGCATCAGTTTTGTGTTTTTCTGTTGGAAGGTAAGCTTATTACAGCAGCTTCAATTATCAACCCCTCCCCGCACCCAACAGGAATAGCAGAGGTACTGTAACAGTCCATACCGACAAACCCGACGATGCAAAAAAAATTAATCTCTCACAGTACAAAATGATTCAAAAAGCGCCCATCACTTCGAAGCTTCAACAATTCCTTTCCTCGGCAACCCACGGGCACTTGATCACATCTGACACTTGGGTGGAGCATTTCAACACAATTTGGACCCAAAGGGGCGGGAATTTGAACGAAGCAACCTTCAGAAGTTCAAATGTCTGGGGGTAAGATTTTTCATACAGAAAAAAATCAATACCTGGTATTCTCTTTGTCTTTGGTGACAAACGACTTCCTCACAAGCAGGATTTGGTTTTAGCGCCATGCTGGGAAAGAAGTCTTGCATGGCGTTATAGCCAAGGTAATACGAGACAGAACCAAATTCAAGCAGATATCTGTACAAGAAAGAAAAAGAGAGTAATATCAATTTTGCAAATGCACATATACCACAACAAGACTTATTAGTATAAATCTAAATATAGCGTTCTATCAAAGAGGTTGCAATCTGATTGGTTACCTTACTCGCTGTCTTTAGTGTGATGGCTACGCGTAATGAGGAAAGTAAGTGGCCTACCACCGTGTGGTTTTAAACCAAATCAAACAAATATTCATGCGAAGATTTATACGAAAAAATTACATTACTCACTTTTGATTTTGTTGGTATGATAATTGATTCAAGCTTCACCCTCATCCACAAACACACTATAAGAATTTCTCGCTCATAATCTAACTGTTAACCAGAGTAGGAAACAGGGTAATTTAGTGTTGTCAACTGAGTTGAGAACGTAAATTGGCCACCGTAAAGCGTTTTAAGGCTGAGGTTTTGAGCGTTAGCTCTTCGTCAGAGCGATTGGAGGAATTGCTTTGGGTTAGTTTTTCCAATTGCTCTGACGAAGGGCCAACGCTTGAAACGTCTGCCTTTAAACTCTTTACGGTGGCAAATTTACGTTTTCAACTCAGTTGATAACACTAAATTACCCTGTTATACTCTCCCATCGATGCAGCACCACAGTATCTTTAGAAACTTACCCCCTTTAGAGTAGGAAGCACTTACTTGAGTGTATTTTGAACCAGAAAACCAGCTACAATTCCCATAGTTGTTGGAAGAGATGCAGCACAGACACCCTCTCTTTTGAGTGTTCTCTCGTCAATATTAGAGGCTACAACCAAAGGAGGGGCACACTATAGGAAAAAAAAACAAGCTGAGAGCCTTGTCCCTAAAGCTAGTTACTGGGAGTATTGCAGCTCCCCTCTGATGGCCAGCTAGTTCATATCAGGTCACCCCCAGAATTTTGTCACATTCTCAACAATTTGCCCTTCACATTTATACTTTGAGACTGATAAAGTAATTGCTTTAATAAAATCCTTCTACACCAAGCTTTCCCTCAGGTGATTTCCCACCCATGCACAAAGTATGCAGGCTATGAATTGGAGGGGAAAAGGGCCAGGATCTATAAATTACAGTAAAAACCATGAAAACAAGGGTAACTGGATATTTAACTTAGAGATGTGTCATTTAGTGTGAGGAAGGGTAGGGGAGGTACCTTTCTGGTGCACCTGCCACATTACTTACCAGTAATTCAGTGACAAGAACATTGGAAATTATGTAGAAGAAAATGTAGCCCCCCCCCCCCCCAATTAAATGACCAGTCCCTTACATCTCTTCTCTGTGTGTCTGACAGGTTCTAGAATGATCTGTAGCCATGTGGAACATGAGTGACCCAAATTGAGGGAAAAATCAGTCAATTTCCAAATGTCATTAAGTCCTTAGCGAGTTTTGACAAAATCAAGAATTAAACTTTCCTTTGCCTTCAGTTCTTTAGTTGAGAACATTTGGTGAGAGATAAACAGAAATTTTTGCAAAAAATCTTTAATCAGTTTTTATTATGAACCATAAAGGTGAGTATGGCAGGGTAGAAAACCAATCACAGCTTAGTAAATGAGATATCCAGTAATTAAAACACAATTATAACTGTGTTAATTATACATTCTTGTATATAATGTAATTAGACTTACTGCAAAACAAGCTGTTTTTCCAGGAACAATGAACTGAATGTGACCAGACACAGCGTTTTCACTGACACCAGATTCTATCCAAGGTTGTTTTAATTCATTACATGCCTGAAAAAAAGGAAAATATTATGTCTTTGGAAATTAAGCCAAATAAATAAAATAACTACCAATAATACAAGTAATAAAGAACACTATTGACCTGGACACACTTTCGATAGGAATACTCTTAGAGCCCTTTGGGAACACCCAATATCTCCTGGCCCTTGTTGTTCAAAGGTCAGATAACACTATGTATTGGATAAATCGCTATCCAGTGGATGGAACAGTATTCCTTATCCACTGGATACCAATTTATCCTTTAGATAGTGTTCACCAACCTTTGAACAACTGGGCCCTAACTGATAGATCTGTTTCATTTGTCTTTTTCATATTATAGGTCTCCATACCAAACAAATTATTGTTGATTTTGTAGTTTAAGACATGTAGTGTGGCTACCACAAATCCTTTTGAAAAATTGCTTTTCTCTGGAAAACCACTAGTAGACATATCTCTGGAAACAGATGGAATTTACCCTCAAACTCCCATAGTTGCAGGCATTGCTTTGGTTCTCTGGTTCAGCTGCAGAGGATTTTAAATGCAACTGGTACAAATAACATGAATCTTACTGTATTTATTGCCATCCTAGCTTCAAAATTATCCACACAACTTAGCACAAGATTTACAGCCTGGCCATCTTTTCCACCATGACTAAAAGAGGATAAGTACACCAATTAGCTAAATGATGCAGTAAATCAATCCTTTGCAGAAAGAGCTGATTTATTCTAATGATGCATCTTCACTTTTTCTTACAGTGTCTGGTAGTCTTTAAGGATCATGTATACTGTTCATTTTTTTGTAAAATTTATTGTAAATATTATGTAATTCAGATTATTAACTGCTATGTAAAATTGTTTGCTTAATAAATCTATCAAATCTATAATTTAGTGCTTTGTTGCAAAGTAAACTTACCACTGTACTTTCAGAAAATGGTGAAAATTTTAATTAGCTCCCAGCCTCAAATGAGGGCCCAACCTCAAAGGTACCAAACCTTAACTAACAAGTCCCCAAGGGGACCTAACCTCTTTAACTCCCAGATATGATTCACATGTAACTTCTCCCTACAAAATCCCTTCATTATCCAGCAAACAGGTAATGAGAATACTTGGACTTATCAGTTAGAAGTTGTTATCTTGATCTAACACTAAATTCTTGTCACTTATTTACAACGAAACGTGTAGCAGCTAGAGGAGAGAATTGATGATCAGATTTTGGGAGTTATAAGGTGAATCAAATAAAATACCTACTCACAGTACATTTGGACTGTAATCATATGAGTGATATAATTATTCCATTTCATTAACCCTTTAACTTTCCTGATCGACCAAGACGGAATTTCTCCTTACATTATCAGTTCAATTTCAAGCAGACAAGTGTGGAGAATAAAGGCAAAAATCAATTTGAGGGTTATTAGTTGATCCACTACCAAATTCTCCAAACTAACATCAAAAGAGTTAAAGAAAGATGTTTTTTTTTGTCTTGTCACGAGCGTGGGACAAAGAAAAAATTCTGAGTCACCATGAGGAATCAAACCTCAGAACTTTGGATTCTGCACTCTGATGCTCTACCTCTGAGCCATACAGACTCCATGGTGAACAAGGTCTATTATGAAGTTCATATGACATGCGTCCTGCATACCGCTAGGATCAGCAATGTCAATTGTGTAATGTTTGTAGATAGAAATAAGAGAGATGGTAAGTTCTGAGCTCAGCAAAGAAATAGAGAAAGATTTTTTTTTTCATCTTGTCACAAGCATGGGACGAAGAAAATCACAAGAGTTTTATAGCAGATGGTTAGGAGAATTAAATTAAATGAGATCTTAGGAGTGAAAGAGTAAAACAGCACATAATATTATCTGAAGTATTCAGTATTTCCCTTACCTTATTCTACAAAGGAAATGCTTAAAATTTTCCAGTAATGTAATGTTGTAGTTGTATGCTTCAAATTCCACATCAGGATTGATGTCTCTGTAAAAAAAACCCCAATCATGTGGTAAACAACATTTGCAGAGCACACAGAAAAGCAAAAATTAATTTAAATCTGTAACACAAATTCCTGATGTGTGTGTTTGCAATGTCCACCATAACAATTAATTACGTTTTTGTTTACTTACCTCAAAGTATTCACTGCAGCTTCAACTTTACTCATTCCAGACTGATCAGGACGGAAAAATAACCTGACAGGAAACAAATTGTAACATGCATCAATAGAAAGACCTTCTTAGACCTGATTGTTAATTCTCCCAGCTAGGAACTACACATTTCCCTGTTAATTTACAAGGAGAATTTAACAATAGATCATGATAACAACATCCACTTGATAAGTTTGAGTATTCTCATTACCTGTTTGCTGGGTAATGTGCAGATATTATGGGAAAAAATTACATGTTAATAATTTCTGGGAGTTTAAGGGTTAACCAAAATTGTGATCAGATTCCTTTGCAGAAAAGATGAACCCTCTCTAAGATTTGCCATGCTCCAAACATGTGGCCTCATAACTCAGTTGGTAGTGGTACCTATCTAATATCTGGGAGGCCTGGGTTCCTGTCCTGTCAAAGCCTTAATTGTTTTTTACTCTTTTACACCCTAACATCAGTATCCATATTCTCCATACTCTTCTCTATACATTTCCTTTGATACTGGCAAGGAGAATTCATTTGACAATCAGAGTTTCATAGGTTGGTGTTAATTTTCTTTATTCTCATGATCTTAATGAATGATTCAGTATATCACTGTAAGGAGAAATTAGATGCTAGTCACTCAGGGTTTAAATGGTTACTTAGGGTTCCTATCTGCAGTCAACCTGTGAGGATAATTTCTTTGCTTAATTTTCATCTGCAGGTCAAATCAAATAAGTTTCATTAAGATAGAATATCAATAACGATTATGTTATTGGTAATTACTGATAATAAAGAGAATGATGATGACTGTGTAAAGTGCAGATGGCAACACAGAGAGAAATAGTTAGGCATACAGAATATCATATGAAGAAAGGAAGAAAAGAAAGACATTCATGCATAGACAAAGTATTTGATTAAAAGACAGAGAGACAGAATGATGTGCACTTCGAGGGAAGATTCTACAGACTAACTTAGATTAGTCAACTATTTACCTGTTCATGTTTGCAAGTTCCACTTTGTCATAATCAAAAAGTAAAAGCTACAGACAAGAAACACAGTTTTATAAATCAAATAATTCTTTACATGCACAGCTTGTACCATTATGATACCAGTTCACATCAGAAATCCTTAACCAAGGGACATAATAATCTGGCTGGTTGAGTGATATAAGATCACTCAGATCATGGCGTTTATGTTTAGATTCAAGGTATGTCTACTAAAAATAAAGTGCACTGCAAATTGCTTCAGTTCATACCTTTCCTATTCCACATCTTGTTAACATTTCAGCTGTGACACTTCCAACTCCACCAACACCAACGATTACCACAGTAAAGTCACGGATTTTCTAACATACAAGAAAATGAAAATGCTTACTCAGCTAGCGTCCACAACAAGAAAAAAATATAAACATTGCTGGTGGTTAGGAAAGGAAGAAGACTACCATGCAAGTTAATCACTTCATGATCATTTAATACCAGTGATCTGATATTGCATTACTAAGATAACAAACTTATCAGAGTACAGTGTGTGATTATGTAATTATGAATATCCTATATTTGAACTGTAAATAAATAAATAAATATGAGAGTGATCTTTGCAGTATAGAACACTACTTTTGAAGAAGTAAAAAAAAAAAGCCTGAAAAATTTTCAGCCAGTAAGAAAGTGCAGTGTAGTAAAAAAACTTAATATAAAGTTACCAGCAATTCTGCACACATTACTCATCACTAAAAATATATAAAATTGTCCTTAATATTTTCACTTCCAAGATATTGCTTAATATTCTCCTTACTATCTACCATATCATTATCACTGTTTGTTCAGAGAATTTGGTAATGGATCAACTAATCATGCCCTCATTGATATTTTTCTTTACTCTCATTACCTATCTGCTTGATATTGTATTGATATCATAGGGAGAAATTCAGTCTTGGTCACTCATGAAAGTTAAAAGGCTAAGAGTACCAAACCAGCCACTCAAATAAATTTTACACAATTATACGATCAACTATGAATTCTTGATATCAAGATGATAACTGCCTGTTTCCAACCGAAACTTACCTCATAATTATCCACTATTCCCATTCTTTTCAAGGCCATCAAACGACTGTTAAAAAAAAAAAAAAAACATTAACATACATCACTATTTGGTTTCACATTCACTCAACTTCAGAGATACCATGCATATTTTATTTATAGACAGTTGAGAAATTTATTTCACATTACAGCTGCAAGAAAGCACTCAGGCAAATTTGCAAAGGACAAGAATACGATCAGGTATCAATGACATATTTACATCTTAAAGTTCAGTGGCATATCAAATTTTAATTTATTAATTAACTTCCCCAAAACACATGAATGATGCTTCAAAATAATCCCAGAGCTTCAGTTTTTCTTGACTTTTCTCCAAAATGTAAATTTTTCTATGTCACAATAAAACTTGTTGATTTTTCACAATTCTCTGAGAGCAATTTTCTTTGATCAATTACTAGACAGTGGCAACAATGATAATTAAAGGCAATGGTTTAAACAGGAAAATACGAGACAACAACGATGAACCTTTCTTTGCCTCATGATTTACGCAAAGATGCTACAATTTTCAATATCAATGATACCCCAAGCATTTGTATTTAATCTTTGAACACAACCGGTGTAACTTTCTAAAGAATCCTGCCACCAAAACACACGTCCAATGAATCAAAACGATATAGAGAAACCACCAGGGTTCAAGTTTCCTTGAGTTCTGGTAGAATCAAACCCGATCGTACAAACGTGAAAATATGTAACAGAAATTTCATATCGGTGTTTACATAAAATGTTTGAATGTTTTGTAACCTTGTTGAACAAAGCTAACAACGGTCAACTGGGCGTTAAATATTATTTGTTTTCATGCTACTGCAGGAAAATCGACAGACAACTTAGTTATTTAACGCGCTTTCAAGACACGTCTTTCACAAGGGGAAGGCAGCAACTACTTGTGATCACCGCTTTTCGTGATCTTTCGATCCGATTTTTTCGTGGGACCATGATCACGGGGACTATGATTTTAAATATAAAAATTCATTTAAAACGAACAATAGCGCAGTATTAAAAGCTAATAACCACAGTGGGTTGCTCCTTAAATGTTTCATTTGGCTTCGAAAACTAATTCTCACACGATCGAAAAACCGTTTAGAAAAACGTTAACCAACTCACCTATATGGATTGCTATCCACGACTTCAGAGCTCATCTCCTGAATTTTTTCCCTCACGGGTCCCTTTCTTTTACGCTCATTTTCCAGCGCGATCTCAAGCTCTTTAATCTTAGCTTTCAGCCTTTCGATCTCCTCCGCCATTGTTTATTTCTACGGGCGCTTACTGCGTATCCACAGATGTTAGATTGTAATTAGAAGCCTTGCCTCTTTCTTCACGTTCTAAATTTGTTTGGAAGACAAAATGGCGCCGCTCAGCTGCTTTTATAAAGTGACACGCTGGCCATTAAATATTTACCCGCGGCGCCGAAATCCTCATATACTTTGTGATTGGCTTAAAAGTTTTCGCGCGAATATTCACGGTAGCATGATGCTATTTTTCATTTCATATGCGAGGCTGCAGTTTGTCGCTTGACCCCTTCGATATCGTCGAGAGTTTTGGCTTCTTTTCCACCTTGGTCGTACAAAGATGCCTCGAATTACTCGCAGTGCTCAGAAACAAATCGAATTTCGTTGTCAGAAGACTCGATCACAGCAGAAGAAGAACGAAGGAACGATCGCGGCAAGTCGAAGCAAACACACACGAGAATGTTCGATCTCACCGAGAAAACGCCGCGATCCCGCGAAGGGTAAGCCTAGAATGTTATCTTTTGCTTCTTTATTAAACTTCTTTTGTAAGCCAATGTAAAGACCCCTGTTAGAGATATAAGGATCGTCAAATTTTCACTTCAGCGAAACTGACAACGGTGTTTAAAATATGAAATCTACTTATTTGCAATTGCACATTCGGTCATTTATTCCCGCGCGTGTGCAAGGTCGAACGTCAGAAGAAAAAAAATCAAATCCTTGGAAATGTAAGCACTATGAAGCCTTCTTATTATGATTTATATTTTATATATAAACATTTTGTTTCAAGTTTCATTCCCCATGCTTTATCTTCCGTCGATCTTCAATTCGGCACAAAGACTCTAATCGGATTTACAGTTTGCGACTCATTTGCATGCACGCATTACAACGCTGCGCTACTGACAAAGCTATCGGCAGCGCTAGATATTACAATTTTGCAATTTTTTTTTATTCTGTTCGCTTCTTCGAGCCTCTTTCCTCATTAAGTGTTAATTAATGCCGTTCAGAATTCGATGGTTCTTCGTTCAACTTCATTTTGTTAAATATATATTTCAAAACTTTAAGCTTGCTTTAATTTCATTGGCAATACCCTTGGGTAACGTCTTAATTGCTCTGTTGATATAAATAATTTGCTTGAATTTTCTTTTAGCTTGTCAAACACCGGTTTCCGTATCCCCGAAGAAGAGAAAGAACAATGATGGAAAGGTTAGAGACGTTGTTTCCAGCGATGAAGAGAACTCTGATCCAAAACAGAAGCTTTCGTTTGCAGGTAAGGTTTTGTAAGAAACACCGAACTAAACATCAAAATATTTATCATGCTACCCTTTGAGATTTTTTCTTTACGGATGTTTGGGGGGGGGGATTTATTTGTGTACCCCTGGTATCTCCAATTATTTGCCCTTCTTATAACAATAGTAACTGTAACCATACCCAATTTGGTCTACTGACACATAAAACTACCATGACACGATGGAAATTCTTATTAATCAGTAAAGATACAATGGATATTGGATACCTTTTTGCTCTTTTCTATCTGACAAATTCTTGAGTATTCCTGACGGTCTCTCCAAATGGTATCATTCTTTAACATGGAAGAAACCTTTCATTTCTACAAAAATTAAGGGCTTGATTCACCAAAGACAACACCAAGAAACCAAGCAAGATTCAAGAGTAAAAATGCTGGTCTTAAAGAGGGGTCAGAACCAAGGAAAATAATCTCGCTTGCTCGTCAGGATGGTAAGTAATAATGCTGTTAATATCATAAATGGTATCTGTTAACCCTTAAACTCTTATATGCAATCAAGAAAACATTTCTCCTTACAATATCACACAGACAAGAGTTGATAATAAAGAAAAGTATTGACAAGAGAATTGCTAGTTGATCCAATACCACATCCTCCATACTGACATAAGAATTGTATGACAGACAGTAAGGATAATTATTAATAAGATCTTGAGAGTGAAAGGGTTAAAGCACTGGACTCTTAATCAAATGATACAGGTTTGAAACCTGACTTTTTTCAAAGTCACTGTGTTGTGTTCTTAAGCAAGATGCTTCAATCTCACAGCATCTCCTCCCCCCCCCAGAAGTATCAATAGATATCACCAAATTGTTTAGGAAACTTGAAAAATTTTGGAGGGGCTGAATTAAGATGAACTAGCATCCCATGGAAGGGGAGAAACAATATTCTCATCAGAGCCTGTAGTGTGGGCCACACTATGATAACCAATATTAATTATTGTTGATAGTTGTTATAACACTGTTAACAGTACTCTACCTATGATCAAAAGCTCACACCATGGCTGTTTTACCAGGTCAGCAATATTCAAAAGTAAGAAGGGCTCTTCATTCTTCACATCCTAATAACTTGCTGTGTCGAGAGAAAGAGATCACAGAAATAAGAAAATTTCTACAGAATCATCTGCTTAAGGGAAAACCAGGAAGTCTGTACATATCAGGTGCTCCTGGCACAGGAAAGACAGCTTGTTTGACAAAGATTATGTTTGAAATGAAGGTAAGGTGAACTTTAAATTTCCAGGGGCAGAACTCTCAACCCAGAATCCAGCAAATTAATCATAAGCTTGGGGCCACCTTGTCTATTGTATGTCTCAGGTAGACTATAAGAATTTGAATGTAATTTGGTTTTTATCCCCTGAGTTGTAAATGTAAACTAGACACCGTAAAAGTTTCTAAAGCTGATGTGCTTGCTCTGATGAAGGGGTAATACCCCCCCCCCTTACCAACACAGCACTACAGTTTCTTTGAAAACTTACCAACAAAAATCTCAACAAAATTAGCATGACATTACTCAAGATGGGTCTTCCCTAAATCTAGGGGGGTACCATCTACTCAAATTTAAAAAGGCTCATTTGTTATGGATAAAACCTTGTTTTAAATGACTCATGAAGAAGATAAAGGAAACTTACTGTAATTTGCTGATTCTTTAGGATGACATCAGAAAATGCCAAGTTATCTTTGTGAACTGCATGGCACTTAAACAACCTCAAGACATTTTCAAGAAGATAGCAGTTGAATTAGTGGGAGAAGACCAGTGTCCAGCAAAAACTTCACAAAAATTCCTTGAAGAGGAATTTTCTTCATCAGCTGCAACAAGGTAACTGAACTATTCCCACAAATAAACCCAAAATAAAGAATTGAAAATTCATCATTAATAGGTAGTTTTCATCATCAGTTTTTTTTGGCCAAACTGTCCTGTTGAGTGATCTGTGATTGTTTGTTCTAGAATCCTTATCTTAGATGAAATGGATCAACTTGAATCAAAACATCAGGAAATTCTTTACACTATGTTTGAATGGCCCTCTCTGCCAAAATCAAAGCTAATTCTAATTGGTAAGTAATAATTTCAATCATTTTAAACTTGTTTAATTGGTAAAAGAAGTAGAAAAGAAGATGTGCATATCTATCGCTACTGATTGATGGTGATAACTGATTGGAGGTTTTTATCTGTAGGGATTGCAAATGCCTTGGATTTGACTGACAGGATTCTTCCAAGACTACAAGCTAGACCTAAATGTAAGTAACCCTTTTAACTTCCTAAAATTATTAACATGTAGCTTCTCCCTATAATATTCAAACGTTATCCAGAAAACAGGTTATGAGAAATTACTCAAACTTATCTAAAAGGTAGAAGTTTTTATTCTGATCTATCACCAAATTCTCATAACTAATTTACCAGGAGATGTGTAATAGCTAGAGGAGAAAATTAACATTCAGATCTTGGGAGTTAAAGGGTTAAACATATAACTTTGGATTTCAATAAAAAATTTTTCAAATTAAAAAATTCATCAATATATAGATTTTGGCCAAGCACGAGATTGTCTCAACAATTTCTCTTTGTCAATCAATAAGTGAAGAAGTAAGCACTAACCCTCTGAACTCCAAAATTGATTAACATGTAACTTCTCCTTCCTGGATTATTACATTATTTAGCCAATGGGTCATGAGAATGGACACATTTATCAGCTGTAGAGAAAATTTTCCTAATCTAATACTTACTTTTCCTAAGTGATTTGCAAAGAAATGTATTGTAGATTTCAGAGAGAATTACAAACCATATCTCTGCAGTGAAAAAAAAAATGAAGTTTTGCCATATAATGAACAAGAGATATTAAAAGTACTTGATTACCTCTCAAATTCCCAGAAATATTAACTGACCTCATTGCTTTGTTTTTGTTTCAACCTCAAGGCAAACCAGAGCTTCTTCACTTTGCACCTTACACAAAGGAACAGATTGTACAAATTATAAAGGACAGATTGACAACGGTAAGTTATTGCTGTTGCACAGAATTTTCTATTCCTAAACACAAAGATGGCTTGACTCTTACAGTGATTGGTTACTGTTTTCAGGTGGATGATGGAAATAACATTCTTGATGCTTCAGCTGTGCAGTTTTGCGCAAGAAAGGTGTCGGCCATGGCAGGTGACATGAGAAAAGCCCTAGATATCTGCAGGTAATGAGGGTTACAAATTCCCTGCAAAAGAAATGTAACAAACCTGTATCAAAAATAGCCACCAGATTGAAGCCCTATGAGGACAGTGTGAGCCTACTCATATGATGATAAGGGAAATTGGAATCCATTAGTTCTTATTTCCATTAACCCTTTGACCCCTAAGTGTGACCAGCATCCAATTTCTCCTTACATCATCACCCCTGAATCAAACATTTAGGTCACAAGAATAGAGAAAATGATCATCAACTAAAGGAGCTCTTGATTGTTTAACAAATTCTCCTCATCAGCACCTAAGGATATGTATAGAGAACAGTATGAAGAATATGTATTCTGATGTTAAAGCATAAAGGGTTCATAGTCAGACACTGTTGGCACCCTGGCTTGGGTCCACTAAATACAAGGTGTCCACAGATATACCATGTGCATCCCAAGATCCAATTTGTAATTCTTATTACAGACTACCACACATTTCCTCCTAAATCAGACAGGAGAATTTGATGTTAGACCAAGATAAACCCTATATTTAATAAGCTTGTCTGGGACAAGAAAAAAAAATTATGTTTTGTTCAATTCTGGGAGTGATATGGTGGATAAGTGGCATAAAATTACCTGAAGTTGAACATGACAATCTTAGGCAGCCCCCTTTATTTGCTTGAGCTAAATTCATCTAACCCTGATAATAAATACATGCAACGTCTTGTGATCACATCAAAATTAAAACTCCAAACTAATTTTTCAGGCGAGCAGTTGAAGTGGTAGAATCTGGGGAAAGAAAGCAACAGATTTTACAACCAGTTGGAAAAGGTACCTTTTAATTTTATGTTTATCACAAGTCTTGACTGGCTTTTGATCCCTTTATCTATGTTTTAAAAAACCCTAGATTGAGAGTGATGCTGCTAATCAATCAATATTCTTGTTAGTAACTATTTGATGAGTAATAATTATCAATAATTGTTGATATTTTAGTGATATTCCTTCCATTGAATTATGAAATCACAAATTCTTCTTTCATATTGTTTCATCAGCTGAATCTCCCTCAAAAAAGCTTGAAACTCCACCAAAGCCTAAAAAGGTTGGAATTTCTCAGATTGCTAGTGTTGTAGCAGAAGTTTATGGATCTCGTCTGGTCTCTGGCCCTGGAAGTGAACAGCCAACAATACCACTGCAACAGAAGCTTCTTATCTGCACGTTTTTGTTGATGACAAAGGAACGCAACACCAAAGAAGTTGTTTTAGGAAAGGTAAGGAAAAACCTTCAGTTTAGGTTTCATTCTGATTAACCCTTTAACTCCCATGAGTGACCAAGACTGAATTTCCCCTTACAATATCAATACAATATCAAGCAACAAGTGATGAGAATTAAAGTAGATAACAAGTAAGGGATTATTGGTTGATCCAATAGCAAATTCCCCACACAGACACATAAGAATTGTACAGTAAGGAGAATTGATATTAATACTAATTCAAGTTAAATTTCATTCAAACCAATCAAGAATGTTATGAAATAATCCATATTTGAATGGCTGTTTTAAAAAAAGAGCTGTTATAAAAATCTTCATTCCTATATTTGCAATAAGTGTTGATTTCTTTAAGCACAGAATTTGTATTACCTTGACATGGGATCACATGCATCTTAAGAGTAAATAGAAATTTAAGGGAATTTGTTCAATTTTGTTCCTTTTAGTTTCACGACACTTACTGTAAAATCTGTACCAAGAGAAAAGTCTCCCATCTTGGTCAGGAGGATTTTCTTGGACTGTGTAACATCCTTGAGACCAGAGGACTTCTTGGAATGAAAAGAGCTAAAGACACAAGGATGATGAAGGTGAGTTGGAAAGTTATTGAAAAAAAAAAGCATGGAAAGTTTCTTCAGAAGAATTCCTTTAACTCAAGCAGCTAATGAACAGAGAGCATTGAGTTAATGTGTTCAAACCTGGCCAGGATCATTGTTAAAAAATAGATAACCTATCAGAAGTTTAAGGGACAAAACTTTGTGCAATTTACTTATTATGTAATAGTAAATTATATTTATTATCATTACTTTTAGGTGACCCTAAAAATTGATGAAAAAGAGGTTGACTATGCGTTACAAGACAAAACATTACTGTCTTCAATTCTACAGGAAGGAATGCCAACATCTTCTAAGAAATAAATTTAAGATGGCAAATTTGAATTTGAAGTTATTTGCACTTTTTTTTATAAAAACTTGTTAGATAATTTTCTCGAAAGACCATTTTATTTCATTCAAATGTTTTGCTTCAATTTGGATTTATTTTAAAGTTACCCTTATTTAAACTGAGTCTTTGAGAGCCAGTAAAAAATTTTTTGTAACTATATAAAGAATGCATTAATTTTATTTTCAAGTAAAAAATTTCTGTGACCTGAGGGACTGATCATTATTTATAGTCAGGGGTAGGGGGGGGTCAGAGGATTATGATTTGCCAAGGACCTCATTGGACTCTGTAGTATTTTGATGATTCCCCTTTGTTAGCTGTCAATTTTGTACAGCCCTCCCATTATACTCTGTTAGTGACAACTGATCCTCCCCTCAGTCCCCCCTGGAAAACCATGTGATCCCCAAAATCCTCTGACTCCCCTCCCCCCCCCTCCACCTCACTAGGTGATAAATCTTGACTGTTTCCTTATAGCAGCTTATTCATAAAGCCTCTTCAGTCTACCCAAACAGGGCTTATGTTTTTAATTGAAACTATTTTAAATATAATTTCTCCTAGCTATTATGAGTAGGTTCAAGATACTTGTGAAATACCATTTTATAATATAATTTATTTTAAAATTATATCAGTTTCAAATGTACATAATAATAAAGTAGTTTTTTGAAGCCATGGTGTTTTACTCTGAGTCCTTTCTTTCCCTACCTTTACTAAGTATTCAAAAACTGAAAGATCAGAACTCCAAGTTTTAAGATTGATACCACATGTCTTTCATTTTTTTTAATTTTCAATCCTAAATTAACCTCTGTAAACCTACAGAACATCCACAGGAAAATACATGTTCCCTCTGTCTTTAAACCAACCAGTTCTGCTCTATAAAATTGAAGAAAGTTTGGGTACAGACGAGTTTCAAAAGTAGGAAACTTCATTCCACTTTCACTTGTATCTGTGTGGAATTTGGAATAAAAGTGAGTGGAAGAGTTATACCGTGAGTGGATGAGAGACTGGAAACCAGCTGGTAATTCCAAATTCAAAATGGCGGCAAAAATTCGTGGAGTTCTAATCGATCTTAGCGGCACAATTCACGTTGAAAATTCAGTAATTCCCGGTTCTATACAAGCTCTAAAAAGGTATGGTAGAACTGTGACTCATTTAGGTTGTTCAGAAGTTATATTTTTCTTCTAGAGTCATAGATCACATTGTTAATTTTGTCCATCACTACGCGCCGTATTTTTTGCACAATTTGTTATTTTATTTATTTGTTTTTCGTAGACTTCGAGAATCTGGCGTCACTGTCCGATTTGTTACCAATACTACAAAAGAATCAAAGGGCACCTTACTGAAGCGTTTGACTGGCATAGGATTTGATATACAAGCAGAAGAAGTTTTTACTTCACTGACTGCGGCTCGTCGACTAATTGATCAGAGAAGCCTGCGTCCAATGTTGTTGTTGCAATCGGACGCCATTGAAGACTTTAAAGGCGTTGATGCGAATGATCCAAATGCTGTAGTAGTAGGACTTGCTCCTGATTGTTTCAATTATGAAATTTTGAACAAAGCATTCAGGTACAGATTTGTTGTTGGAAATCGGCACTGTGCCCCCTCTCACCCCATACTCTGTCCTCCTATTTCTTCCTAACCCCCCCCCCCTCCTAACCAAGAACCAAGCTCTCTTTCATATTCTACATGGCCCAAGTGTTGAAAAATTATTTCAAAGTTGTACTCTTGAGTTACTGGAGAGTATAAGAGTTTTAAAAAAACTATGAAAACTTAATGATTTCAATGATGTACTAGTAAATTACTTTATTTTAGAAACAAACCTCATTTGCAGTTTCCTCTAAAATAATAATAAGACAAGAACCATTAAGTGATTATACCTGGGTTATTAAAAGCTTAACTGGCAGAATAATTCTATGGAGAGTGGCTCATAAAGGGAAGGGGGAGGGGGGGAGTGTAGGTCCAGAACAAAATTTTTCAGTTTTTATCATTATTATGGATCAACGGGATGTGCACTTGTATAGTTATAAAATGCTGATATAGGACTTCCCCCTCCCCTTTCACTGAATAGTCTTGTAGAATAAACTAGTATACTTTCACTGTCACTCTGCTTCAATGTTACTCATTTAATTTTTTGCAGGCTTTTGCTGGAGGGTTGCCCTCTCATCGCAATTCACAAAGTGCGATACTACAAAAAAGGGGATGGACTGGCACTAGGTCCAGGCCCCTTTGTCACTGCTCTTGAATTTGCAACAGATGTCAAAGCTGAAGTTGTTGGCAAACCACAAGCTTCCTTTTTTAGACAGGCACTGAGTGAAATTGGCTGTGATGTACAATCTGCAGTCATGATTGGAGATGTAAGTTACTTAGCTTTTTACTATGAGCCGATGGATTAGCATAAATTGGCTCCTCGTACTCAATTTTTTGACAATAAGTTTGAAAGTATTCTTGTTTCATTGCCTTGTGGAGTAAAATCTAAAATGAACCTGTTTCATTTTTCATGTCCAATTTGAAGTACACAGTGGTCTGCATGCTGGCACAAAGAACTCTTTTATCAATTTTTGTGGAATTGAGCTCTGGCTGGGTCATCGTGTTGTGTTCTCTTTTAATCCCATATTACTTCTTAATTAACAGGATGCAAGGGATGACATTGGTGGAGCAGAATCCATTGGGATCAAAGGATTTCTTGTTCAAACAGGTATACAAAAAATGAAACCCCTTTTTTTTAAATAAATGTTTATAAGGTTGAAATTGATATTCTTTTTCATCAATGTTTCAGGTAAATACCGAGATGGCGATGAACATCACCTTGAAAAGCCTCCCTTTGCAGTCTGTAAAGACTTCTCTGCAGCAGTGGATCAAATACTTGCATTGTTATGATGTTGCGAAGGGAAAATCAGTTAGGGCATCGTAATTCATGTCAAGCAGATTGAACTCTAATTGTACAAGAATTCAAGTTCTTGGAGGTGTTTCTGCTATTCTAGAGGTTTTGTGCAAATTTGCTATTAGCACAAAAGGAGTGAAGGATGGACTGACAATTGTTGGGTCATGAAAGTGGAATGATATTAAAAGCGGTATAACATTATCAGCATATTTCACTATCCCTTTTTGCAAAATTAGAAGATATGGTGACTAAATAGCTGATTTGCTGGACTTCTGTTCAGTTCATTTTGTTATGTTCTTAGACAAAACACTTTACAACACAACACTTTAAAACACAGTGCCTCTTCCACCCAGGAATATATGGCTACTGGTGAAGTGTCAGGGAAGCCTAATGAATTGTTAGGGATAACCCTAGGTGGTTCACATAATTTCTGAGTGTTAGCTCATGATGTCTACTTCCTGAGAATAGGCTCTAAAGCTCTTTTAGCAGAGGCTTGTCATCTTGAAAAATATTCCTCTAGGTAGTTTAAGAGTATTTGTACTTTCACTGTGTTTACACCAACTCCAAAGTGAGTTCCGTCAAAACTGTGAACACCCATTGTCATATTAAAGCTATCAAACAGACTGATGTTGTGGTGATTGCAGTATTTTCGCAGATTTTCATTGAAAGACAAAATGGCTGGATTTCCCTGGTCACGGTGATAGTTTATTGGTTTTAAAGGACCCATAGAATGAGTCGATAACCATATAAGGTGTGGCCAACCATTTTTGGATGTTGAAACTAATTTTACTGCAGGCTCAAGGTAGGATTGAATAACAGCTGATGCATTAAAGTTGTTGTGGATGCCAATTCCCATGAGAACAATAGAACCAACTTTGTTCAAGAGTTTTCTGATTGCAAGAAAGGCAAGTTGTGCCAGCTCAACTTTGTAAGCTTTCACATATGAAATTTGAAACCTTGCCCAGCCATCACAGAAGTTTGGATTGTCCATAATGTCACGCCATGTCATAGCTGTGTGAACGTGACAGATGCTGTCAACAAACTGGCTGTCACCTTTACAAATGTCACGCATTTTAGGTGGTGTTTTGAATTTCAATGCGCCATATAAGGGGTCATTGGTCAGAAGGATGACCATAGCTGAGAAAAAATGCCGCACAAGTGAATCGCCAACGAAAGTCACGCTACTAACTCCGCGTGACAATGACTCACAAGCCGAAGATTGCGTGAAGTTCCTTACTTGGCAACCATTATGTGGCCTCCACTGCGCAAGTTCAGCGGAGATGAATGATCTATAATTTATGCAGCTTGAACAGTTGCAGAATTTATCGCCATGACCACACCAGCCCGTGTTTCCATGACAGCAATAGTATTGGCTGTCAGTGTCACACTGTGCTTGTACATCTAAGACGTAAGGCCTTTCTGCCTTTCTTGTCCTACGCGGGAGAGGAAACAACGGTCCACAACGGAGATCGCCGTGAAACAAACGTTCAGGCCAGCCTTTGCGTTCTCTTAACATCATATCGTGTCTCCGTCTGTTGCGTATCACATCATCGCTAACGTTTCGTCGTTCCCATTTTCCTTTAGTCAACGTTTTAAACGCGCCTCGACAGCGCAATTGTGCGGACTGGGGATGAGGAGGGTGGAAGGGTGTTCGCAGTTCATGTTTCATGTAACAGGAAAAGTAATATACGTATAATAAAGTTGTGATGAAGAGAAATACTGTGCAACTCTGACGACAGCAACACCAGGGTTCCCCTAGGGAAAGAAACCGTAGTTAGGAAATAATTAAAACCGTCTACAAACGATCTGTTAGATTTTTAATCCTGCATGATGGGCCGACTTCCCCATTGCTCCTTTATATAAGTTGATCAAAGTAGTTCCTTAAAAAGAGAAAGTGAAAGGGCTCTATCAACGAACATAACTTATCAGTCAAACGTTCACTTCTATTAGGAGAAAGAGTTAATGACCCGTTCCAAAGGAAATTTGAAAAATTTGTCGCTGATCAAAAACGTCCGCGCATTGTTCCATGTAAAGCTTTAATTGTCCAAGCCTTCGGTTGCATCACTTGTCCGTAAAATTTCACGAGGTTAGCGTGCGAGTAGCGGAGGCGGGAAAATCTAGTTAGCGTTACGCGCACAGAACGCGTGTTGACCAATCAGAGTCATGATGCCGCCAACCGAGAGGGCCGCTTGTGAACATAGGTTCGCCGGATTTTCCCGCCTTTCCAGGTGGCTTATAGTTGGTTGCACTCTCACACAAATTCTTATTGGTTGATTCAGTGACCTTATTCCAAACTGTTCGATGGCCACCGACACTCTGAAATTATTTTCTATGGCTAGCTTAAATTGCTATAAAATTTCACTGCACTGCCTGTATTCGTTTCGCAATGGCGAAATATTAAAGCTTGGGCTCATACCACTTCGGAGGGAGAAAAACAAAATACGATGCAGTGATTGCAAAAATAGGCTAATAACTTCGCAATGTTTACCAATAATTGCTCAAAGACAACCCTTTTTACAAGACTAACTTCTTTTGCGTTTTATGGTTGGAATGAGCAGTCAGGTTTGAAATAAATGTTAGTAGTTATTTCCGCCTCAAATCTCTGTAAAAATGTTTTAAAGACTATTAATTTGTTTCATAAATTTGCATCTTTGGCTAGACGGGTTCAACTGATTAAAATTTAAACTGTCTCAGGGTAATTCTAGATGTTCGGATTCAAATGTGTGTCTATATAATTCACAGATCATTTCCTGAACATACCTTCATCACACACCGTGATCTTCTGTGTCGGCATCAAACCAATCGAAGAAATTTCAAGCAAACGGAGCCCGATTTATCCTAAAGGGACGCGTAAATTCATGGCGATCGGTGAATTCTTTGAACGGGTTACTCATGGCTTTGAAATTTGTTATGAACAAGCTTTGAACTATGCATGATTTTTGAATAGTTTGCTCAGATGAAGCAATCAAACTCTCGAACTCCGTGCGCCTTTTACAACCGTTGATGCTTTTTGAAAATTTTTCGACGCCTTTAGACACTTGGTGTTCACCAGTGACAAAAAATTATGCACCCCATTTCACTCACCTGTTTTAAACTTTTTGTCATCCATCACAGGTCGATGCTTTTCCATGGGTTTGAATCCTTGACCGTTAACTTAGCAACGCCAGCTCTGCTAACTTAACTTGTTCATAGAACCGCCGAGGGCCTCTAACGTACCAAGCATCGTTAGTTTTCCCAAATGAAAAACTCGTCACAAGATAAGAAAAATTCAACTTTGTCAAACCAGCTTCGTCAAGCGGATAACAGCCAAACGTTCCGTGAAGGTTTTAATGTCGTTTCACTGTGATTCACAACGAAAGGCTGTTGAATATTTTATCAAAACTCTCTATGTAAAACAACGGGGGTCTCTACGACCCCAGCCCTTGGCTGATGTGTGGTTATATCCTATATTCATCCCTGACGCAAGCTGCTCCTCTCATAACAGTTTGTGGTTACCTTCAAACAAACATGCTGGTTGCTGGTGTTTTCTCTGACAGTCTCCATGAATATCAAGAACCCGCTGACGGGAAATATTTCCCGATTCACTTGGAAAACCACAGCTGGTGCCTCCATGGTTTTCTAAGGACAAGCGAAGCAAAGTAAATGGTACCAGTTGACTCGTTGACGCTGTTTTAAAACAATCACTTTGTATTCAAAACAAAAACATTTTATGAAGGCCTCATTGGTTCAACAAGGAAACAGACACTTAACGCTCAGTCCTGTAATGTTTTTAGTTCAACTTGTGATGAGGTACCGAGGATTCATCGGTGAACGAAGAAGGCGATTCTTTCCGACAAGTCTTCGTGACACTCCCGACCATCTTCGGAAGGTTACGAGTGCTTTTATAACAGAATTTCTGATCAATTTTTATTTCAAATTTGTCCATTGTGTAGCCATTTGTCTGCGAATTCAACTATTCAGTTCGATTGACTCGCAATACATCCTTTTATTAGCGAACGTGGTTCGGAAAGCCACGATTGCCTTGGCGAAATTTGCTAGTTTTCGTATCGAGTTCGGAAAGCCACAATGGTCGGATCGTGGAAGTATCATTATGGAGTCAATATGTCGGTCATAGAGTGTGTGAGTTTCTTTTTTTTGTTTTGTTTTGTTTCCTTGTAGGACAGAATAATCATTCCATAATTTTTCCTTTGCAATTTTCTACCGAAATTCTTTTATTCCGTCCTTTACAGAGCATAGGAGACTGGATGAATGCCTAATGATTCTTCAAGGCCTCTTTATTCTATGCTAATCTTGAATATTTTGAAGAGTTAAGTTTGTTTGCTGAAGCATTCTTGTCTCACTGAGTTACTAAGCTTTAGCGATGAGTCACGTTTGACATAAACAGAGCGGAGAGGTCAAAGCAAACCAGCTGAATTCTTACCGGAACAATTAGAAAGATTGGGACAGATGCGAAGAGATTTAATTTTTTATTTTAAGTGCTTGAGAGAATATCGTAAACGATGTATAAACAAAGTGATCAATATTTCTTAATCTAAGTGGCAAAAGAGCCAAATGCAAAAAACAGTCAGGGAATTCATCAACATTCCTTGCTTAAGCTGTAAGAACACAACAGATTTGTCTGTGTATGTTGTTAAGATTTTACCGTTTTGAGTCAGTGCGCTTTCAAATAAAATGAAAGCGAATCTCTCTCCTGTGTGGGTGTGTTTTAACTCGGGCGGAAAACCGAACTCTGTAAAGGAAGCAACTGATTTAAAAGGTGAGCGTTCATATATGTTTTCTTTCCGCACTCCATGTACAGTATAAACAAACTAGTGTTACGATCCAAACACAAATTGAATTTGCAGGTTCGAGCATTGATTGGCTAAAATCGTTTACCTTTGGGTTAGAAAAAGACAGTCTTTAACCCTGCTTATTGAATGCTAAGCGGCGAAGGTTAATGCCTCATTAGGATCAGAAAAACTTTTATTCGAAAGATGAAGTGATGAATTTAACTGACAGAAATGGCTGGAGATTTCACCTCGAACCGCAGTATTGGAATAATCATCGTGGAAGTTTTGGTTTGTGCTCTGATTGATGGGTTGTCTCTCTTCGGAAACGTGTTAGTATCTTTGGCTGTGATTCGCAGCCCAAAGCTGCGCACTTCAACAAACATGTTCATACTCGCGTTAGCCATCGCTGACATTCTTATGGCATTAATCTGCATCCCTATAACTTGCGGGATACTTGTATCAGAAGCCTGGATCAACACAAGTGTCCTCTGTGATATTCAGGGATTTTCTATCCTCACTCTGGCTTTCATGTCAATAGGCACTTTGGCGCTAACGGCTATTAACCGCTTTTTTCGAGTTGTGAAACCTGTCATCTACAGACGCTTCTTCACAAAGAGAAACTCTCTGCTTCTAATTGGGACGATGTGGTTATTGATCGTCGCCTTTTACGCAACTTTGCTTCTGAGCAAAGCGAGTTACATTCGTTACGAACCTAGTTACGCAACTTGCGCAGTTGCGCACAGATTTATGCAAACATTGGTGGAATTTGTGTTTGTTGTTCTAGCTTTCATAGTTATCGTTGTGAGCTACACTCTTGTCTTCAACAGAATACGAAGACATCATCTTTCGTTTGTTTCGTCTCTGGTCGGCCAACAACGGAATTCGAGTATCTCCGTAGAAGAAATAAAAATTTCCAAGCTTCTTTTCATGACTGTGCTCGGATTTGCCATTTGTTGGATGCCAAGTTTAGTAATTATCACAATGGACCGTATATCACCCGACACCACCCCCCCAAGACGAAGGACTTTGCTCTGCACATACCTCAACTATCTAAGCGCGGCCTTAAACCCTCTAATATACGGCGTCATGAATCGTTCCTTCAGAGCAGAATATAAAAGGATCCTTCTCTGTCGCAAGAACCAGATTGACGTAGCTCAAAATGGCACCAAAAGTCTTCGGACATTTACAAACACTGCACGCGCAGCAGTGATCTGGAAACGAGCCACAGAGAACAAGACGGAAACGGCAAAAGTCGCATTCGCGTCGAACAACCAAAATGACTGTAAGAAAACGTCACACGAAGAAAGAGAGGATTCTCTCTTGCAGCGCTTACGAAGATCTTCAGATTGTTCAGGGGTGATTTCGTTTTCCCATATTTCTCGTACTTCTACACCAACTTTAGAGTGACGAGTTTCAGTAGAAAAAATGTTGTATTGCGTTGCGAGACAAAAAATTATGTGCATCCGTGGTTGCCTCGCTAGCAGCAATCTTCAAAGAAATTATAATTCTAGAAAACACATTTTGTGTAAATATTTTTTCCACAACTATTTATTTAACTCGTCCTTGACACAAACCCAACCCAAACACGCGGTTAATAAGGTTTACTACTAAACCCACTATGAATCAGTACGTGATACAAAAGATTACAAATCACACTATTAAATATTGTTTGGTAACAGAAAACTTTTTAACCATAACCAGTTAATTATTATCTGTAGCGGAACAGTTAGTCCACATATTTAACAGCGATAATATTTCCTTAAATGAGATAAAAACAGCAAATATACAAACTGCGCCTTGTAATGAGGCGAAACTACGGTTTCACAGTTTGCAACCCTCCTCACCCCCGAAATACTATAAATGTTTTTAAAAACCCATACTGTGAAGTAGTTTTTTTACGGTATATGTAAATAAGTTGAAGCAAAATCTTAGAACTATAACAATTTTTGATCGAGTGTACCACAACGACCAATCAGAACAAAGATTGGCATCGTCATCAGCCAATGAGGATTCAAAGTGAAAACAAGGAAACTGCTTTAAGCGCGGGAAAATGCGAATGACAAGGTCGCAATCGTTTTCGGTGTTGTATCTGATTGGCTAAGAGGCCGGCGGCGCAAGTTTCCTAGACCAATCACAAAGCAAAGTAAGGTGACACCAAAGCAATCCTGGCTGTCTTGCAACCCTCAATTGAAAATTACTCTGATCGGCAAATTCTGCCTTTTAAGTGCTGTACATTTAAGAGAATTTGCTGCTGGATCAATATAACACCCTCTGGATGATAAGTTTTATGTTCTCATCACCTGTCTAGTGAGTGATGTCGAGGATTTACTGATATTTTAGGGAGAAGTTGCACGCTTGTCAGTGCTAAATGACTGTAAGTTTTACACAACAATGTGTTATAGCAAGGGTGTTTACATCTCGTGAACAAAAAGCTATATAAATAAAACACTAAATAAATTTCTCTACGCAAAATGGTAGCACAGTTTGCTTTAACAGTTAATAATTGAAATTTGATTAAGTTAAAACTCAAAATCATTCGAAGCCGTGACGTGCATGAAACAATCGCGTCGCGTTGGCCTATTGAGTAATCTGAACGACTCGCATGAAAAGTCGAGCCTCAATCCTAACACTAAATGATGTGAGTATGGTACCAAAAATTGTTAGCAAACACAATTATCACACAATTTTCGTTGTAAATATTTCTGTGCTTTCCTCTCTAATCTGTATTACTGATTGAGTCGAAGGCATGCTTTGCAGAGTTTCCATAGTGTTTTATGTTCCTCCTTCAGAATTAACTGCTACATGAAAGATGGTTAAGAGTTCCTCTACAGAAAACATGTTTATTCTTACCTTCATGTCCAAGATAAACTGTCTTCTCTGTATACCTTTACGAAACAATTTTCACTCGAATAGAAGTTGAAAACTTTGCGCTGTTTTGAAGAACTCTGCATGGCTCGTGCAAAGCATGCGCACGGGAATATCTCGTGAGTACCAAACGTTGACTTGTTGTTGTTTTTCTTTTAACAACTGGTTGCGAAATTTAAAATTAAAGATTTTTTGATACATAAAGCCTACAGCGAAGAAATGTTTTCCGAGCTAAGTAACATCTATCTAAAGTAAAATTTTCTCTCTAACCACTTAAAGCAAACTCTTAATGCTACCGGACGAATGACAGAAAGAATGTGACTGTCTTCCTCTTCAAATGTCATAATACACTCTCGAAGTGAGTTACCTTCAACTTCACTGTGCCCTCTTTCGAAACTACACAAGCTATTCACATTACTCCTTCCCGACACTGATTAAATAAGTGGTATCTTTTCATCATCATAATATATTTTTAAGTCAACGATTGGTGATACTGCACGTGACATGAGGTCGTACTTGTTTGTCGAAAGTTTAGTGAGTTTAGTCTTTTCACAGAAAAATGAAATTCAAAATGAACAAATACATCATAATAACTGATGTTTTAGAAGATAGTAATTGGAACTCGCTTATGGAAAAATGTCACACCTAAGTTTTTTTAGACTAAATTTTCAGAACAACTTTAGTTTCACACTGAGCTATGGATCTTTCCTCCGACGGAAACATTCATTCTGCAATTCCAAACTACGATTGTCACATCTCCTCTTTCACGTGTAAAGGAAAGAGTTACTATCCCACAAAATGTATTGTGTACATCAGTGCAGTCACTGTACAGTAATACGAACAAAGTTTACAGGAAAATTACTAACAACAACCTGGAAAGTATGTTTGTAACATCAGATTTTCTAAATGCACATTAACCCTTTCACTCCCGAGATCTAAATGAAAGTTCTCTCCACCGTTTTCCCACATGTTGCTTATAATTCAAGTTCTGAGAGTTTGATGTTACATGAAGCAATATCGCCTCGTTGATATTTTCTTTCTCTTAGTCACCTTTCTGCTTAAAATGCGTGAATATTTTGAGGAGAAATTCCTTGTTGGTCACATCTGAAAGTGAAATGGTCAAGAGAAATCCCTAGACTTCGTAAAAAGAACTTTAAAAATTTTTACCTGGCGCGACAAACGCAACTCCGAAAGCGAGACACCAAATGTTCAATGTTCAAGTTATTTGTTTAACCCCTTAACTCCCATGAGTGACCAAAACAGAATTTCTCCTAACAATATCAATACAATATCAACCAGATGAGTGATGAGAATAAAGAAAAATATAAATTTGGTGATAATTAGTTGATCCAATACTAAATTCTCTGAACTAACATTATACGAATAGTATGGTTGACAGGCAGGAGAATTACAAATTAATGGTCATTTGTCGACTTACAGCATTTCACTGCCTTGGTCAAGTGAATCTTTCCTATCCGTGTAACTGACCACATCTGAACCCGGCGGGGAGGTAGACGGGGTGGATTCCTTGTATTTCCCTGCGGTACGTAGTCGATCCACTGCCGACGGAAACAGCCCAGCTTCGACCAATCCAAGGCCAGAATCATAACGAGGTAAAGTTACCCCATCCGTGTGTAACATGCTTGGCGTCGATGCATAGTTGTTCTCCTTGGGCACTTCATTCATCTCGTACTTCGGCGGCATGGACGTTCGGTACCCATTCGGACGTCGGCTCTTTGGGTCGAACTCTTCCGAAAACGACTCGGACAAATTCTCCATACTGAACAACTCTCTTCTCACGAAGCACTGGCATTTGAGGTAGTGCAACAAATGGCGCTTGAATTCTGGGTTGTAGATAAAGAACAAGATGGGATTTATGATCGTTATTGCATACGTGAAGATGTACACGATGTTCAAAACGTCTCGGAAGTAAAGTTTCTTTTCGCCATTTGCGAAATCTAAGATCAGCCACATGATCTGGTGAGGGAGTAAAAAGACGGCGAACGAGAGGACGTAGGCCACCATCATGCGGATGATTCTGCAGTGACGTTCTCGCCTGGCGGCGCGTTCAGGATCCACGACTCTGTAACTAAAAAGTTTAAGAGGTGCATGTCAGAACGAAATCCAGGACTGCATTAGTTTTGATTTAATTCGCTCCGTGATTGGCCGACCAAAGTCGCACCACTATCTCAACCAATGAGCTGTAAAGCCCAAATTCCTCAAGGGGCTTGCTTGATTTTAATTTGAGCTCTCATTGGCTCCTTGTAAAGTTTTCTGTCTTTTGATTGGCCAGTAATGATTACTTTACTTTTGGAGTAAAGACACTCAATCGAGAAACACTCTATTAAACAAGCAAATAAATAATGGTGAATAATGACCAAGTGGAGTCCAATTCGGTCTGTAATCATACGAGTGATTAAGAAAATCGGACGACCGCGAAGCGGGAGTCCGATTTGTTAATTACGAGTATGATTACAGACAAAATTGGACAACACGAAGCCCTGTTATCAATTAATCAAAACTGTGACAGAATTTGGGAAAGAAACTAGACATACGTTTTCATTAAAAAAAAAACCCAACAGTTTACTCCGCGAAATGTGAGACAACAGCGCGCGCACATGACGCTTTCTGTCCACTTACACAGGCATGACGTGTTAACTGTCACTGTAACTGTCCTATTCCTCTGTCCAATTACAAGCATGACGCGTACACTGTCCTATTAGTGCTCAAATCGGGCTGGTGATAACCAATCACGTTCGAGAATTTTGTTAAAGTTTTGATTATGATGGTTATGATTTCATAATTCGTTTTAATTCATGCACACTGAAATAACTTTCCGAAGGAAAAGCAGCAGGTTTTTACCTTTGCATTCGTCCCCAGACCATCACGTACATGACCAACAGGGCGATAAGTGGCAGGGCATAATCCAAGAGGAACAGAGAGATGGTGTATCCCTGGCGGCTGCCATCAGTGCTCCATAACTCGTCACATGTTTTGTTGATGTAGTTGTAGTCCAAGCTCAGGACGTAAGGGACCACAATGATGATGCTGGAGATCCAAATGACGAATGTAAGCACAAGTGCAAGGATGAACTTCATTTGACCAAACAGGTCTCTGCAACAAAGAAGAAAAGTCAAAATACTATGCAGCTGTGGCGGGACATTCTTTAGACCAATTCCCATTCCCCCTTTCGGCCACGGTTATCGTTTTTCAGCTGAGAGACGACTGGGTCCATGGCTGGAAAAAAGTAGTCCTCTCTCAAGACTCATAAGAGCCTTCGAGATTTGGATCGAATGTTTTCGTACAATAATTAAGTGGAACTCTGGCAGGAATGTAGTTAATGATGTGTAGCTATGCAGACGATCAAATTTATGCAGTTTTTTTCAGTGTCTTACGTTTAATGTGAGTGAAGAACGCGCAACTGAGTCAGCAATTCTCTCTAAAAGGAGCCTTTCTTCAAAAGTTACCTTCTCGTGATCCAACCACACCCCAAACCGGGCTACGTTTAGAGGATTATGGATATTTTCGTCCCGTATACCACCTTTAGAGAGTCACGAACTCACCTCGTCACACCATACCATCGATGATAAGCTAGAGCCACGTACGTGAATACCATAGCCTGTAAAGCAACTGTCTGTAACGGGTAAAGAATCTTGCAGCCCCCAGCTCCAAAGGGCCAGCTGTCCGCGTCTTGGGACACTGCATCAAATGGAATCGAAGCTACCACCAGAACGAGGCCAGATACGCCGAGATTCTGCATCAAAATAATAAAACTTTTGGCAGTTCTTCTGTGACGGCGAAACTTCCTCCACAGCGCTAAGAGCATAAAACTATTCAGCAGGACACTGACTATGAAGATCGTAATATACATGACCAGTTTAAAGACGCGAAGGCCTTCTTTAACGGTGGCTGACTCAGTAGGTGGAGGCTCTGTTGTGGAGACGACCATGGTGAACTGTGATCTGCTTGGAAAGAGGAGACGTTTATTAGCTTCTTTAGGGATTTTCATCCACGAAGGGGGACAAAGAACCAACTATAAATAATCTGTCAGGTTCCCAACATAATGTTTCGTAGCTCAGTTGGTAACAGCACACGAGAGGTTATTGGAAAGTTAGTTTCCTGTTCCTCGAGGACTTGATTCTATTTACAGACTGTACCGTTTGTGGAATTTCTGTTATTGGAGTTTAACTTTCAGTATCAATTCATAAATCACTCAGCTAAACCTTTCCCACAGAATTAATAGGTTTACGTCTCAATTGGTTCCGTTATTGAACTTAATTAGCCGTTTACAACTTCCTCTGAATTAGGGTTTGATAAGTGATTATTGAGGAGGTCATACACGTGAATTGTTTACTTTTCGTCTGGCAATTGGACTTATTTGACGGGATATCAGTCAGTTTACTACGATTACTAGGCTTATGACTCCTTATCTTCTGTTTATCAACGAGCCCTTGTCGTGATGTTCAAATCATCTCGAATGAATGGAAAAACTAAAACAAACAATTTTCTATTTCAAGGAAATAAAAATACTATTTAATTCATACAAACAGAAGGAAAAGAGCCGTAGAAAAGTTGGGTCACCTATCGTGCAAAAGTAACTCTTCTTCTAAAAATAAGATTTACAGTAAACCGGAAAAACCACCTGAAATCACTTTGAAATAATTCCCTTTAAATGTAATACAATATTTAATCGTTCTCTCCTCGACAACGTTAGAGTCTAAAGTCTACATTATGTTTTGATAGATCACCACTTTCGGATCAATAATACATCATTGTAAAAATATATGGCATCTGTGGTAAATTAAATCATTGGATAGGAAAAAAAATATCATTCTATCAGGTTCTCAATCGCAGTCATGACCACACAAGCAGCAAGAACACGAAATAACCGTTCGCGTTGAAGGTTTTTAATCATAAGTTATATAAATAGCACACCTCGCTTCTGTTGTTTTATAAAGCATAGGCGAGTTTCCGGAAAACATCGGCCCGAAGATTATCTGTTATTCCACCTACCTCAGATAAGGTGTAGACCTTGAATTTAACGAGTCCCTACGCCACAAAAACACAGTAGAAAGAGCGATCTATTTCAGTCGAATAATGAAAAATGTATTTTTAACTCTGATTGTCACAAACACAGTTCACGTTCGCTGGCACTCTCTAGAATCACCACAACGTATGTACTATGAGCCATTGAAAAGATTTCAAAACTGCGCAGGGTTAGCAATTTTACATATCGCATATGAACGTTTTTCATTTCACTTGGCAGTCGATCAAGAACGCCTTTTTCAAAATCAATTCCAGGTGATTCAGGACCAAGAACCAACACGTCCACTTATCTTAATTCATTTGGTTCAGTTTACCGGTCAAAATGTCAAATTGATTCGACAATGAGCACGTATAGCACAAAAAAAACACAAAAAGTCTAAGTAAACAATTATGTAAGGGCGACAGTGACTTGTTTCAAGAGTTTTCTCATGCACGTATTTCACTTTTAAGTTTCTCAATTTCCCAAGACTCGTCTACAACCGGACGAAATGAGGATAAGGACGCAAATAAGCTTCTCTACAATTTCCTATTTCCTTATTACGCTTACGAAAAGATTACAAAATACACGAGTTGTAAAAATTTCCAGATTTGAGCCCTCCTAGTGCTTCTCATTTCGCTATTAGATTTCGTCGTCCTATCCAAGTCGCTTATCGCTGTCACATCAGGAAATCCAACTTGCTACTTTTCACGGTCTCTCTGCTGGCTATTACAGGATAAAATTTCTTTGAAAGCTGATGTAAACTTTATCTTGATAGCATAGTGTAAAGCAAAAAGTAAATATTGTTCTAATATATCGATGTTCTAAAGGTGTTTACAGACTGCATAGTTATCAAACATTAGTTATTAGCCTTTGCCGTGAATCCATAACACCGAAATGACGTGGCCCCCCCTACTCAAGGATAAAGGTCTGTATAACCGCAGGACATTCAAGTTTGTTTTCTCTTGAATCCGTGGTACTAAAATTATGACCACGCGATGAAGCACGTCTAAACAAAACCCCCAAAAATGTCTTCCAATGATAAAAAAGCTGCCATCTTCCAATAGCAAAAAGGCCGCCATTTCGAAAATAATATATGGTTTTAATCTTCAAAGATTTTCCAACGAAAATCAATTATATAAATTGACACAAAATGACATAACTTTACGACTGAAGGTTGAAATGTAGCACCTAAAAGCACGCATAAGCTTCCACAACATTGCGTGATTGTCGGACTAAGATCGGTTTGTAATACAATCTGCATGAATAACAACATGGAAAATGCGACAAATTTTAAGAATGTAGAACGATAAGTTAATCTTCACCAAGTAGCCGGCCTACGTGTACTAGTTTATATTTTCAAACCATTTTTTTTCTGTAAAATAAACTGTATTCAAGATTTGAAACAAACCGTGTAGAGATAAAACATCTCATTTACGCATCAGGATGAATATTTTGCACAGCAAAATGGGTTATTGTTGATTATTGAGACTACCTGTCACCTGTATGGTGTCAAATCCAGAGTAAATGCTTTTAGCAAAAATTGTAAGTTCCTGATTAACATCAACTGGAAAACTACGTTCTCATTTATAACGAAACTTCCTTCTTACAACTGATTTCCAACCTTACAAAGGCTCAAGAGAATTGCCTTGTTATGATCGTTGGTTAAAGCATCGACGTAACCTATGTTGAACTGCGAAGTAGGTCTAAACGCTTGCTGCTCTGAAAGCTTCTCGTAAAAATGTAAACTTGACACTTGTCTGCGAGCACAGCATCCAATACCAAGAAATCCCTATGTTCTCATAAAGTTTAACTTCAACGAAACAAACCCGGCAAGTATACAAATATGTTGAGAGTGTAAGACTAACTTAACTATTGTATACTCATTTCGCGCGCAGTTTGTTAGATTCAAGAACAGATGTATTAGAGTCAGACTCATCAACTGACTGAAGCGCTCGAATTTTTTGTTTACCGCGGCACTGGAACACCAAAATTGAACATAAAATGTTACTAGATGTACTCACGATTTTCCTGCGTCGAAAAGTTTTCGAAAAATAGAGGTATGGAGGAGATTCAGGTCCAACTTTCTACAGATTCTTATCACCATACATCAGTACCTATACGCGTCAAATAATTCCATGCATGCATGCATGCAGCGTTCAATTTGCGCGGCGCCAGGATCAAATAACAAGCTAAGACATTGATGAGGCAGTAAACCTGTCAAGTGTCATAAGGTGACGTCCTAAAAAAATTCGTGCATGACAAATGTGTGAGAAATTTATAATTCTTCATTGTGCGTCAAAAGAAAAACGCAATGAAAATCATGATATCTTAAATTGGAAAAGGTTTAAGCTAGTTACGGATCAAAGATCTTCAACAGCGCTACATTTTCAATGTTTATCATCAAACCACTGGTTTGGCATTAGACATGACCTTAAACATTAAAAGCTTTTTAAATGAACAACAAAAACAGCAATCTCGCTAAGAAAGGAAAATATTTGTAAGGTTAAAATCTTAAAACTTGAATCATGACCTGCCCTTTGTACTTCCGGGGGGATGGGTAGGCAAATTCACTGAAGCAACACGGGTGGGTTAGGCAGCTTATTACTGCGGTGTTTGGCGTTGGATCTTCTCTAAATCTCAGCTTTAAAAGCGAAGTCATTTATCCATGTAACGCCATCCCAAATAGTCTCCCACGTAAATGATTGTCACACAAAGCTCTTTTTTGTCGCGTTGGGGGACAAGACATAAGAGGTGCGAAGGAGACTACCATAACCTGGAGAGTATCGCAATACTCGTAAAGACAGTCTTCCTCCCCCTACCCACAAACACTTGAACTTTCAGACAAAAAAATACAATAGGGAAGTAGTGATTGTTAACCGTCGCTCGATTCAATGCAAAAATCACGTTCTTTGGTTGAAACCTTAGCCCAACAGGAAACATTAGCCCTGGAATTCTCAGAGGTCGCACCATCCTTAAAGTCTGCCGTCACGTTTTTAAATCAACAAAATAAATAAAGTATTTTTTTCCGTTAATCCCAGTATCTTACGAAAATACTTAAACTACGCTTCAATTACTTAAATTGCTTCAATTTGCGTTTCAATTACGTTTAGTTCGAGCTATGTACGTAACTTTTGGAGGAATTCGTAATAGCGAGAGAGGTAATAAATGACCGATTTTGTTGGTTTGAAGGAACCGACGGCAGTCAAATTACTGATTTTTGTTACGTATGTCACTTGTTCACGAGGCAATGTTTGCACGAATTCGATCACAAGGAGGAAAACATGGCAAGGAATGACTACATCCTTGCTCCCAGAACTGCTTGGTTAAAAACAGGAAGAGTATATTACTTTTCGGGTTACTTCTCAGATTGATACTTCCTCGTTCCCAGCACTCACTGTAAGAGTCAGAGAGTGAGCGACTGGTACAGAAAAGGTTTCAGTTCTCCCTGTTCACGATTCTTGTTTGTTAAAAAGGCAACTAAGTACAATTTTGCTTCGCGTAGTTTTTGTTTTGGTCAAAAGAAAATATTGAGAGTTTTCCTCGATAAATGTGAAGTTTCCTTCACCTTCTTTAAGTCATTATATTTTTGTTGTCCAAAGGTCATCGGCCAGCCGCATGGAATGTTTCTTTTCCAACCATCAAATTCCCCTTCGTCAGATAGGTACTGTTTGACTGACCTTGATCCGGCAGCACACTGCTAATTAGCCAGTGAGTTAAGGCCATCATTATCAGTGCTGCGGCAGCAGTATTTGTTTTACTCGTGGGAAGGTATGACGCTTTGAGTAATGCAAGTGTGAGACGTGTAAGGGGTCTTGCACTGCAGAACTCTTCCAGAGTGGTCTCCAATCTTCGATCGGGAAGATCGAGACTCGGTCGTCTCGTCCAGCAGCGCTGTTAAAGAGCTACAATACAGTTTGAGATCTGATTCATGCGTACACAACCAAGCCCGAATTCATTCATCTATTACGTAATTTCATCGATTTTGGATTTTATCTTTGTAATGCAAATGTTGAGCAAAAATCTTGCTAAAGATTCAAGCATGTAAGTTACACAGCTGTCTATTCAGCCGCTATAGCGCGCTAGCCGGGCCAACAGAAACTGTGATGTTCATTTGAAACCTTAGAAAGATTATGATGATTATGATGAAAAGAAGCCCATGACAAAGTCTTAGAAAATATTTTAGTCAAACATATGACCCACAAGACAGACACAGCAGTTTATTTGAAGAGAGGTCAGCCGGAGTTGTCAAGAGACTATTAACAGTTTATAATCTCTTGGGGTTAATTGGCTGTTTATTCCTCCATCTTGCAGCAGTTCAGTAAACAGGTTGTTTATCTCTATCGATAGTTTTATCAACGAATTTAAAAGGAACAACTGGTGACTAATGTCATCTTGAGAGTGTGTAAAAACTTGCTGTATGCACAGCTTTTCATTGGCCCAAGGGAGGAGACTCTAAGAACAATTGATTAAAAATTTCGTTCGAATCAGATCAAGACGGTCGTTTGTAGAAGCAAAGCCCCAAATCACTTCCAAAAATATATGATCAAAATCTACAAATTTTCTTGTGCATTCGGTTAAGAAAAAGTGCATAGCCCTCTAAACAATCGTCATTCAAAAATGCTTTCCTCGTGGCCAATCAGAATGAAGAAATTTGTTAAAAAAACAATCAAATACGGAAGACACGAAAGGGGTCTTGTGGTCGATGCGGCCGTGACAGTAACACAAACTTGGCTTTCGCTACGACTCTCTCTATTAATTCAATTTCTAGAACTGGTCGAACTTTCACTTAATGGAACTGATGGTGATGATAACATAGGAAAAGACTGCTGTCACCAGTAAACGAAATGTTTCCATCGTTCAAGAAAGCCTTTGTAAGTACTGGATAGCTCTCTTTGTCAATTTGATATTCGGCACGTTGTTTTCGTTGGTTTAGCAAATATAATAGCGTCAAGGATAGATTATAATGCTTCTTTGACGATGTTTTTTTTTCATGTTGGTCAAAGCATTGGCTCTAAAATAACATCAAAAATAACCACGAACTGATGTAAGTGAAATAGGTTCACTCGTCGCTCGCCGAAGCCAGTTTCCTCCAGAGAGTGGAGCCGTTAGAGCGATTACAACTTCGTGACGTGTTGTAACAGGGTGACTCGTAAGGTTGGACGAACGCGCCCTTGCGAGGATAGAAACTTCATGATTTCCTTCTCTTCCACTTTCAATTTCGACGCTTAGGTTCTGATATAAATTTGTTGGTCGGAGTCGCAAGCAGAAGCGAAAAACACTTGAATATTAATAGCGGTTTTTATTCCCTGTAAAAGCAGACGTTTTCACTAGATCCTTTATAGTTGCAGCCGTCGGTACATAGTTTTACTCCTGAGTTTATCAGGCCGATTCCGTCGGTTTGAAAATGACAAGGCTTCTCTATGCTGAACAACTCTTTATCAAGATCTGTGGGATGAAAAGCTTAATAAGCGTCATGGCGAAAATATACGAGTAAAATACACTCCATGAAAAATATCTCACTCTACTTCCACAGTGGATCGCTTGTTGTCTGAACACTTACTTTGTTAACTCACTTTGTTAAAACGAGATCATTTTAGCGAATTATCCATTTCTAGGTTTCCTGCTAGAAACCTGGAAATGGATAATTCGCTAAAATAGCCTCGTCTCAACCAAGTTAACGTTCAGATAACAAGCGCACTGTAGATGTAAGGTGAGGTTTCGTTCGATATTCCCAAAAGCAATAGACAATACCTGTTTACAGCAGCACTCACTTAAAAGGATTGCCTGAGGGTCTCTTCAAAGCTTTGTACACGCACCATTGCCGCCCATTTTGGCGTCTGATTGATTGTCTATTGTTAATTACATATAGCGAAATTGATCTTATTATGTTGGAATATCAACACCATGAAGACATATCCCACCTTTTAATTAATCCATCTCATCTCTATGTTATTTAACAGACTCTTTTAATCGTCGTAACTGCCGCTTCGATTACTTATACACTGCTGAAAACGGATTTATCTTCCCTTCTTAATCAAATGTTTAGAAACCAACGATCAGGTAATTTTACAAGCCCAAGAGCAGGGATTAGAGGGATCGAGGAGGAACTTAGTCTCGTACCCAAGCCTTCCACGGCCAAGTGGTTGTAAGTTCTGGATACGCGATTATATTAGGGGGAATCCCGGATTTTTTCACAAGGGGTTTCGCCTGGTTGCTCACGTTCTGAGCCCCTTTTAGACCGAGATATACCAATTCCACACAAACTTTCAAACCTTGCCTGGCGAAACATGTTTTTCATATTTTAAAATGTTGTTTTATTTATGAGCTCTTATATTTTAGGAATCACAAACAAAATGTAATTATTCATTTTTTTTCAGTTGCAAATGTATTTAAACTTTTCCCAGGGGACAAGTCATTTACTTATCGCCAGGTGGTGGAGAATTTTTGTTTCTTGGGGGGGGGGGGGAGTCGTAGGGTCTGCAGTGGAAACAGAGGGGAGGTCAGTCGTCACCAACAGGCAATCGTATATAAATTGGAAAATACGTACTAACTATTTACAGCCAACGATTGAGGATCGTAAGAATAGTACTGAGTCTAATGGGGGTGGGGGTGGGGGGGAGATCGGGTAAATTTTATTGTGACGCAGGAGATAAGTAACGACCGGTCTTAATGCCTGACGAGTTATTCTGTTTCATACGTTCCCAGATCTCAGTGAGTATCTTTCTTTGGATTTAAACGAGAACTCAGATGAACTCGACGCTTCGCTATCTTCAATCAAATGCAAGCCATACAGGTAAAACATGTCGGAACAATTAATTAATTAAATAAAAGATGGAGACATGTAAAGGTCAGGGAGTGCGGACAAATTTGGCGACATCAAATTAGCTTTATTTGGTTCTCTTTTCTGCTTCCTTCATCACACAGTACGCAAAACACCGTTCCTCTATTTCGTTATTCTTCGCACAATAGGTGCGATCGTAACATTTTTTATTTAACGTTTGCTATTTCAAGAAATAGAGAAATTTTCAACCGAGTGTAGAAAGTAATCCGCGAATTCATTGGTTTACACGGTTTACTGCACTTTGTGATTAGTTTTAACATCTCGTGCCACTGTTTCAACCATTCAGATGCAAACTTGTTCACTTGCGTTTTCCCGCGCTTGTAGCAGTTTGATTGTTTTTTTACTCAGAGTTTTGTTACCTCCTGGCGTCATATGACATTGTAATAACCTGGTTAATTGACCGTCTGCAGGTTAGACAGAGTTGATTATGAACAAGCCTATAAATATTATGGAAAACCAGACAAAGAAGAAAGAAGATGCGACGACGTTCATTTCCCAGACATCTGTGCGTTCTATGTATCCAAATTTGGAGAACATAAACTGTCATGTGACTCAAAGGTTTGCGGCTCATCACGTGTTCAAATGGGCTGCATAAATCCAAATATGGGAAAAATTTCTGAATGGACGGATTTATCAAAGGAAACTATAGTTACTACGATGGAAAAAGCTGTGGAAACGAGTAGGAAAAACGGGTTTGGATTTCTGTTTCTTAGGTGTGGAAATATTCTTCAGGTCCTAACCTTTCCGCCAGTGTTGCAGGAAGTTGAAGGTGGCGACAACAGGAAACAGATCAGTGTAAATGTGATCAGCATGGATTCTCTCTCCAGGCCACATTTTTACCGAAGTCTTCCGAGAGCAGTCGAGGCTCTACGCAAGATAAGAAATAATTTTAAAATCAGTGCCACCGCCCTAGACTTTCAGAATTTCCAGGCTATCGGAGAACAAACTTTTGACAATTTGAGGCCGTTTTTTTGTGGTGTTGTAAAAGGTAAGTTCTGAAATGAACTTACTTACATCTCCCTAAGAAGACTGATGATATGGAAACCGCTAGTTGAAAATTCACTTGGCCAATTACAAATTGTGGTTTAAATCATTAACATGAGTAATTTTCTTGTAATGCGATTAAGCCAGCGATGGGGCACCCAACGTCGCCGCCGTTCTAGCGGCGTGCCACACTTAAATTTTGCGGTCTTCGCCGCTTGTGACGCAGTACCTCAGTATGACAGTCAGTCATAAACTAGATACGACCAAACGTCCGGGGAGAATTGTCTCAGTAGAGTCCTCTCGACAGGGCCTTCCTCGGGGGGGGGGGGGGTATTGGGACAGGAAGACGGCTTGTTCTGCAAACTATCTTTTCTAACAATGTTGATCTGAAAATTAACGGCTCTTGGTGTAGAAAACACAGTATACGTCACAGTAGAATTTCATCACAACCGGAAATAAGAAAACAGTGAAAACAATAGTGTGACGTATACTATGTCTTCCACACCAAGTAAGAGCCAAATTAACTCACTGATTGGCTATTTAGCTAGCTGGCTGATAGGTTGCGAGCAGGCCGACTAGCTAGCCCATTAACTGACCTACCAACTCACATTAAACAATGGAGCTCACTAGAGTTGCTTGCTTCTTAGATGACAACATTCTTACTGACACCTTCAGGACCTCAAAGTATTCTTTAGGCGTAGAGGTCTTGTATGGGACTTTTAAGAAATGGGGCTACCAGACGCTTTTTCAAGAGGATCTCGTTTGGTTTGACTATTGGGGAATCATCCTGACAGACCTTGAATTAAGATCAAAGCCGACTGTAGATTCAGGATTCGTGGCAAGGTGAGGCTTTTAGAGCTTTTTAATTAATTTTCCATCAAATTGGAATCTCAATAGAAGACACGTAGCCTTATGTTCGCGCGGAGAGGTCTGGGTCTGAGCCCTAGCTGGATCATGTGTTCTTGATTAAGACAACTTGTTCCCACAATGTAATCCACTCGAGGTTATAAATGAATGACTACGAACTTTCAAGGAAACTCGACGAAATACCCATACTCCTTATCGCTGGTTGTTTTGGAAACCGGGATAAACTGAGGCGTTGTAAGCTTCTTGAAATGATTATGTGTGTAAACTACGATTCAATTGGCGCGAAAGTTGAATGTTGTATTGGCTACTGCGTTCGAAACCTCTTTATTCTGATTACTCAACTCTCATTAAAAAAAATGTTGATTGGTGGGTGAAAAGTAATGAAATATTTTTGTTCTGTCACGATGAAATCTGACTAATATAATACCTGATCCCTATTAACCCCTCAACTACCATTGGAGTGACCAAGACAAAATTTCTCCTTTCAATATCAATGCAATATCAAGTAGATAGGTGATAAGAATAAAGAAAAATATCAATCAAGGGATAGCTAACTGATCCAATACCAAATTCTCCATACTAACAACATGAGAACTGTCTTGCAGACAGTAAGGAGAATTGCTAATTAGATCTTGGGAGTAAGAGGGTTAAGGGTCTGTAATATTCTTTTTATCCCTCCCCTCCTGTCAGTGACAGTTAATTGGCAATCTCCCTCTTCATACTTTGTTAGCGCCGACTGATCCCCCTCTGTTTCCCCCTAAAAAACATAAGATATAGCTACCCCACAAATCCTTCTCCCACCTTCCCTCCCCCACCACCCCCCCCCCCCTTAGGTGATAAATATTTACTGGCCTCTAAAAACTCTCCCCTCAGGTGGACTGAATTCAAAGAAAAGATGAGTAAGAAAAACATCGATGATTTTGGCATGACGCATTTTTCTGGGCCATTACTGAACCTAAGATACGGTGAAACAAACCATTTCGAAAGTCCCCCCAAAGTGTGCTTAAATGGTCAGTTCTTCAGTAAATATTTTATGGATTACATACAGACGGTTCACACCGCCATTAACAACGATTCTCGGACCAAACCACTATTTTCGTTCATTCACTTCAACACGGGACACGAACATACTGGTCAGCGGATTAGAAACACGGACGCCCATTTAACAAAGTTCTTGACCAACATGGCTAAATTGCCGAACACTCTCACTATGTTAGTTTCTGACCATGGAAATAAAAATACGCGGTACAGCTACAAGACTGAGGTAGGAAAGAGAGAAGTTTATGACCCAATTGCTTTTATGATCATTCCCGATGGTGTCGCGAGAAGTCTGGGCGAGCAGAGGATGGCTGCCTTGGCAGAAAATCAAAGACGGCTTTTCACTTTTCTAGACGTACACAGAGCACTTATGAGTTTAAACGATCCGAAGAAAATGCATTCACGAGATCCTCTGGTTGCAGGCATATTTGCAGTCTTACCCGCGAGTCGCACATGTTCAGACTTGGACCTTATGCCACAAGCCAGATGCAAGTGTGAAATCAGCGAAAATTATAATTCGGTAGAAGACAACTCGGACAGTCTAAAGTGGTTGGCAGAATTTGCCGTTGGAGCTTTAAACGAAGCCATACAAAAACAGCATATGGGAGGTATGATAAAAAGGGTGCAAAATAACATTTCTTAAAGCTCTTCGATTGAGTTTCATTGAAACATAAACAAAGTGGTGTGGTGAAAAGGATCATGTAAATTAATTTTTCATGGGGCTCTTTGAATGAGTTTCATGAAACCATAAACAAAGTAGTGTGGTAGAAAGATGTAAAATTGTATTTGTCAGCGCTTTCCGATTGAGTTTCGTCAAACCATAAACAAAGTAATATGGTGAAAAGGGCGTAGAATAACTTTACAAAGCGCTTTTCGATTGAGTTTCATTAAACTAAGAAAAAAAGTGGGCGTTAAAAAGGAGAATATGACAAGAAGCCAGCGGAAGCACATAGTAAAATCAAGTAAATTGCTCGATGCGCGGGAAAACGCGGGCAACCAAGTCGCGATTGGTGTTAGTTTTTAATTTGATTGGTTGAGAGAGTGGCGCGGTTTTAGGGGCCAACAGAGAGCAAAGTGAGGCAAACCAACGCAAAACAGGATTACTTTGGAGACCCAACTCAAAATTTCTCTTCTGACTGTTTGTTCTGTGTTTTTTTCTTGTAGTTATCCATGTTAGGTGCTTTTTGATTCAATGTTTTTAATTTTTCCTTTAAGGTGAAGTTGATAAGCAGTTGTCATCGAACAAATATGGATTCGGAAACTGTCAGCGTCTGGTGGGAAAATCTTTTGCAAACATTGCACAACTCTCTCAAGGAGACAATGTTACCACGACAATGGATTTACGCGTAGTCCCTCCGAATGGACACAAAGAGGATGAAATTTTTAAGGTTTCTGTCAAGCAGCAGGCTAAAACAAAAGACAAAGTTTGGTTAACGAGTTTCATCCGGGTCTCTAGGTACAGCAAATTTAAGTCATGCGCAGATAAGTCAGTTGACATTAAGCTGTGTGCATGCGTCACACATCAAACCGCTGAAGCTATGAACAGCAGTGAAAAGCTTGTCAATGTCGCCATTCCAACCGAAATGTTTGGTTCAAAAACTATCATAAAAGACCTCCACTCAAGATGTCTCTTAATCCTCAGACGAAATCACGGAATATTTTCTTTCGCGCTGGAAGTAACCAACGTGTGTTTAAACAGAACTTACAAAACTGAATTAGCCGGCTCTTCAAGAGAAATAGTTACTTCCAATAAACTGCCTATTAATCTTGAGATAAGTCCAAGGACGTTTTATTTCTTGACATCAGTGAAAAGAGAAACCTCTACAGAAATTATTTCTTTGAAATTTTATGCAAATGTGAAAGTCAGGTTTGCTAACTTCGACGAGTTTAAGGATTTGGGCAAAATCGACGTCTTGTGACCCCGAATTTACGAATTCCCGTTATTAACTGTTGTAATAAAAATACTGTAGAGGGTTATATATTATCTACTTTTTTCGCCATGAAACAACGGACCCTAATGTGATAGTGACGTCAGTTTGGTATCCAAGGCATAGTTGAGGCGTTGAACTCCTCATGGGACCAACTTAACTGAGAGAATGAAGTTCCTTTTACATTTGAAGTTTGAATCAGTTGAGTTCGTTCAACTGACTTTGGATTGCTCAACACATTATGTCCGTCTGCTTCAGACGAATAGAACGTGTGAAGATTGACTGAGGGACAAACTTCGATCTCTCTTTGAATCGAACTTAATGAATAAATTACAAATTGCTTTGTTTGAAATCCCGCTAAGCTAAAAATTCGTTTTTGCTGCTCTGAATTAGGTTTGACGAATGATGTTCGAAGCTTTCGCTCTGACAAAGGGCTGACGCTCAAAACGTCAGCTTTAGAAACTCAGTCGCCTTGACAAATCCGGCAAATTATATTCTCAAACCCTCCGTCGACGCAGCAACAAACAGTTACTTTAGAAACATTTCCCCTTCAATGCTCTAGGAATACGCATTCGTGCCGGATTTAAACGGTTACCTAGATACTAAAACCTTTCGTGGACAAATTCACTTTCCAATCATTCATTTCATGAATACCTGTTGAAGACAATTACTAATGATGTCATAAAAACGTCGCTGCTACGATGAACTGGAGCCAAACTAAGGCTCCATTCAGAAAGTACAGAACGACTTTTGAAAAGTAATTGTGTCCAAGAAAGGTAGCTTTTGTTATTTAGTTTTAAAGGATCGATACAAACACCATCTATTTCGTTCTCTGAGCTTTACTGTGAACCTGTATGAAAGAGTGCTGTGACAGTCATCTTTGACTAGCAGTTGACCGAAATTTTCACTTGTAATTTTAAAGGCCAAAGATCACGTCGACACTCTTTGTGCTTAACAACATAGAAAGGACGCCAAGTCCGTTTCTGTAAACTTTGCTGAATTTAAACACGCTTTTGATGTACTTCAAACATCCTTAAGATATTAGTATATTTTAATACACTACTACTCTTTAGCCTTTATTTGAGTTACGTTTCATACAATTTCATAAACATCGACGCAAATCACTTGGTGAAAATCACTCTGATTTCGCTGTCCGCAAAGAACATTTTTTATTTCATTTGACCGTTAACGTTTCTTAATTGAGACCCTACACATAACATCTGTGTCACTTTCGCTTTTCGCACTATACCACTACATCTTAGCTTCCATTTTATGCAAGGTTCATTCGACTGGCTACACATCACGCCTAAGTCAAAAGCTTCGCACCTTTCTTAATCCATTTCTCTTAATTTGCCGTCCTATGCAAAACAACATCTATTGTTCAAATGTTTCGGCAAATTACGAGCTGGAATCATGGAAACTCGCTGTCCACGTTTATCCAATACGCATCTACCAACTTGCTTAAACTTGAAGGTTACCTAAATAACTTGGACAACTGAATATAACTACGTATTCAAGTTAAACATTACGTAATCAGCACTAAGTTTGGGTCTTATTTGTAATCAACATATCATTGCGTCTTCCAAAGGCTAAATTTGTAATAAGTCGAGACCATTACAGGATAAAGATGTCACAATCATATTATCGACCTTACCCATGGAGAGAAGTTAATCGGTATATTTTATAACATACTTCATACTTTTTTGGACTTCGAAACGACCTTTTGCTAAATATTTACAAATAACAACTTGCAATGTTCGCCTCGTGGCAATGACAGAAACCATTGCGCAAGCACAGGAATCCGATTTCGCACCCATTGTCCCAACGAACCGTAGCAACGCAGCGCATTTGAACCAAATTAAATCTGAATTAGACTTCATGGTTAACTGCATGTGAGCTGAACTGGAAGCACTCGCCTCAGCCATTGTAAGTACAATGTTAATTGCCACTGCTTTCTATTAGAATGAAAATAAGTCAGAAAATTGTAAAGATAAGACGGCGGCACATTGTTAGAGCGTCGGGTAAAATTTCCGCACAGCCCCATACTTCATTATGCATTCAGTTCTTGAATAGAGAAAACAATGACTAAAACAATACATTGCCATTGGGAAAACAGATTTGTTTTACAATAGTATGGGGCTGTGCGGAAATTTTACCGAGCGTCGAAAAATACGACACGGTTTGATTTGAATAAAGTTCCGTACGACCTTTGAAATTTCACAGCGAAAATAAGTTTTCAAAGGCTACCTTAAAAAAAAACTGCCCCGATGCTTTTGAAATTGCAGGTTCAAACAGAGCCAGGGAAAGCATATGTCAGAAACTTTGGTAAAATTTCCGCACAGCCCCATACTATTGTAAAACAAATCTGTTTTCCCAATGGCAATGTATTGTTTTAGTCATTGTTTTCTCTATTCAAGAACTGAATGCATAATAAAGTATGGGGCTGCGCAGAAATTTTACCGAAACTTTGACCAGGATGTCATCATGGCGGGAGGTTCCTGTCCTCTTGGGTGAAACAAAATCCTCGTCGATGGAAGTTTAAGCTATTTTTGTGAAATTTTTTTCATACAGCTATGAAGGTAGTCCGTTTGTGGCTTTCAAAACTTCTTCGTAAGCCCAGGTTAAGTTTGATTGTGATAATTTGCGCGTCGACTCTTCTGTTGTTATTGGGAATGTTTGGAGAGTGGAATTACACGAAGAAGACATCGTATCGCATTATTTCGCCAGCTGAATAGTAAGTCTTTATTGTCTTCTTTTTCGTTGAAGTGGTATTTATGCTCAGCAGCGGAACACCACGCGAATCTTAAAACGAATTTTCTTAAAATGGACGAATTCCTCCTCCGACAGTTAGAAATATTCCTCACAGCACAAGATGTTTGTTTTATTTGAACAGCGATTCCAAAAACGATGGATTCCAAATTATCGTGTCACTGCATTCTCAGAACAGAAAGTCTTCTATTTAATCATTTTGTGTGGGATATTGATCAAATGAAGCCTTTAAGTGCTACTGTGGTTCTTTCTTTATTCACTCCGAGCTTTCGCCGTTCTACGGCATCATCAGGGAGTTAATCAGTTTCGTTTTAACAGTATACTCAGTTTCAAGGAAGATACAGCTGACGAAAACCTGACAGTCGTAATTAGTTGTGTGGGTCGGGAAGCAAATGCAATGGAAATTGGTGGCACTTTCAACGATTTTATGCCAAATTGAAATAAAATTGCATGAAGGTTTGTTTTGGGATTACAATCAATAATTATAGCCACCGCGCTGGGCTAACGATTTCTTACAATTGAGGACATAGGGATTAGTTTGGACATTTCGTCAAACGAACCATTCGATTCGATTCTCTGTAAGAAAGAAAATCAGTCAGAAAATTGTAAAGGCAAGAAGGCGGCACATTGTCAGAGCGTTGAGAAATACGATACGGTTCGATTAGAGTAAAGGGCAGTACGAGCCATTTGAGAATCGCCTTACATTTTGGAAAGATGTCTGTGTAACTATAACCCATGCTATAGTTATTGTTGTTTTGGTGTCGCTGAGTTTTGTACGAGTTTCGTCCTGCGGGCCTTGTTAAAATGTACAGGGCAATCGATACCCAAAAATATTATATCCAACTTCAACTTTTTTAAAATTTTCATGCATATAAAGATTTAGGATTTTTTACCGCTAGTGATCTTTCATGGAACCAACGTTTGGGTTAAATAACTGCTAAGGGTTGGAGGGTATTAGTGCTGGTTAAAAGGACTTGAAGGGATGTAAGGTTACTTCCCACATTCAGAGGCCAAAAAATCGCTTTTTCTTCTATTTTACTACACTGTATTCAAACATTCAACCTAACGTTTATTTAAAAAGAATGACTGAAATCTTTAAAAGCACCCGAGCTATTTAGAAAAACGTATTTTCAAATAAAAGTTAATGAATAAGGAAGGTGTCATAATCTTGTACTTTTGCGAATCTCCTGGGGGAGTTATTGCGGTAACCTCTCATCTTATTTACATGAAAGTAACAGTAAAAGCTCTTTGATTATGGAAAAAAATCTTTGCTCATGGAAAAATCAAAAGCAGAAGAAAGTCGTTGGGAAAAAAAAAAAAAGGAAAAAAAAAAAAGCCCTAAGAAGAAAGAAAGAGTACCATTCTGTCAAGAAAAGAAAAAACTTCCTTTGTGATAGAGACTGGTACTGGGGGAGCTCTTCACTGGCATCCAGATTTCAAACAAAGACATTGCTGTTAAACCAAAATTTGCCACACATGATGGTCATTATTGTGTCATCCTCCTCAACGCTCCTCTAAGTGATCAAGATTTAAAAAAAAAAAAGAAAAAAGTGTCTGCAATAGGTTACTTTTCCCAGGAAATCTTGATCCCTCATCATTGACACCAGGAGGTCATGTTGTCTTATTGGTTTGCGGTTTCAGGAGGCGTGATAATCTCCTGATGTGGTGTGAGTCATTTGCAAACCTTTATGAGCTAAAATCTTGCATTTGATTTTAGAAGGAATACACCCACTTTGAGGGAATTTATAGGGCATATGGATTTGACTGATTTTCATCACATTTTGCCAAAACATCCTAGGAGTAATGACAAACAAAAGTGTGTCAGGAAATTTTGATATTTAAAATAGTTGTCTTGTGACATCTATTTACACAACATGACTTGGATATTTTTAGCTACTCCAACTTTAGATGCCAATATCTACACAACCCAACAGTATATCCAAGAAAGCCTGACACACTTTTGTTGATTGATGCCTTGTGAATGAGACTGTGCAGTGACTGCACTGCAGCATGCGATACCAGATAAATTCAATAGACACCCACGAAGGTGGGAAGTAACCTTTAATGACATTGATACTGTGAAAACACTTATCATTACTCATATAAGACCTTTACTTAAATATTCAATTGATACTTTGAACCCTCGTACTAAATGTAACATTGTTAAATGAGAGGCTGTCTGGCGTAGAGCCACCAGATGGATTACTGAGCCTAATGATGATTGTGATTCTAGATTATCTAAGCTTAAATTGTTTTCACTATCCAATAGGAGGTTCATGAAAGATGTTGCATTTTTGTTCAATTTAATTGATGGACGTTGATAGAGATATTGCAAACAAGCTCCAATTTTGTAACAACAGAAATGACTTGTAGCACAATCATCATGCCCAAATGTGTAACATAGGGTATTTTAATGAAAATGTAAAAAGTATGCCAAAAATACTTTTATTTGCTAGATATACTTGCTAATTTACGTTCTAAAAAGAATTAGTGAAGATTTCAATGTTTGTTCGGTTTTTAAAGCTTAATTACTGATTACCCACAATCCTTTGCGGGCGTGGCATTTGACTGTATCACTAGATTTCACTGGCCATAATGGCTGAGTTACAAAAAAAAATTAATTATAATAATATATAATTATAATATTAATTATATTTCAACTATCTCTAGATTTACAAAGAAGTAATTATTTCTTCATTGACATCTACAGGGACTTTGTAAATGTTATTCCTCTTTCTCTTTAGTTCTCCACACACTACCCTGAATTATCCATAAGAACTCCCCGCATACATAGAGGAGAGGTTGCATAGGAGACCTTCGATGTTTGTTGCTTGATTTCAACGAGAAAATCAGGCGAAGTTTAGCGTTTTTCGAGCGCTATTTGTGCGGATTTCAATGTAGAGCGGGCTTGAAATTTGATTGTTACACATTGATAAACACAAAGCGAGAGTGAAGTTAGGTTTCCGATTTAGTTTGCTTTGAATATCTTCGTTTGTATTGTATGTATGGCTGTAAAACTTTGGGGATTTGTAGTCGAACACATGAACTTTGCTTGGGAGTTGTCTCAGCAGCCGAGGTGAAGTAAAAGCTGAAATACGGGCATTTTTGCAGGTAAGTGGTGTTTGATTTTCCGTGTTTAAAAATAAACAATAACATCGTTTCCGAAACCAAAAATCACTTATTTCTTCTTTGCAGTTAGCTCTTTTTAAAAGTTAGTTTAGATGAGGGTAAGTAAGTGTTTGAACCTTACTCAGACGAATCAACTTTCTTTGTAGGCGTATATTCAAGATGCTAGACCCGCACATGTACCATGCAAAGCTCTGTTGGATCTGCTGCGTTACACAAGCAAACAACAGCGACTGTCTTCAAGTTTTTTATTCCTGCTCTTTTAAAAACGAACATTTAACGCTGTCTCTTGGCATAAGGTGTATTTAAGCCCTACTCAATAAATGAGCATAATGGAAGTTTCTAATTGATGTTGTTTTGAGTACGAAATTTACCTTTATTTTCGGGTTTATGCAAATGAGATGTTGCGCGTTACATTTATAATTTGGGTATATTTTCCAGTATCTTTAATATTTTTCAATTCTTACATTATTCCAAAAGGCAACAAAGTTATTTTTTATTAAACTGCAATCATCAGAGAAGCAAAATGACAAGTTTGAAAACAATCTGTCCATTGCTGATCAAGATATTTTCAAATATTTCTGAACAACCCTGAATGGGCATGATGATCATGCTACAAGTCAAATGTAAATAATAACTTGAGTGAAAATGACACAGGGCCTTGCTCCAAATTCTAGATGAACTAATGGTTTTAAATATAGATTTTTTCTCTAATCAGAGTAGAGAATCAAATGGTATGGCAGCCTTTAAAAGGAATGTTTTAAGTTTTATCCCAAGCATGATGCATCAGTGTTTAATTTAATTCACTACATTGACTATTTGTAATCTAGTGGAGTGAATCTGTTTTAATAAATGGCACAACTCAAAAATATTCAGCGATACCACATACCAAAACATCTAACAAGTTACTTGATATCCAACTGCTTTATTTTATATGCATTTCTTTCAGAGTGGTTTAAGCAAATCAAATAGAGAAGTGGTGTGTGACAGGTGTTGCATTACATTAGCATCAGATTGGCTTATCAGAAGTCAACTTGTCAATTAAGGTTTCAGAAAGATTTAATTCAACCATTTTTCTCAAATTGTACACATTTAAAAGTACTGCAAGTACAAAAAAGATTTCTATCAATCAAAAGTGTTTGAATAATTTATCAACAGTGACAAAACCTTATCAATCAATCCTAAGACTAACCCTGACCCATATTTTTACTCTACTTAATGCTGTTGGGTAATAAAGAAATATTTTGACCAGGCATGAGGTCAAGATGGCTGGATATTGGCCTAAGTTCTTATTTTGCATTTATATGGACAGAGATGGTTGAATCCAACACCCTTGGACAATTAATATAACAAAATGGTGTTTGTTTTGTTTCAACAGTCACCAGTCCTTTCAGATGTTAACCAACATAGATATTGAGACTCTGAAGACTCATCAGAACTGTTCTCCAGAAACACACATCCTCTTTCTGAAGACACACAAAACAGGATCTTCTACAATATCAAACATTTTTTTCCGTTATGGAGATTCTCGCGGTCTTCAATTTATTCTTGGTTCAGACACACTGGTTGGTTGGCCAAGTCCTTTCAGAATTTCACACACCCTACATCCTAATGGATTTCAGCCAAATTTTCTATGTAGTCACACAAGATTTAGTAAGAAAACTATGAATTACTTATTTCCAAAAGACAGGAGTAAGTACATAACAATCCTTCGACATCCTGTGGACCAATTTGAGTCTGTTTTCAATTACATGGGGTTTGGTGAGGTATATAATTTAGGGAGTGATGCGACAGAATCTATAAAAGGATTTCTTAGGAAAGGAATAGAGTTTAAAGACATCTTTAGGGCAAGATCATCTGTTCTAGCAAGAAATCCAATGATGTTTGATTTAGGTTTGGACTACAAGTTTTACCAGAATGCATCAGCTGTGAAAGACTACATTGCATTTTTGGAAAAGGAGTTTGACTTAGTCATGATAACAGAGTATTTTGAGGAATCTGTGGTGCTGATGAAGCGTTTGCTCTGCTGGTCATTCATTGATATTCTTCACATTAAAACTAATGAGAGAATTGCCCAAGAAAGAGCAGAGTTCAGTGGAAACTTGAGAGAAAACATAAAACGCTGGAACAAAGCAGATATGTTACTTTATGATCACTTCAATAAAACATTTTGGTATAAAATAGAAATGGAAGGGAAAGAGTTTTATGAAGATCTTGCAACTTTTCGTCGACTGAAAGAGGTTTTACACAAAAACTGTTTTGGAGAAGCAACAGTTGTGGAGGTTTATCCTGGCAAGTATGCAAAGACATTGTCTTTAAATCCAAACGTATCAGGAGTGAGCAGAGAGGTATGCAAAAAACTTATTTTAAAGGAAAACAGCTACCTAAGTTATTTAAGACAGAAGCAGTTGTACAAATCACCAGGCCCTATTGACACAACAATAATTGAGGATGACCAACCTAATATCAGCTGGAGTGTATCAAAAGATTTTCAGTATGATCCTCTACCAATATAATCTGGTATTGAGAGTATAGTGCATACTGTTAAGATAGAGTTTAAATTAGATACGAGTTTGAAATTTTTGATGCTATAGACATTCATGTATTAAATACTATCACACCTACAAAAGACAAATTTGTAAATGAGTGTCTAAAGTAATCCAGAATTGTACTTATTTTGCATTACTTTGCTCTCTAATTGGTCCAGAAAACTTGCACCACTGAACCAATCAGATGCAAAACTAATACCGATCTCAACTCAGTCGCTTGTATTTCCTGTACTTTGCATGGTTTACTCGTTTTTACGTCAAGTTCTCATAGGCTCTTCAGGGTATTTGGCATTGAATGGAGAAATTACACGTCAGTCTCTTCTGGGAGTAACAGAAATATTTTACCATTAAGCTTTTCATTTGTAGCAACACTTGTCAATAACAAATAACTTTTTGCTATTTTTGCTGCATCCAAGGGATGGTGCAGCAATTATGAACACATTCACTATCAAACCTGACCAGTACAATAACAGAAACAGTCTAAAAATTCCATGTACCTTCCTCTTTAACTTTGACTGGTACAACTGAATTTAGTTTGAACTGTTTGATAATTTCTGGATGGATAGTTTTTTATAAATGATGCATGGACTTACATTTCTTAAAATATTCCTTAAATATCACAGTGACTCAAGATGTTCAGATCAGAATTTTATCTACTTTAATCAATAGTTTGAAAGTTTCTCTTTCTAGAGTTTTATATCTTATTGCATTCATTAATTGCTATTTAAATGTGGACATATTTATTGATTATATTTAAATAGAATTTGAGCCCCTAGAATAAATAAAATATTTCATACTATTTTTAAAAACCAGATCATTGTGTGGATCAATTTTTCTTTGAGGCACATGTAAGTTTGAATATGCCTATTCTTCGGCTGTTTAGCTGCTGACTCTTTTTGCCAATTGTTTTGGCATCAACCAATTCTGTTTAAGAGGTCCTAGTTCGATACCTTGGTGGGTCATTGTGCAGTGTTCTTGGACAGGGCACCTCAAACTCAGACCCTCTTTCTAACCTATTAAATGGGCTTGGAGAAACTTGCAGAAACACCTGTTGAAGTGCTGAGGAGGGGGGGCTGCTCTGTGAGGCACAGGCAACCCATCCTAGGGGGGGGGGGGAAGGGGAGGTAATTGCTTCATGCTACAGAAACTGGGATAAGCCCTTTAGCACGATGCTGACTTAGGAAATGAGTGCAAGAGGTTGGTCAAATATGTCACTCATATCTGAAACATAAAAATGTATGAAAGGAATATATTAAAAAATCTTTATCTAATCATGAGACACTAACAGTTCCTAGACTTGAAAATTCACTGGAGCCATCCTTCTTCACTTGTATACTTGCTCTCAAGTTCAAAGCTTGATTAACTTTTGATAAATATTTGAAGACAGATGTTAAAAAAAAGAAGGTCTTTGGTGGTAATACACGGTTGATTGGTAAAGCAGTAGAAAAAATCCTTTGATCCATAGAACCTGTCATTGAAAATTTGTATGTTCTATCTGTGCATACATTTGTCACTTCCAGTGTGAAGGAAAATGTCCCAAAATCCCTTCTCAAGAACAGCAAACAGTTGGAATCTAGGTTCTTCACTTTTGTTTCTGCTCCAAACATTTCCCGTGGAACACCGTTCTCCAACAATACTCCATTTTTAGTATTGGAGGTTTGATTTTTTGCACATGCACAGAGCTTGATATCTACTGACTTGTCTTGGCAAGTTACAAATTTGTTGTACTTTGTCACTCTAACAAAACTAAGAAAAAATACTCCTTGTCTTGGTTTAGAGTACTGTTTGACAGAGACTTTATAGATTTCATCCTCTTGGTATCCATTTGGAGGAACCACATGTACATCCATTGTTGTGAAGATGAATTCTCCTTGGAAACGTTTCACAACATCAGTGAACGATTTTCCAACAAGGCGCTCACAGTTTCCATAACCTTGGTTTTTCTTTGAGTCTTTATCCTCTAATAAAAAGGTAACAGATAAAATATTCAAAAAGTGAGGTCATCACAAATGAAAGCAAAGCCTGTGGTGTATTCTCAAGCAGCACACAACCTTTTATCTCTTTTTAGATCCCATGAGTGACCCAGATAGAATTTCTCTCTACAGTACCAAGACAGTATCAAGCTGACAAGTTTTGAGAATCAAGAAAAATATCAATAAGGGTGTATTAGTTGATCCAAAACCAAATTCTCTGAACTTAAATCATAAGAATTGTATGACAAACAGAAAGAGAGTTGCTAATGAAATCTTAGGAGTTAAAGTTTTGAGCCATGTCCCATTTCTTTCTTTATCAAAAATGAAACAAAATTCTGGAACATGATTGGTTATCACAAGCTCAATTTGAGCACTTTTAGGACAGGTTAAGTGTCATGCTTGTAATTGGACAGTGTAATAGGACAGTTGAAATATCATACCTGTGAGTAAGCACTGTTGTCATGCATTTTGTTTAACTCTTTAACTCCCAGATCAAATTTGTAATTCTCCTTACTGTCAATCATACAATTCTCATAATATTAGTTCTGAGAACTTAGTACTGGATCAACTAATTATCCCCAAATTGACATTTTTCTTTATTCATATCTCTTGTCTGATTGATATTGTATTGATATTGGTAAGGAGAAATTCTCTCTTGGTCACTCATGGGAGTTAGAGGGTTAACCAGTGTTTAGTTTCTTTCTCAAATTTTGTCATAGTTTTGGTCAAATGGTTACAGGACTTCATGTCCTCCAATTCTGTCTGTAATCATGCAGTGTTCTCATTATTACTGAAGTGGACTCCTGTTTTGCGTTCATCTGAATTTGTTACTCATATGATTACAGACCAAATTGTTCTCCCCTCAGTCCTATTACCATTAATTATTAATTAGTATAACCATTACAATTTCCTTGAGTATGATTAATTGATGAGCTGCCTTTTTTTCACTAATTCTGTATAATAGAAACGAGATGGTTACATCAGCCAATCACATGGAGTATATTCAAATCAATCCACTTATTAAACAATTAATTACAGTAATTGTATGACATGCCATTTCCCAAAATAGAAGGTAGATTTTTTTTCAAGGCTGTCATTGGAGTGGAGGCACAGGCAGTGAAAGTTGTGAGACTTGAACCACCTAGCCATGTAAGCTGACAAAAGATCTTTAAGATAGATCCTCACAGACTTATTGCCTGTAACTCATACAGGCTTCATCTTGCCCATCTCAGCTCTAAAGAGAGCCAGCTTCCAGGTTATCTCTCACCTTTCTCATATTGCCTTTGTATGGCATCATTCATGTAACCAACTGCAGCTTCTGCAAGCCACTTATGGTCTTCTGCATTATCTTTGATGTGACCTTCTTCATCAAAACCCTCACATTTGCATCTTGTCAAGGGAAGCATGAATAAGTCCGCACAAGTGCGGTTAGCTGGTATTTCTGAGAATATTCCTGTTACTAGGTAATCCCTGGAGTTCCTTGTCTGAGGATTGTGCAAACTCATGAATGCATTGTGAACATCATACAACATGAACATGCGTTTTTGGTTTGTTACTAGGGCTCCCATCCTTTCTGGACCTAGTTTATCGGCAACACCATCAGGGACAATCATGAAGAACACTGGATCAAATAATTCTCTTCTGCCTTCAGGAGTGTAACTAAATGGTGTCATTTTATGGCCATGATCGGAAAATATCACAGTCAGAGTGTTAGAAAACGAAGCCATGTCTATGAAGAACTTTGCCATGTTAGCATCTAAGTTGATCATCCTTTTACCAGTTGTTTCATGTGCAGTGTTAAAATGCATGTAGGACACTAGTGGTTTAGCTTTCTCGTCTTGCTGCAAAGCAGTATACACCTTAGTGATGTAGTCCATGAAATACCAACTGTAAAACTGTCCATTAAAGCAAACTTGAGAAGGGTAGTCATAATGATTAGTTCTCTTTAAAACATAATGTAACACTGTGCAGGAGAAGTGTGTTAAGCCAAAATGATCGATTGTTTTTTGTTCCTCTTTTTCTAGAATTTCCTTCCACCTGTAAAGAAAACCATATTAAAGTCTGAAATAAACAAGGACAATTTTGCACTGCCTGGTGGGCCAGAATTAATAACTGTTTGATTGCTTACTAACAGGTACCCATATACTGGATATTTAGGCATGTGCAAGCAGTTATTAACATAAGGAAAGGGCTGGTGGGCCAACCTCACATGATTTTTCCACCTACTTTGACTGAGAACTTACCAGAAATATTACAGAGAGCATGAAACACATTTTGGCACAGAACACACGCCTTGGATAAATTTCACATTATTATTTCAGAAGGCTGAAATACACTCTTAGAGGTGCCCTTTTTAACATTTCCCCCACCCCAACAAACATGTCATTTTTTAGTGTACTGTTCTTCACCTCATCTTCCTTGCACTGAACACCCTGTATTAATACTAAGTACATGTATTCATTTTCTACCACACTTTTGAGAGTCAAACATGTCAAATACACTAACCTGGATTTGAATTCAGCATCTCCACTGGGTACAGCACGTTTTTGATTGTTTGTTAGTAAACTTCCCCAAATGTCATACCAACAAAGGTCCTCTTGAAAGAGGGTCTGGTAGCCAGCTTTCTGGAAGGCCCCATACAACACCCCCATTCCTATAGGGGCCTTTGTGTTCTCACCTGAAGCACTTATCTCATTGTCATCTGCAAAACAAACTACTTCAATTAAAATCATACTCACAAATCTTCAGGTTGTGTAACAAGGAACCACCCAATTGAGACCTACTCTGAAATACAAGGTTAGCAAACTAGACCTCTCAAAATTCATTGAAAAAAATTATCTCACTCATTGAGAGTGAACATATGATTAATATCCTTCATATAAATAGGATATCTCTTGTACATAACTTACAACTTGACCCTGGGTCAAATCATGACTGTGCTTCTGACTCAAGATTTTTCAAAATTGCTATTTGGTGACAGAAAAATCAGAAAAA